ATATATATATATATATATATTATATACATAGAATTCAGTTAAAATGTTATTTAAAAAATATTAATGTTTAACATGATTTCATTATGTATAAATAAAATGCACGTGCATGTTAGGAACCACTAACTAACGGCACTTAAAATTTTTATTTATTTATTAATTTTTGTCTTAAGTTTAAAACATTTAAAGATAGTAAATTTTTATTTAAAAATTATTTTTTATTATATTTTTATGTAATAAATACATTATTTTAATAAAACTTGTCATTTTTAAATGCTTAGAGCTGAGATAGACATTTTTCTAAAATTTATTAAAAAATACTAAAATTATGTGAGTTTCATTTATATCACACAAAAATTTAATAAATTATAATTAATAATAAAAATATAATTTAATAAAAGATGTTGTTAACACTCTTCTTACAAATGTTGATTGTCTTTTAATGTTTTATGTAGAACTGGAAAAAAAAAAACCCTATATCCGTAGAAATATTTGTTATATTAAGAAATTTTTTAAAATATAAAGTATAAAAACATAACCATCATTAATTGTAATAAAACATTTTAATAAATAATTGTTTCAAACAATACATATTTAATTGTTTTAAAAAACATTTAGAGCTCACTAAAAATTTTTACGCTGATTTTTTTTATTCATATGAAAACGACATACCTTAATTTAGAGCTGAATTAAATATTTATAGATATCTATTCAAATAATTAATATTTACATTTTTAATAATAATACAGTGCAGTTAAAATTGAGTAATGAAATGGAATACTGATTATTTTCTGATTAATTTAACGAGAACCATTATTTAACAATTAGAAAAATTATTTTATTTTTATAAAATAATATAAAATGATATATATTCGAGTAACTCTTAGATGATTTATTTTGAAAATGTTAATTTAAACTTTTAAAAATGACTGAATTTAAATAATTAATAACAGTAACTTTTATTGATAGACTATTTATTATACTTATATAATTTGAATTTATAATTTATTTAAAACTAACAAAGTTATGTTCAACAATTCTTTTATCTGTTTATGAATGAGATGGTGATGGTACTAGACTAACAACAACTCAGGATTCAGTCCTATTTTTGTGAGAACTGTACGGTTAAGCAAAATTTTACACTTTTTTTTACGCAAAAAGTATAAAATACACAAACGAACGGTGCAATTACGAAAATGAATCCTGATCCACTATAACAATATTTCATAACAGAAAAGCTTCTTACATCAAATTACACTGTTTTTCTACAACTTTAACTTATTTAACACGTCAACAAGAAAATATTTTTCTGTCTGGCTCAATTTTATTTTATTCGTCTTCAACACTCTTTAGATCGATTTAACAATATATTTTTAGTGCATAATAATAACTTTTGTGTCAATGTATCATATCGGGCCATGAGTTTTTGTCTGGTAATGAATGACTCATGGGCTATGAACATTTACGGGGCCTTTTCTATGTACGTATGGGTTGGCCAGAAATTAGGTCCATCACTTGGCCTTTTTTATGCAAGGAAAAGAGAGGAAGTAAAGTAAAAATAAAAATAAAAAATAAAATAAAACATATGACAGATAATATTAGTTTTTAAAATAAATCTCTTGACAAATACACGATTTTTATGTTTCTTTTTTGGAACATTTTTTAAATAAAGCTATTAAATTTTTTCATATTTAAACTACCACTCCCATAAATTCTTCAAATTTCAATTTTAAACCTTTAACACAAACCTCTAAACGCATGATGTTTGATACGTAATGCATTGTCCTCTGCCGCTTGGAGAAGTTATATAATTTCCTTTTCTAAATAGCTATTTCTAGTTTAGGTGTCATAGACGCATGCAATTCATCTGTTTAAACTAAAAAATGTAATTTTATGATATGGATTTTTTATAAGTTTTTAAAATTATTACTTGTAGCTTATAAAATTTAAGATTTTGTTTATTAAGAAAATATAATATTATCATTAAAACATTGTGAATTAAAAGCATTTTTCTTTTTAAAGAACAGCGTAAAGTGTTTCTATTAGAATTAGAAATTGGAATATATGGTCATATAAAACTTTTAGCATCTAAAAAAAGTTAGAACTAATGCTGCCTTTTTATAATGATCGTAAATACGATTGAAAAGCATCAGTTCTTCCACTAATCTCTGCATATACGATTTTGAAGATAGACAATGCTTCTCGAGGGTTCCCAATATGGTTGAGTGGGGAATATCTTTAATCTCTTCGAAGACAAGTTAAATCAAGTTAATTAGCCTCATCGTACATTTGTATATGCTAAGTTGGTCACCGGTTTGGTAGCTTTGGATTTGTTGATTATACTAATTCAAACTTAAGTATAATTTTTAACTTCAATTGCAGAATGTTCCTCGCAGTTCAAAAAATCGATTTTAAGAAAAAATAATCTAAAATAAATAAACACAAATGATAGGGCATTGATGCTTCTAATGGACCACCCAAGATACCAGTTTTCATCACTGATTTGGAAACTTTTCCGATTAACTTGATAATCATAGTATCGAGCAATTCTCTCTTTTTTTTTTTTGTACAATAATTTTTAATGCCAAAATTATGTGTTTCCATCCCGTGCGATTTGTGTCATGTTCAAAATATATACGAGTGAGGTTCAATCTTTGGTATCACAGAACGATAACAAACAAAAATTGGACTGATATGAATCGAATATTGGCTCGAGTAGTGTACCCTGCAAACCACCAAATTTGATTCAGAGCCTCTTCTGCTCACTTGCCAAATTGTTGGATGTGTGCTTTTGTGTCGCCTTCACTCTTCTGGTCCTAAGACATTCGCATGTCATACTACCAAATTCATGGTATAATAATACTTCAAAATCTCTCCTCCCGAAAAAAGTTCATTCTGTGATATAATATTTTAAGATTCAACGTATACAGTTTTTTTATTAGAGATAGGATTTTCTAACGTATGTTTAAAAAATTTTATACTTATACTAATGTGAAGAGATCTTTCTTTTTTAATATATAATAATTTTGTAATTTTTTATTAAAAATTTTATATTTTAATGTAATTTGATACATTAATACTACTTAATGCTACAAATTTATATTTTTATAAAATTAAAATTAGTAATAAAATATTAAATAATATTAATTTATATGTAATTTTATATATTTTTAAATTAATTTTAAAAATATTTTTAATCAAATAAAATAATGAAACTAGATCAGATTTACTTTTTATCGCTAATTTCGAGATATGACTAAACTTAAGCTCGCTTTCAATATAAAATGAGTAAAAAAATTGAAGTGTTTTAATATATTAGGGTGGTACATGATGTATCCTTTTTTTTTTTTTTTAATATGAGAGTGTTTTCAGAAGTGGATCTTATTTTTATTAAATTACATGATTTTTCATTAAATATTTAATTTTATTCATAATTTTATTTTTTAAAAATGTTAAATATTACATATATATATATATATATCTAATTTTAATATTACAATAATATTAATTAATCTTAGTTTAGATTTAATTTTAAATTTTGACACACTTATCTATAAAAAATGTGTATTAATTAAAGTATTTTATATTTATATTTTAATTTTTTAAGAAGTTTTATCTCATTTAATTATCATTATTTAATATAACAACATATTTATTATTAATAATAAAATTATTTTTAAAATTAATTTTTTTTTTACATCTCAAAATACATCAAACATTAGTTTTATGATGATTTGATTGATTCAAATGTTTTACATGTTGATTTTTATGTCATGTATGACTTTTGTGTAAAGTGAGATGGATCATGATTAATAATTTAAAAAATATAAAAACTAAAAAAAGTTATATAATAATTAAATTTAAATATATTTTTAGTCTTTATATTTATCAAATTTTTTCTTTTAGTTCTTTTAGATATATATATTTAGTTTTAGTCATTACTTTTTTTTATAATTTTTTGTTTTTAGTTCGTTTGGTAAGCAAGTAACAAATTTTAGTGAATCAAACTAAAAAGGTTCAAATCTAATTTAGGCCAGTAAATAATAATGTCCAAAACGAGTAAATACTATTTTTTTTGGAAGTTTAACTTGCATCAGATTTAATTTAAAAAGATTAATATGGCTCAAATTTATTAAAAATGCAAAACACAAGCTTTTATACATTTTATTGGACAAAAGTAAGTCCATGTTGTCAGTTCTACTGATTTAATCACTAAGATTGGTTGGATTATATCACATAGAGAAATTAAAAATAATAATTTATTAAAATATTTAATTTTTTTAAGAGACAAACTAAAGCATTATTAAAAATATATTTAAGTCTATAAATTAAACTAAAAATTTAACATATTTTAAGATATATATATATACACACACTAGTCCTGCGTGCACATCCATGGTCTTGGTGTGTCGTGTACAAAAAAACCCTTTCTCTTTGTGCAAGTTTTATATTCATTTATGTGTTCTTCGCAGTGAGTGCATGTTTTTCCCATGATTAAGAACGCACACACACAACAGCAGATTCCCTTTTTCTCAACTCATTCAACTCTCTTTCTCTCAGGATTTGACAAGACAAAGCACATACGTTAACTCTTTCCATCGTTTTGCTGCCTTTCATTTCACGGTCCTTGTTTGGTGGGTGCCTCGTTCTTTTTTGGTCACAGTGGTGAAGAAGCTTCAAAAGGGTCAACTTGAAGCAAAGAAAGAAAAAGGTACATCCACGTGAAAGCGCATAATAGAAACGTCTGGAACTCAACAGTGACACCTGATACACTGATGCATGTAGATTTCATGACGATGTCTTAGTGAAAATCTCAGAGGAAGTAATATGTGTACAACATTTTGGTTCATCTTCCTTGATCAACATGGTATTCATGGAGAAGAGTGTCCTTTAATTATCCTTGACATGCCTCAATGTGTATAAGTGAATAGTGAACATTTAAGATCTTTATACGTCAGTGACTCTCATCTGCAATTCAAGCTTTTAACTAACTTTGGCCGAGGATGGTTTCAATTCTGAGGTTTCGAAAGCTATGCTATGTGGAGCCAATGAAGTGCTCCTCCCTTGGTTTTCAACCCTTTGAATCCAACAAGAAGGATGAGAGTGTTGTTACAAATGAAGTGGAAAAGAAGAGGGAAATGAAGCAGAAGAAGAGGCAGTACAAGAAGTGGAGGTGCATTGATTCCTGCTTTTGGATGATTGGTTACATATGCACCACTTGGTGGCTTCTCTCTTTATTGTATAGCTTTTTGCCTGTTAGGTTACTTGGCTGTAAGGCACCACTGTCACCTGGGGTGAGGCTAGGCGATGAAGGAGTCACTGCACTTCATCCTGTTGTTCTTGTACCTGGAATTGTAACTGGCGGTTTGGAACTGTGGGAAGGGAGGCCTTGTGCTGAAGGCCTTTTCAGAAAGCGGTTGTGGGGTGGTAGTTTTGCTCAAATCCTCAAAAGGTGTGTGATCATAACATTCTTAGTCATAACTCTTAGTAGAGTAAGTAAAATTATTAATTGTATTGTCTTGAAACTTGACATGGCCAAACTACAATTTTATGTGAGAGTGAATACTACAATGAATTCAATGAGTCCATATTAATATAAGAAACTTTTTTTAGGCCTTTGTGCTGGTTAGAGCATCTTTCTTTGCATGAGGAGACTGGGCTGGACCCACCAGGCATTAGAGTCAGGGCAGTACCTGAGCTAGTTGCTGCTGACAATTTTGCTTCTGGTTATCTTGTTTGGGCAGTTCTTATTGAAAATTTGGCAAGAATTGGTTATGAAGGGAAGAACTTGTACATGGCTGCCTATGATTGGAGACTTTCTTTCCAGAATACTGAGGTACAATGATTATTTTATTTTATTTTTCACTACCTTGTGATATAATGTTTATTGAATTCAACTTTCAAACTGTCTTTGTTCGGTTCTGGTCGCCTGAATGTGAATGATCTTATTTTAAGGATAAGATGTTATGTTAATTTATTATTGTGTGTTTTGGAAGGAACTGGGTGACAGGCTTTCATTTTCCTCTGCGTTTAATTGTTAATAGAAAACAAAGAATGCGATATTTGCTTTTAATTTTCACAGGTAAGCATGATGACCCCTTCGTTTCCAGACACTAATCTTCTTCTCAGTCTCACCCTGTTCTTTTTCCTTTTGAAACATTTTTTCTTCTTGAATGTCGTTCTTTTTGGCTTCTAGAGCTAAAATTTAAGTAGAAATGCATGGTTAGCATCTTTGTAGAAATTAAGTGTAAACTAATTTAGTTTTTTGGACAAAGCAGATTCGAGATCAAGCTCTTAGTCGATTGAAGAGTAATATTGAGCTGATGTTTGTAACAAATGGCTATAAGAAAGTGGTAGTGGTGCCACAATCCATGGGGGCTATTTATTTCCTCCATTTCCTAAAATGGGTTGAGACACCTCCTCCCATGGGAGGCGGTGGAGGTCCAGGTTGGTGTGACAAGCACATCAAAACAATCATGAACATTAGCCCTGCATTTCTTGGTGTTCCAGAGGCAGTTAGCAATATGTTTTTAACTGAAGCCAATGATGCTACTTTTGTCAGGTCTGTATTTTTGACAAAATCCTTTACTTCAATTTGACATATTGTTAAGAAATACCGAAATTTGGAGGTTGATTTTGAAATTGTAGTAATCATATATCATTGGTGGATTGAATGCTGTCTCTAATAAACAACGAGGATTTAAAGAAACTTTCAGCAAAGTTTGATGTTAGAAAACAAAACTTTAAAAGGGAAAAGAAAAATCAGTTTTATTTTTGTTGTGAATAAAATGAAATCAAATACAGGATAATGAATAAGGTGCAAATTATCACATTTTAAAGAAAATGTCTGGAACCAACAAAATATCTGCAAATAATGTTTGGAACAGTGCTTATATACATGCCAGACTTCTAACTTGTCTGAATGAATTCTTTTTGTAATCAACTTGTGGATTGATATTATCTACTTTATTAGTTTTTCCATCTATTTATATGTTTCCATAAACCAAATGTAAAAGAGAGAGCCACTAGATTGAGGCTAGCGGTGAGGGGCTTGGCTAGTTAATGAGATCATCATAGGTTCAAACCTCATTGTCACCTCTTATTTTGGTGAAGAGAAAATGTCTGAACTATTTGAATCTGAAAATTTAGGGGTACCCCCTATACAACTGAAAACTAGGGCTGTAACTCTACTTATGTCAAAATCTGCTTACCCCAATAAATGGTTATTAAATATTTTGTATGTTCTGTACCATATCCATAAATGATTATTACACATTTAGTAGACGATGGAGTGACTCAACTTTTGCAGAACTGTGGCTTCTGGCATTTTAAAGTTGTATTACCTTGGTCGTCAAACACTTGAGCATGTCATGCAGATGTGTAGAACTTGGGATTCAATCATCTCATTGATGCCAAAAGGTGGTAAAACCATCTGGGGCGACTTAGGTTGGTGTTCTGAAGATCTGAATAGCTGTGATCAGGTAGAGGACAGATATGAGAAGCACTTAGCAAGTGACAATACTTTTAACAGCAATGGTAAGCAAAATGATCTCCATGTAAAAGAACCTGAGAATTGTGGAAGATTAATCTCTTTTGGCAAGGCAGACTCACAGTTACTTGCTTCACCTCTCACTACACTTGATTCTGAGGTACCACAATTATGCACTTCTCTTTGCTCTTAATAAGATGTCACTTCACTTTTTTCAGGAATAAAAAAAAATAACTAGCTCTATTAGTCTATTTCCAAATTTCAACTGTTTAGTGATTTGGATATGGAAGAACAGAAAGAATACGTCTTAAATTTGATGCTTTGAGTATATTCTTTTACCATAAGAAGAGGCAGGGTTTTTATTTCCCACATTACATGTTTTATAAGGTATTCCATCACCGAATGAATCATTATTTACACCTCTACTGTTCCATTCATGTTAATTATATCAGTTTCTGCATCGATTCACCAAGGTTCTCTTTTGATCAGCGTAGTTATATACTTGAGAACAATAGTGATTCATATATTTCATCATCAGCAGGAAATTTCGTGCAAAAGTAAGTCTGCCACTTTTAACTTATCATGTGAAGATGTATGCACTGAATATGATGAGATGAGCAGAGAAAGCATCCAAAAACTTGCTAAAAAAAAGGCTTATGCAACAACTGTTTTTGATCTACTTAATTTTGTGGCTCCAAAACTGAAACGTGCTGAGGCTCACTTCTCTCACGGGATAGCAGAGAATTTAGATGATCCTAAATATGCTTATTACAAATACTGGTCTAATCCACTTGAGACCAAGTAAGTATGTGATTCATGAAATACTTTTGACTAGTTTTCCTTGAAAGATTCAGTGACATTCCTTTGTTCTTACACAACTTTTCATGGTTATTCAGCAGTTCCTGTCTCATTACCAGAAAAGACCACAGTTATAGGATTCTTACTAACATGTCTGAGACCAAATGAAAAGGATGTGAATTTTATTATTAACAAAGAAGAAAATACTGTAGAATCAATTCTGCAATACCCAAAGCAAAGCTCCTAAAGGTTCACACCCTTGCCCACTGCTAACAGGAAAAAGGCAGAACTGACTCATTTTCTCTCTTACTCCCACGAAACATTACACGTCAACCTGCTTTCGATAACTAATTTCTCTCTCTAAATCCCATTCTGAACTTCTTATTTCTCCTACTATATGTTTTCCAAATCCCAAGGCCCATGACTAAGTTGGACTGGACTTGTCCACTCAGGTTCATGGGACCTAACATAACCAAATAGGCACCAGCATTAGGCCAATTCGAGGGATTTTCTTTTCTTTTTTCTAATTAAGTTAAGCATCATACCTTGGAAGCTCTGAGATGTTGATGCTATTTTCATTTTATTTATTAGCTCAAACAATTGATTTGAGTTCCTCATTCAGACTACCTGATGCTCCGGGTATGGAGATATACTGTCTATATGGTGTTGGAATTCCTACTGAAAGATCACATGCATACAAATTGTTCCCTTCTGACAAGTTCAAGAATATTCCCTTTCAAATTGATAGTTCAGCATATGGAGAAGAGGGAAGTTGGTTACAAAATGGTGTTTATTTTGAAGATGGAGATGAGAGTGTGCCCGTCGTAAGTTCAGGTTTCATGTGTGCCAAAGGATGGCGTGGAAGAACACGGTTCAATCCATCTGGCATGGCCACATATATAAGAGAATATAAGCACAAACAACCAAGTAGTCTTCTTGATGGTAAAGGCCTAGAGAGTGGAGCAAGTTCCAACATTATGGGAAATGTTGCCTTGATTGAAGATGTTTTACGAGTTGCTGCTGGAGCCACAGGTGCAGATATCGGAGGTGATAGAATATTTTCAGATATCATGTGGATGTCTAAGAGGATAAATCTCAAACTATGATTATATTTAGGGACAAAATTTAGGCGCAGTATCATAAATTTTACCGAGGTGAAACTCTAAATCTTTATTAGAAAATTACACGTCTACATGATACTGCACCTAACTTTTGTCCTTATGTTTAAAGGTTGAATTTTCTTACATGATTAGAGCTGTAGAAGAAATTTGCAAGGTAATGGAGAAACGGAGGATGATCACTAACAAAACAGGTATGTTGGTGGAATTTGATAAAAACTAATGTAACCATGTGCATCAAGAAAAAACTGTCGAGGTTTCTGAGATTCCTGCCAACCGCTACTATGATGATCATGGTAGAATGCAAGGACAGGTTAAAGCGTCAAATGTATGTCAAATAATATATGAAGACTAAATTAAATACACCATTTACACCTAAGGGTCAGACATGCGCAATTCCAATTAGAACAACAATCAAAATTCAACTCCCCATACTTGTAAGATTGAGTAATTAACATCCTATTACTTTTCATTTGAATGGTTAACAGAATTGTGAATATTTGTACACGATGTTTAAATAAAATAAAATAAAAGAAGGAAAAAAATATCATTGGACTTAATTTGATTAAACTTTTAAAAAAGTATTTATAAAAAAATATTTTTATAAATTAAATAAAATGACTTTTAAAAAGTTAAAAAAATTAACTTATGACAAGAATTTAATTTATTTTGCTTTCTCATTTTTGTCTACTGTATGTATTTATATATAAACTTGTCCATACTGAACTATTTTTTTATTGTTTTCAATCACTTACACATTACGTCTTCACTTTGCCACCGGGCCAAAAAGGAGGCAGATGAATTGAAGTTTTACCTGGTGGATCATGACATTACATTACAAATCTGAAGCCAAAGAAAGAGTAGGACAGTTTTTTAGACATTATTTTTCATTCGTTGGCTGAAATTTAACGATGTTCTTTGTTTTCTTTTAAATACAGCAACAAAGTTTTTTTTTTTTTTTCGCTAAACGATCAAGGTTACATGTATCATTATATATCATGGGTAATAATTAAACAATATATGATTATTGATTAACATTTTTTTAATGCATGAATAACAAACGGTATATGTTAATGCCCTTATACACCATTCATGATTTAAGGAATAATTTTTGTTTTGAAAAATAAAAAACTTGCATATTGTTATTAATTCTGCGTAAATATACTTAAAACATTGATAACCCTAACTGCGAGTAATGTTATTTTAGGAGTTTCAAGGTGAAGTGGCCGACAATGATATGACTCCTAATAATATACCCTTTTGACACTTCACAGAATCACAATTATTTAAGCACGTAAAGAAGAACAAAAGGTAAATTATGCAAACATAGCGTGCGTCTCAATTTATACATTTTAAAGAGGACATAAACCTCAGAAATGCATACAGTGACACGTGTAATGAAAAAAATAAAATAAAAAAATAGAAGAGGCCAGAGGGAGTAAAGAAAAGGCATAGAAGGTTGTGATGAAAAAAAGTGAGTCTTAGTTTTATATTCTATTTCCGGAAATAATATTACTGATAAGCCTCAACCATATTATATTAGAAAGCATAGATATAGTAATTATTACCATAAGTTAATTTATCATCTGAGCCAACAACTCCACATTGCTAATGTGGTTTTGATGATTGGTGAAACACTAAATTTGGCTTTTTAATGAACCAAAGGAGCATCATAATGGATATTGGTAGAAAAAATCTTAAAAAAAGAATTGACCCACCAAATCTGGCATGTGTCTGAACCACACCCCCCCCCCCCCCCCCCTCCCGGCGTAAGAGAAGCAATTATGGTAAGAGAAAGGTCAAGTGAGGACAAAGCACTGTTCATAAAGGGTCTAGAAAGATTAGTGCTGTGAACAGAAGAAGGTTGGCAGAGGAAGGTTGTAATCACACAGTGATCAAAGTGGTGCTGCCACTTGAGTAAATAAGGCACGCAATACAAAAACTAAGTGGTCACCAACCGCATTAATATGTCCAAGTGAAAGTTGCGTTTTTTTTTTTTTTTTGTATTCTCTCTAATTTCTTCCTCCTTTTCCTTTTGTTTTTCTCTCTGCCTATGTTTTTAGTTGAGTTTATGTAATGTTGCTCCCTGTTGTATAGATTTGTATTGTTGAAAAGTAGAAGCTAGGAGCCAGGGACAGCTCAAGATATCATGTGTCAACAGTTCAAGATTTGTACTTACTGAGTAGTTATTAACAAACATCCATTATAACTATTATAATTATCTGTCAGGTTTTTGGTTTTAGTTTTGGAAATTCAGAAAACAAACTAAGAAGTAGGCATTTGTTTGCTTCTCTATATCTTTAGTACTTCAAGCCTTACTATACATCTTAATCCTTATGTCTTTTTTATTCTATTAATCAGCATCAGCTCAAGTCATGCTCAAATTGCCACCTAAATAATATAACACTATCTCAAGTCTCAACAACACTCAACAGTAAATTTTTGGTAACACCCTACACTCTTCAAGCATGCAAACTCTTTTTCAAATAATGTTTTTGACTTTAAGATTGTGAATGGAAAATTTTCTATTTTTACTTAGGTTATACAGTACCCTATGCTAAAGTTGGAACATTAATGAAACTCTCGGAACTGCAGCCTTGCCACACGGTATGGACCAGCTTCAAAGCAAAAGACTAACGTCAGATTATCAGTTCCCAAAACTGTAACGCACCTTGAGAGTTCACGCTCTCTATGTGTGTGTTTGCATGAGCAAGAGGCTCATTGCTGAAGAGGATTTGAAAAGTTTAAGTATGGGGTTTTCTAGTTCTTTCTTGATCGGCTTTCTTCTTCTTGCTGCGGTGCTCAATGTAACTAATGGGCAGCCTCTGGTTCCTGCATTGTTCATATTTGGGGACTCGGTTGTTGATGTGGGCAATAATAACCGTTTATTAACTGTTATTAAAGCAAACTTCCCTCCTTATGGAAGAGACTTTGAGAATCACAATCCAACAGGAAGGTTCTGCAATGGAAAGCTAGCCACAGACTTCACTGGTTCTTTTCTTTGTCCTCAAAATTCCCATTTAACTAACTATCTTTTCACCAATTCCCTATTTCCCACATCATCTTTTTTCTCAAGTGGGATTTGACTTTGATCATTGTTTCATGAATTTGTTCACTGCAGCTGAAACCCTTGGATTTACCTCCTATCCACCTGCTTACCTCAACTTGAAGTCCAAAGGAAAGAACCTCTTGAATGGTGCCAACTTTGCCTCAGCTGGTTCTGGTTACCTTGAATCTACAGCCAAACTATATGTAAATATATTTAAAGTCTTAAAATTAAAATTCTCATTTTTTTTGTTTACTTGACATCATATTATTGGCAAGTGCTGATGTGTGTGTGTGTGTGTGTGTGTGTTTTCCTGGGTGTAGAATGCAATTCCATTGAGCCAGCAGCTAGAAAACTACAAGGAGTGCCAGAAGAAATTGATGGTTGTAGCAGGGAAATCAAGTGCTTCATCAATTATATCTGGTGCTATATATCTTGTTAGTGCAGGGAACAGTGATTTTGTTCAGAACTATTACATAAATCCTCTGCTTAACAAGCTTTATACAACTGATCAATTCTCAGACATGATCATGCGATACTATTCCAGTTTCATCCAGGCATGCCTTTCTTAACCTTCTCATCTTTCCTTAGAAGTGGATACCATTGATCAAAAAGAAAGAATTTTGCCTTTGCTAGTTGCATGTCTAATAATGCCTATGCATGACAGAATTTATATGCACTGGGAGCAAGGAAGATTGGTGTGACAACATTACCTCCAATAGGTTGCCTACCTGCATCCATCACTCTCTTTGGTCTTCTTAGAAATGACTGTGTGGCCAATCTAAATAGTGATGCTATTAACTTCAATGAAAAGCTCAATACCACATCTCTGAACTTGCAAAACATGCTTCCTGGCCTCAATTTGGTCATCTTTGATATCTACCAACCTCTATATAACCTAGTCACCAAACCTTCTGAAAATGGTACGAAATCTTATCATTTCTTTTATTTATTCGATTTTTCTACTCTGTAAAATATTACAAGAAATAAGAAATTAGTAAATAATAATTTTTATTTATTAAAATTGTAGCACTGAAAACTTATTATATATAAATTTTTGTCAACTTGTAATGTTGTACAACCTAAAAAAATGTTACTTAAAATAACTAAAAATTTACATTAGTGATGTTGTATATAATTATTTTTATCTTTACTTATTTTTTGTTTCTTTAATAAACATCTCAAAAATATACTGAGAAACTAAAGAAGACAACAAAAATTTGTCCACAAAATTTGTTAAAAAAACATTTTCCAAATCCAATTATGCTCAGCCTAGTGAAATATTATTCTAATACATTATGAACCAGGATTGTTAATTTGTTTCGTATGTGTGGCATGCACTGTTTTATCACAGGATTTTTTGAAGCAAGGAAGGCTTGTTGTGGAACTGGTTTGATAGAGACATCTATATTGTGCAATAATAAGTCCATAGGAACTTGTGCTAATGCGTCTGAATATGTGTTTTGGGATGGTTTTCATCCCTCAGAAGCTGCAAACAAGGTTTTGGCAGATGATTTGATTGCTGCTGGCATCTCTCTTATATCCTAATCAAACCCTTTTCTTAGATTTGTGGTTGCAGATTGTATGAAGATGACGTATGTAAAAGACTAAAGGAGGTTTTATATGTTAAATTGCAAAGCTCATTGTGTGCCTTTTAAGTTCCTTGTAATTGGAACAAAGACTATATTCCTATAAGCTTGATGTGTAACCTATACTTTTTGTGCTCAACAACTCAAAAAATGTGTCTGCTGGTGCTTGCTATGCAACTTTAATTGCCCTAAGAAATGGATAATTTTACTTACACGATTTTTTTACAACGATTCTTACAACTTACGGGAGAAAGATTGGAGAAAAAAAATAGAAATATATGAATAAAAATAAGTGATGCGATGAAGAGAGGGGGAAAAATGTAGAAGTGTTATAAAATTTTTGGCAAAATTAATATTTTAATTATCTAATTTTATTTTTAGTTTAAGTTTAATCTTTTAATTTTAATTTTTAATAAAATTTTATTATATAAAATATTATATATGTTAAAATAATCGTTTTATTTTAAGACTAGAGACAAACAATTATTGTGTAAAATTCAACCATGCAAGGAAAAAAAAACTATTTTCTAGAGTATATAATCTAATGAAATAAGTTCAACTTTCTGATCAATATGTAATATTGTAATAATAATAATAATAATAATAATAATATTGTAATTATCATTATCCAAAGAAATGGATCATGAAATAGCTATAAATCGTTAGAGAGAGAGAGAGAGAGGAGTAATGGATTACAGCGTAGCTGCGTTGAAGCTGTTAAGCTCGCAGTTGAAACAAGCTCGAGAAGTAGCGTCTCAAAATAGCTTCACGCTCGGTGATATCCTCTTCCAACGCGCTTGGTTGCAGGTTCAAATTTTCTTCTCCACCTTCTCCATTCTCAAAACGCCACCGTTTTCACTTTCTTTCATTTTTGCCTAATGTCTCAGGGCGTTCTCGTCTCCGCCTCCGATGGCGACGGTGCTCCTCTGCTTCTCGACGACGGAACCGGCGTCATCGAGCTTTCCCTCACCGGCGAGTTTCGCCACCGCCATTGGAAAGCTGGTGAGTTCCACTCTCTACTTTCTTTCCGCTGCTCAAAATCAAATGTGAGGTTTTCTCAACATTTCTAATTGCTTTGTTTATTTATTTATATATTTTTATTTGGTTAGGGATGTACGTGATGGTAGTTGGAGGGTACGTTGCACGTGCGGGAGAACCTCCTATGATCAAGGTAATGTACACTTGTTTATCATTTGATGTAGAGCCATTCCCAAATTGAATTTATCTCACTAGCACTTGCTATTAGTATTATCACTGCCATTCATTTCATTGAGAATGTTCAATGCTATAATGTGATGTAATAGAGCTTGGAGATTCTCTCACATTGTCACACACACTCAGTAATGTAGTTTACTTTGAGCTTGTTTGTTTTAAAATTGCAAAATAATTGTAGTAACTTTTATAAAAAAAAAAAAGTTACAATGCAAATGTCTAATTCAAATTAATTAAATAACTATCGCAATTATAAAAGGTTCATAAGATTGTTGATCTGTCATCATCGCCTGATCGAGAGGCTATGTGGTATCTTGAAGTTATGGAGGCATACAAGCTGTTCTATCAGCCTCTTGTTGAAGAGTTTACTTGATGGGATTGAACAGAGAATGGGTAGGTTGGCATTTGACATCTGGAATTTCCCTTCTTATAGCAAGTTAGGACACAATTTTCGAAGACTTTGTATTCACATATCTATTTCTTTATTCTGTGAGAAATTTACCAACAAAGTGCATTGTAAATTTACTGCTGCATCGTGATAGAGATTGTATTATGATCTAATCAGAAATTATTTAGAATTTTAATTTTGATTTTATATTTAGAGATTTTATTTTTAGGATAGTTAGTTTGCATTATCTATTAGATTTACATATCTTTATCTTTATCAGTTGGACCTTATGCAATTTTGACTATTGAGTAATAATAGTTTTCTTTTCAAGAGTGCATCTTAGTTAAGTCAGGGACTACAATAGTGTTTTCTTTTTTCTCCCCCCTCTCCATCACACTATGTATGAAATGCACAGATCTGAGATGCCAATCTATTTTTCCCCACAGTTCTGACAATCACTTTCTTTCAGCTTGATTAATCATCTCATCTGTTATGAATTGAATTACATGAGCCTTTATGGATTTGGCTCCTTTAAGGGAAAGGGTTTAATTTAGAAAATGAAGTGTAGTTATAATTATTGATTAAGACAATTGAGAACTTGTTTGGTTTCCACAATAATCAGTTTCACATGCCATGACATATCTCAATGTAAAATCAGTAGTTGAAATTAGTTTGGACACATCTAATTATTGTTCTATAGTTGTACCAAAAAAAAACACTGAAAATAGAAAAAAGAAAGTGATCTTTATTGTTTTCTGCATAATTTTTTTAAAATAGTGAAAATAATATTATAATTTTGTAATAAAAAAATAAAATAGAAAATGAAAACAGAAATATTGTTTGAAATAAAATAATCTCTTACTTTTTCACTTTATAAACAAATTCACTTTAGAAGATTGCTATGTAATTTATAGTATACATATTTTCTGCATCAATCAATTTGTTCTGCATGGTTTTCTTCAAAGTAGTCATTTTCTTCCAGCTCTATAATAATCCTCATGTTATGAATTTGATGTGCTTCCGTCGCATTGTTTAGTAATAACTTGTAAACTTGTGTTAGATTTGTTGTTTTTTTTTTTTTTTTGGCATACGAACATTTGTCATGGGCTAGCACATTGAACGCTGTTTGCCGTATAATTCCACTTAGCAAGTTAAATTCGGTAACAAACTTTGTAGAGTTAGTTACTATAATCAGAGGTTTAGGGATCCGGATTTCCTCCAGTTATGATGAAAATTAGACATCTAGTTTTATTTTCGTTTAAGTCAAAATACAATAAAAAAAAAATTATGTACAAAATTAATTTAAATAAATTTTTACAAATTTGCTTAAATGAATTTTTTTTGCTAAAGTAAATTTTACATCTTCTCTTTTAATCTTCTTTTCCTCATGCTTAAAATTTACTCTTTAACTTTTATATTTAACATTCTTTAACTCTCTTCTGCTCCCAACTCCCTCTTTCCTTCACTACATGCTTAACTTCTTTTTTCCTCTTCTCACTCTTACCATTCTCCATACCTATCTCTCTTTTTCCTTCATACCTAACTCTCTATTTTCTTCTCACTTCACTATCATTCTTATGCAACTTGCTCTCCTTATCTCCATCCATCCTTAGTTCTCTCTTTTCTTTATACTTAGGCTCATGCACAAAATTCACTTAAGCTAATTTTACATAAAATTTTGTTGTTTTCTGCATTTTTGCTTAAACAAATTTATTTTTGCTTAAATAAAAATATAACTAGATGTCTAGTTCTTGTCATAAATGGAAAAAATTTGGATCCGATGTTTAGGTACTTGTATACAAGATAAAACAGTTGAAACCAGATTGATAATTTTACGACATTTTCTTTTTTTGGTTTCTTCCCACGCTTTTTTCATATTCCCTTTTTTTTTTGTCAACTTATTTCTTCTAAATTCTGGTTACCACACATATGACAACATTGTTTTTCACAATCAACCTAATCTTCTCAAATGTTTCCGACTTATGACAAACCTAGGAATTCAGATACAGGAAAATATTGAATATCTCTACATACAACGAATCGTAACCAAAGTTAAATGTCCCAGGAAAAATGTTAACAATACCATTTTGAACATAATTTTTTTTTATAATTGATCTATTTTTCAAAAAGTTAAAGCATTAATCCTGCAAATTGGTAAGTTCTTAAAAATTACTTTAACTTTTTTAAAAATAGATCAATCACAAAAAAATGTTTTAAAATGTATTAAAATTAACGTATTGTGTTACATAAACTCAACTAGCAACGTCTCATGCAGACAAATCAAGGAACTCATTTAAAATGTACAATTCAACCTCACTCAGCCCAAAAACATAGTGTCTGAAAGACAAAAATCTAATCTAGGGAGATCATGAAGTATATAACTTAGCAGTTAGCACACTTGTCCAATTGAAATTGAAGCTACCTCGGTAATACCATCAGTAAAGGGGGGAAGAAGTGACGTCAGACCAATGCAGCAGAAATCCAGCCTTCGCCCTTCGAAGAGCTTCCAAAATCACAGGCTCGATGACTCATGCACTACATTCCCGTGTAACAATTGCATAGATATCAAGATCCAAGGACCAGCAATACTTATCCAGGCAAGCAAAACAGGTTGCATGTACCACCCAGACAAGCCAATTTGTATCTATTTCGATGACTTTTGAGGTTGGGAATCTTTGAGAGGCTCAGGAGTTCCACTAATGGCTGCATTCCTCAAAGCAATTTCCACTACCTCCTGCTCAGCCCTTTCCCTCTTCTTCTTTTCTAACAATTCCTCATTGATGGCATCAGGTAGCATGGTAGTTATTGAGGGCTCAAGAGTCCGAGGACCTGCACTGATCCATGGATGACTAAGACACAGAGCAGCCGTTGGTCTCTTTTCTGGTACAAAATCAAGTATTGGAACAAGAAAGTCAACCATGTCAGTTGCGTCTTGCTCACTGAAATTATATTTCTCCATCAGCACCTTATCCATTGGCCAGCATCGCAAATTGCTGATGTGTCTCAAGTCCCCGTGTCTATTGAAAAATTCTCGGGAATACCGGCCACCTAGTGCAATCTAAAGGAAGAATTTATTCAAACTTTCAGTTGAGCACAGATAAAATATCAAGATTGACCAATTTTCGGAATGAAATACTGAAATTACCCTATTGTTTCAGTTTTTTAAGCAGAAAAACTCATTGAGAAACAAATGGAGTACACTGCAAGAGGATCTGGAAAATGGAGTTTAAAATTGAATATTGTTTCTTGAACATAAACATGAAAAATTGACAATATATACAAACTTTAAAATTTTCTGAAGAGCAGATAACATCACTACCTTGTGAGGCATCATCCCAAGAAGCTCCATCATCAATGCCAGATGGTCCTGTAAAACAAATGTTTAAGCATCATCAAAACAATCCATTGATTGAAGTTAAATTCAGGTAGTCACAGCGTTATTTCCAAATTTTGTAACATTTGATTCCAAGAGAATGGGATGAGATATATGTCTGTTTAATTTATGTTGAGTGAAAAAACATTTGGTTTACCACTAAATAAATCCTGACATTTTCAGTAGGTATAAAGCAAGGGGAAAATTATAATTTTTATAAGGAACAATAGGGACTTAGAGCCCCAGTGATTCCAATGTATCCTTTCTTCCCATTATCTGTTGAAAATGTTTACTAATTAGCACCAAAGAAGAATAATGAAGCCTCAATTCTAAGATCACAAGCAGTATAAAAGCAAAATTGTGAGCATTGCAACATCTTCTCTGAACATCAGGTCATGTTTTATCCGATTGATGATATTAAAATGCTATGGAGTATGGACACAAGCAACTTTCTTTGAAGAAAAGTAGGCAGTAGCACAACTTCACAGACTGGAAGATAAAGCCATCCTTCAGAAAGAAAAGATGAGTACAAAGAGTTTAATATCCTTAGTAGAATAGAATTCACTCTTTAACTAGTATTCACTCACAAAAGTTCACAATACTCCCAATGAATGTTTATTTATTTTTAAAATATAAGTCAAACTCCATAGAATGCTGATATAAATGAAAAGAATCAAGACACAAGCATGATAATATTATCGGCTCAGGCAACAAATGAGAAATAACAAGTTTAGGAAGAAAAATGATATTCAACTATCATGGCCATGTTCTTCTTATTGCCCATCCTTCTTATGGCATATAATTGTTTCCAAAAGATAGCATTTGCATTTCTTTTGAAAAAAAAACATATTTACTAAAAAATCAGCAGAAGTATGCATTTCTGCATTCACCAGCTGACGATTATAACAAGGACACGAAAAGGTATCAAATTGAATAATGTAGTAACTGAACTAATGTTAAGGACAAAAGAACTTCTACTCTGATTAGAAAACACCCCCCAAAAGAAGACAAGTTTTCAAAGCACAAAAATGAAAAGAAAAATATTGCTACCATCAAATGATGAGAGCACAAAATAATGCGTTGAACTGGCATTTTTTTAGTACAAAACAGGTTCAGTTACCTCATCTCTATCATAGTTTTCACCACTGTGAGGATCAAAAAGAACATCACCAGTGGCAAGCTCAAAGCAAATGCAAGCAAGCGACCATAAATCTGCTGGAGTTGAGTATTTAGATCCAAGAAGAACCTCAGGACACCTATACTGCCTTGTTTGAATATCATTTGTGAATTGTTTATAAGTCCAACAAGCATTACCAAAATCAACCAGCTTGCACTTACGATCAACAGCTGCCAGCAATTTCTTTCCCATGGAACGGCTAGCTCTCCTATGACCAGGACTTCCTTGTGAAACATCCTTTTCAAAAGTCTTTGTTGATTCATCTTTACTCAATGAACTATTAGGTTTATCTTCAACACATCCCACACTTGATTTCACACCATTACTGCAATCTTGCTCAGGTACTTTATAATTCTCCTCACCATCGTCTGAACTTTCCTTCTCAACACAGCCTTGAGCTACCTTAGCATGTCTCTGCATTTTCTTTTTCTGGTTCTTTGTCAAATCTCCATTCAAAACTTTATTTTCTTGGGTAGTCCCATTATAGGACACAGTCTTATCCTTGGTGTTTGGAATGATAAGCGGAGCAGGAGCACTTGATTTTCTAGGATCCTTAGATGGATCTATCAATGACAGAAGCAACACATTCTCTGGCTTCAAATCAGTGTGTATGATTGAAAGCTCACGATGCAAGTAATCCAACCCCACCAAAATATGAAAACAAATTTCTTTAACCATGGGGAGAGGAACCCCACGATAGTCGCTATATTTGATAAGGGTGAGAAGATTGTCACCCAAGAATTCAAAAACCATACACACATGCTGACCATTAGGCCCAGAATGCTTAAAGTGATCCAAAAGCTTCACAACACATTTCTTGTCGTCAGGGTCCCCCTCAGCAATTTGTTTGAGAATCTTTATTTCATCCATCGCAGCTTCCGTGTAGTGCTGCGCACTCTTCTGAATTTTGAGCGCTACATAACGCTACAAACAAAAACTTTCCCCGTCATTAAGAGAGTTTGAACTTCAAAGTTCCAGATTAAGAAAAAAGGGAAACAAGTGGAATATGGTGGATGCATGGTTTGTTGATTCGTGTCACGTTTCAGTTGATAAGTTTTCACTAATATTTACAAAATTTTCACATTATTTTTCATTTTATTTTCTGTTTCCAGGATTTCATGAAGCCCTGCTCCCATCATTTCCCTTCACAAAGTCTACAAAACAGGGAACAAAAAAATATGGATTTACGGCATTCAAAAACTAGCACAGTTGGTACAATCGAAGAACATGTGTTATTCATTCTTCATCTAATGGCTCACATTGAACTACATCTGATTGAACAAACGTGAAGTACCAATATACTTTACATTCAACCACACTAATTGCACCCTTGTTTTACAGCACTGAATGAGGATAGCACATTTTTGTAATTATAACTAAAAAAAGAAAACAAACTGAATACATCGAGCTCTCAAGGAATGAAGAATTACCACATTCACGAAGTGCTTACTACATACGCATCTAACTATAGAAACACTGAAGACGCAAAATGTAGCAAATAATAAAGAGCGATAAGCAGTGTTGAAAAAAGAAGGCACCGAATTGAGAGTGTCCCAAGCCAGCCAGACGGTGGAAAAGTGACCCCAACCGAGTTTGGAGTGGACGATGTAGCAGCCATCGTTGAAAGTGTCACCAACTCGAACCGCATGGTACCCTCCACGCCTGTAATCTTCAATGCCTTCCTCCTCTGAACTGTAATCGCCATTGCTCTCCATCCAATGAGAGTTAGGGTTTGTAAGCTTTGCCGGGAAAATAAATGAACACCACAATTTTGGTGAGTGAGAAGGACTGCAAACATCAATGGGAATGTTAACCACTGTAAAATGGAAAACAGAGAAAAAAATTAAAAATAATATATATATATATATATATATATATATATATATATATATAATTTAACGTTATTAACTTATTTTTATATATAACAAAAATACAGGATTTCTTTATTTCTTTAACTTTATTATAATGTTTGTATTAACAAGTCTTTTACTTGTTGTTTACTTAAATAGTTATATTATTTATTTAATATTTAAATTACCAACTAAACTATTTAATCCTATTAAAAAATGTTAGAAGTTGTTGTCATTTTAATCATAATTTTATTTTAAAATTAATTAATACTATTTATTAAATAAATATTATAAGTTACATTAAAAAAGACTGAGTAATTTCTCAAGTTTTTTTAAATGCCCTTCTGGTTTTTTTTGCTGAAAAGTGAGATTTTATCGTATAAACTTTCCCTAGAAATAAGAGTTATCTTATGCCTTATATAAAACTTATCCTATTCACTTGGTGTATATGTTTGAAAACTGAATAATTTAATAATTTTTTATGATTTAATTAGTTATAAAAAAAATAGCAAGACTTATCCTATACACTATATAAAACTTATCCTATATATTTAGTGCATGAGTTAAAAATTTTGATTAAATTATTAAGTTATTATTCACCATATTTATTTATTTTTCTTAAAAATTTATTATTTTAACTTTTTTTTTCATAGTATTGCTTTTTTTTTTCCTTCTAAAATATATAAACTTCAAAAACCGTGAGAAAATAATTTTTATAAAATTTATTTAAGGTGCATGAAATGACAGGCAATGAAGATGTATGATTTAAGATTCAAGTAAGAGAGAGAGAGAACGAGAGAAAGATAAACTAAGAACATGTCTTATTTCTGTTTTAAAATTAAAATCTGATACAAATTTATATTATTTTTTAATTTAAAAAAGTATTTTTAAAATAAAATCAAACATGCTCTAAAATTCTTTAATTTAATTGTGAACATAGAATAATTGATAATGTACAAGTTGAATTTAAATAAGAGATTTCATTCTAACTTCTTCTGTTATAAATAAATAATGAAACCATTAGAATATTTTTAACTTGCAAGTTTAATAGAGACAAATAATTTTATTAATTTTTTTTACAAACCGCCCTATCCAAAAAGGAGGGAACTTAAATTGTTGAGAAAGATTTGAGAAAACTTAAATAATTCTCTTATTTTTTCTCCTTCCTTTTTAATACTTTTTAGAGGATAATTAAAAAACAACTTCTACTCTTTCTTTTTGTTTTAAATCAAACTCAGAGAAAGTCTTTCTTAATCTATCAATATAATTTATAAAAAATTATTTTTTCCATTTTAGTGACAATGATTGAAAATTACTTTGGATTATACACTAAATTACTTCCATACTTTTAAGACATCAAAATATTCCTTTTTTTTTTTCGTTTTTAATCTTTTATATGATAAAAATATATCTGAACCGGTGGCAGTAATTTAACCTTGTCAAAGTATAAAAATTACATTTATCAAAGTATGTTTTGACTCTTTAAATATTTTTTTTTCTTACACACATTACTAAATCAAATTCTTATCGACATAATTCAAAGTATACCTATCTGGCAACCATACTAAACTTTATTGGTATTTTCATTCTTCACAGTTTAATGTTGAATGCTTATATACCCCTTTTTCGTATTATTCATCAGGCAATAAATTAAGAGTTATCAAATATGTCCTTTAAATTTTTATTATTTATTTCAAGGAGAATGTTAACTCAAAAACTGAAGAGTCAAAAAACTTTTATGAAAGTGTTATAAATATACTTCTACGATATTTATTGTACTCAGTGATTGAAAAATAGAGAAATCTTAGCAACATTTTCTAAAATAAACTCTTCAACACGATTTATTTAATTTATTTTTAAAATATTAAAATATTAAAATAACTTAAAATATATTATTTACAAGATAAATACATCAACTATTTTAAAAAAAATATCTAAAGAGTGTGTTAACATTTCTCCAAACATTTATTAACCTATTAACTCGTACCCTTAAAATATTCATTCGTACATTTAAAAAATATTAATTTTTTTATTTGCGTAACATATGCATATCATAAAAAATGATTTTTATAATTATGGTAGCCAAAAGTAAAAATGTAGCGCGACAAGGGATGCATCTCTTACTGCCCGTTTTATTGCTGTTTTTTACTTCGCTTACGTACAACACCAATGGCTACACTCTATCTCCACAAATCATACAGCTGCTGTTACTAACGGAATGCAACCATTTGATGTTCGCTTACGTTTCGAGCCCCAACACAGATCTACCTTGCCAATTTTCTTTTTCGTCCCTAGAAAGCCTTGACAATTTGCAGCGCCACAGTGGCATTTCACCTCTGGACCAAACTGCACAAATCTACAATGCCACAATATGAGATCAAGTTAAATATCTATTTAAAAATATCCCGACGAGGAAAAATAGTATCATCCACATGTTTTCTCCAACGAGAATAAATATTTATTGTCCCCTTCAAAATGGGGCAGTGGGTGTATCTTTTCCCGAGAAAGTACTCGATTCAAACTCAACATGATGCGTAGAAAAAATATATGATTCGATGTTTCCTGCAGCGTTTATATTGGCCTCGCATGACTGTTCATAGTAATGCAGTAGAAATTCCTTTCTCCAGGCATATCTACCATTAAATGCACGTGATTTTCATTGGCTCTCATATATAAGAGGCTGGGTATGTGTATCCCATTGACTCCTCGGGAAATCTCAAGCTCTAAGGATACTAGGAAAAATATAAAAACGTGTGGCCAGCGCAGAACAATAATTTTTCCATCATCTAAATGATGTTATGAATATGATTGTGAAATGTAGAACAATAACTGAAATAGCTACTTAATAGTCATTAACAATAAAAATCCATTCTCTGTATTACAACATATGTAAAAATAGTAGATTAGTCCAACTTCTTTTGGGACTATTTAAAAGGAAAAGTTAGGCCAAACACAATTTCAAGAAGCTCTAAAACTTAAGGGTAGTTCTTTTATTTTAAATTAATAGAGCTTGCATATAAATTAAATAGAGCAGTTTGTGCTTTTAAGGAGAGAAGCAAAACGTTAAAATAAAATCCTAAGTCATACACTAGTTAAAAGCACAACAGAATGCCACTTAAATTTCTATCGAGTTATGTTACATATCCTGGTGCGCTACTAAAGAAATGCCATGTCCCAAGCAGAAAGTAGGAGGTAGGGTCAAAATTACCTGTAATCGTATGTCAACGGCTCTCCAACTTCTATTGAACGAGCAGCAAATACACCCACACGTGTTTCACCATCAACTTGCCTAGAAGAAACCACAAAAATTTAGACAAAAATATGGAATGTCACTAACCACACAGATTTGTCCACTTAGGATGTGTTTGAAAATGCAATTTAATTAAGTATTTATTCAACAAACTCTTATTACATGAGGACTTATATATTTGACCATATAACTTCTTGAAATAAGCTGAAAAGAGAGTTCATTAGATAAGCTACACTTAATAGCTTATTGAAATAAATAAAAGAATTTTCAATAGTGATGTATTATTTTTATAAGCTCTTTCAAACGAAACCTTATTTTAATTAATTCTGTATACACTAATCAATTCTGTATCTCTAACGTAAATAAACTTAAATAATTATAATTATAATTAAAAAATGATTATATTTGTTTGGAACTGTAGAATTTAATTCGGTTCATGTTTTAGCCCAGAGAACATTATTTTTCCATCTTAGTTTGTCAAGCAAAGCAGTCATAATGGGCTTCATGAGAAACAGGCTGTATCTTCATCATTTATAATTTAGTGGCACAAATTATGGTAGGACATCAAATGAAACATGTCTAGCAAGCACTTTGTAGGTCTAACTTTATGAGTACCGGTAATTAGACCAAGAGAGATAGTACGCCATCACCATCAAAACAAAGCTATAGGCAGAATCCAAGACAATAGCTTTGTTCAGTACACAAAGTGTCATGAAGAGCTTCATTTTGAAGCCAAAAAATGATGAGTGTAAGGTTTAGATGACATCGAGCGAGCCTATGGAAGGTTGCAGGATTCAAACGAAACCCAATGATCAAAGAATGGCATCCCACATCATTTTGTCTTGCATTAAGATGGATACATGATAACAAAAATATTGCTAGACCAAACATTGTTAAAGCAATTAAAATGCACAACAAATCAGCATACGATAGCAATCATACATATGAAGCATACTGTGCATAATATCAAGCATGCATTATTCTAAATAATTTAGAGCAACTTGGTCCACTAGGAAACTATATATCTGAAGAATCATTTAAGTGTAAAAGTAATAATGCAGCCTAGGATGACTACGTTGGGTTTTTTACACTAACCACTTTTCCAAAACACAGTTGGGATCGCAGCTATGGTTTAAAAATCGTGATGTATTTCCTTTGAAAGTTGCATCTATTGTGAAGTCTTTCCGAATCTCACACATGTAAAAATTCTGTACACCCCTGTATTTCATGTCCCAAAGCCTTTTTTCGCATAAAGCATCATCAATGACTGCAACAGAACGTTTATGGTTAAATGGATAAAAGGCATAGCTTAAAGATATAAGGTACAGAAAACATATGATTGATGATCAACAAATGCTATTTTATATTTTTTTAAAAGGACATATTGATTATGGTATGGAAGAAGGGTAGACAAACAACGTTTTGACAGTATGAAGCTATCAGCCACTTAGAAATGCGAGCTACCTTCACCAATATACTCGATTATAAATCCACCTTTATCGATTGTTTCGGCGGCCTCCACTCCCCATCCACAAAGTTCAGTCTGAATAAAAAAAAAAACACATGGTAATTGGTAGCAAAATTTTACAAAGTCTAAACGCAATAAAAGGATAACCCAAAAAAATGTCAACGATCCAAAGGTAAAAAAAAAAAAAAAAGAAGCTCCATCCATTTTACTGTCATAATATGTCACACCTTGACGATCTTGATCTTTTTTTCCTTCCGAAATGGCCGATTATTGCAATTTTCTGAGCAACGACAAGCCTTTGAGCAGCTTATGCATTGAACCCTAAGAAATGAAAATATTATGCAACAATTAACGCATAAACCTGCTTACGAAATCTTACTATATTCGCATTACAACTAATTATATTGACAAGTACATATAATGTGTGGCGTGATATTTGGTGTATAAATGTAGATGTACAACCTCTTTAATTAACAGGGAAGAGATAAACATAGTTTTGTAATCCAGACAAATAATATTTCTCCAAATCCCTATCCTTCATGTCTAGGATCACCAAACTTTCAGCCACAAAATGAATTTATGTTGGTTGTTTGATATGCAACAAAATAACTCATCGTAAGTAAAATTAAAAAGCCAACATAATCTACATCTAGAAGAAGTTTCATTCAAAACAAAGTAAACACTCGAACTCAAAATTCACACGTACCTGCACACACAATCATCCGAACACATAGAACTGCAACTGGTGCACCCTGCACCATCATCCACATCACTACGCTTCTTCTTCACTAGGTATATATCTGATATTAATTCAGGCTAGCAACTTGATGGCCAATGCAATAATTAATTTGAAAACTATTAATAATACCAAGAATAAAAATAAACTCTTTTACTTAACATTCTAAAAGGAATACGCTTATTATAACTGTATCATATATAGTAACTGCTTCAGCATAGCAAACAAGATGTTGGATACTGCGTCTTATGTGCACATATGGTGGTGGCTCCATTTTATTGTCCATGTCTTTCCAAGTGAAGTCAATCTTAAACTCCTCACTGATAAATGGAAGAGGCAAGCGACAAAATACTTCCTGGAAAAAGGAAGGATAAGTAAAATATTTCGAAAGAGATATTAACAAACAAAATTACAAAATTTTAATGCAAACGACTGGTTTGCTCATCTAAACATTACAAGGCACCAGCATATGATGAGCAATCAAATTTGTACCAGTTTAATAATATAAAATCTTTTTTTTCTCAAACATGCCATATATTATTAATCTTGCAACAGATATCTGTAAATGTCAAATATATCATGCAAAGTGATAACAAAGGATACATGCATAAGTGAGACATGTAAAAAGATTGCTCATAAACCTTACCGAAATGTTATTTGTTGAAGCATCAGGCTGCTCATCCAACAAATACAACATTCCTGTCAGCCAGCCTAATCAATGAAAAATACCAATAAAAATAAAAGTTTGAAAAGAAATTTCTAAATCTAGTGAGAAATATTCTACAATGCTGTCAATCCAAGTAGAAGCTGTTAAACCCATATAGAAGCATATTACATATGTGAGAACTAGAAAGTTTATCCATAAAACATTAAATAAGTTTGAGGAGTACCATTGTATATCCATATGCAATACATGATCAAATATTTTATGTTCCATAAAACTTTGCAAACACCATAATTTCTTTCACACGGTGCATAGGGATAGACAGGAGAGGGTGGAGAAAATAGGACGAAATGACAAACCACTTAGTGTAATGGAAGCTAATATTGAAAGAATTGCATATACTGAAGGTGAGAGAATTATAAAATGTAAGACATCACAAATTAAAGAAAGAAGCATAAAAATAGATATTCCAAACAGAAACAGATAATTTCATTAGGGCAGGGATTCTAATCAAAGCACATATTTCGATTTGCAGTGTAATTAGTAAACGGTTCAGGGACAAAAAAGGTTCTGGTGAAAAGAAAAAATTGACCTTTCTATCCAGGCGCCAATCAGAAGGATGCCTCCAACAAACAGCTTGCCCAGGATGATCTTTAAGATGCATCACTGCATCTGGCCATGGTGCACATTTACTATGGAACGCAATTTTGCAACGCACACACGTCAATTGTTTTTTTGCCTTGCAAATGAAGCATACCTGTTCATCGAAGGACTAAATATGAGTATGGAAAAACAGGGCAGGAAAATAAAGGAAAAAGACTGTGGGCAAGTTTGGGTAATAGCATATTAAGTACGTAATTCAACAACCTATTATCAAATGAGAGCTTATTCATACATTTGACAATATAACTTCGAGAAATAAGTTTAAAATAGGTGATTTTGATAAGTTTCTTTTTGAAACAAGCTAATAAGCTAAAAGGAATTTATATGAAGGTCATAAGCCCAAATAAGCTCTTCCGAATGCCCTTTGTATCCTAGATAGCATCTACAGCACGTAGTAGAAAAGCAAATCATGATCAGGAACTTTCACAAAAACACAAAAGGAGTTCGTATAATTAATTATCAATCCCATAAAGAATATCAATGTTGGCTTGCTATTTTGACAAATTAAGCTAATTCAATAATCTCCAGAATTTATCATGAAACTAGACTTGAGTAGAAAAATGTTTTGGACAATCTCGCACATATCCACATTTTAGCACTTGTGATATTTCCTTTCAGATGTGTTCAAACGATCCCAAGTTCATCAACTGACACAAATAAACATAATCTAATATTCACTCCCTGTATTAAATACCAGTTAAATGACACATTAAACTTCCAATTAATCTTCCATGAATTACATTACTCAGAAGAAAACCATAATTCACATTACAAATCATTACTCTACTAATATACAAAATACCATCAAATAAATGTATTAAAGAAGTGAGGGTCAATCTTGGTAGCGAAAGAGACTAATGTTGCATAATTAAAAATCTACATGTTGTGGGCATTTGAACTTTTTCAGACTCGCAGCTCCAACCACTTCTTTTGCACATTCCACGTGGTAGCGTGCATCACATCCACGAACAGAACATAGCAATTCCTCTCCAGGGCAGATACAATGGCGACAAAAGCAACATTCATCCTAAATCCGCACACATTACAAAAACAGTTACATGCTAACCTATGTTTTCAATTAATCAATAATTATAAATAAAAATAAAAAGTATGTATACCATCTTAGAAGCACCAACAAGAAAAGGAAGAGAGAAGGGATCTTTGAGGCGATCCTCGAAGGGCTTGTTATTGTTGGGCTTTTGGACCCGATCCAGGGAACCGCGGGTGCGCTTCAGAACCCGAGGTTCGAAGGGAGGTTCGGAAACGAAGCTGTTGGGTAGGGTTTTGAGCGGAGCATCGGAGGAGCAATGAGGGAGTGAAAGAGTTGCAGAGAGAGAGAGGTTCGCTAAATCTGGCATTGTGGGAATCTGAAACAAACCCTAGAAGAAGGAGAAACTTGCCGACAGAGGCATGGGGGGAGAGAGGGAAAGAGCAAGAAAGAGAGAGAGGAGAAGAAGAAGAAGAAAAAATGGGCGGGAAAGTGTGGTTTTGTAATTTTCAGGGGGTGTAGTGAAAGTACTGAAGGGGGCTTGTGAGATGTCTGTATTTACGATTTTGCCAGATGCTATCCTGCGCCGGAATGATGAGGGGACCGCGGAACTTTGAATTTCGGTGGCCATCGGAGCTATCAACGAATGGTCAAAAGATGCCAGCTTTTCTTAATTTACGTTTTCATTTTTTTTTTCTCATTTTTCTATCCGATAAAAAAAATTGTACCGATAGATTAGTAATCAAATAAAAGGTTTACAAGTAAAAAGATCATAAGCTTAAATTATTTCGAAATTAAATAAATAAATCACTCAAACAATTAAATATCAGCAAATTCTCCTTCACACTCTTAAATTTTATTTGCACTCAAAATTTAATATATAATGAGTCACTTACTTTTTTATCTAAACTACTGTATACTTAATCCCTATACTTAAGATATTGTTTAAGAATTTAAAATTAAAAAATAAATATAAATTATAAATATATTAATAGTATTTTTTATTATAAAAAAATATTTTTCACATATCTCATATCTACTTTATAGTTATTCTAATTATTATTGGTTACTTAGATTAAAATATTATTTCATATATGAATTTTTTTAAACTAAAAAAATATAGGATTTTTTGTAAAATTATAAAAATGTGTTTTTTTTTAAATTGTCATTGACAACTTTTAGCAAAAATTATCACTGACAACTTTTAATGTACTTTTTAAATATTTAATTTTTTAAAAAAATTTATAATTTTGGAATTTTATTACTTTTTTATATTTTTATCTCTAGAATTTTGTACTGCATACAAAATTATCAATGACAATTTTTGAAGTCTATATTTTTATAATTTTATAAAAAATCCCATTTTTTAAATTTTAAAAAATAAAAACTATATAAAAAAAAGCCTACTTAGACTAACATTTCACTTTTATTTTTTTATTGTACTTATTATGGTACTTTTAAACTTAAAAGTATATTAAATACTTTTTTAAATTATATTAAAATATTTACATCTTTTTTAAATATATCACTAAAATTAATAATTATAATTGTTCATATTATATGAACATATAATACTCTTTTATTTTTCAGAGTACTGTAAAATTTACTATTTTTTATATGTATTTTATTCTTAATAAATTCTGCATATACTTAAAGTTCTATTTATGAATTTCAAAGTTAGACTTTGAAGGAAAAACCTTATATTAAATCAAATTGTAATTGCCTCTTCAACTTTGTACTCACTCTCCCTGACAGAATTAAGACTAGAACTAGTTTTTTATATTCTCCAATTAACTCTGCCAAAACATCAATTTAAAAATATTGTTTGTAAATGATTGTTTATCATTTATTAGCCATCATGTTATCCGTTCTTCAACAATCTGAATTTGACAACAATGCCCTCTTTTCCTGCATACATTGTATTAGAAGACAATTTTTATCCCAGTTGATTGAGTTAAAGGCATCAAGTCCACTTTTAATACTACTAACAACCTTTTAAAGTTAATAATATAATTTTATACTTAAGTAAATAAATAATTTATTTATTTTTAAACCACCAAAATAAAGTGGTGGAGGGAAAGAACTAGAAAAAAGTGGTGGTGTCTTACAAAGATATAGAGCCCACTCCCTAAAGATGTTCTTTTTAACAAAGCCATCGTTTATTATTACCAAAATGTCCAAAACGAAAAAGAATAATAAAATACACACGAGTTCGTGGATATGTTTCTAGTTCCTCCCTAGGTGCCGTGGTTGATAATTCAATTCAAATGAACAAATTGCATGGCCACGAGAGACGTGTATACACAAGGGAAAAGGATAACGATGTATCAAATAGATATTTTAGCTGCCGTCTGAAGGTGGAATTGTTTATGTTGATATAATTTTTATGTAAAATGGTTTGGTAAAGGAATACGATATTCTCTTTATATAAATTGATAAATAGTGTGTATATGTATACATATAATTCATCTAGTGAATGATGTAACATTTTAATTACTAGATGACCATGTACATTTTTTAAAATTTATTTAAGATCGTATTTTACTTTAATATCAATCGTTATGTGAGTTGGAAGAATACTAATGAATAGTTCTAGTGCACTTTTTAGGAAAATAAAATATATGTTTTTGTAATCAAAGTATTTTTTCAATCATGAAGTATACATTATAAGTCAAATAAATGTATTTGTTATTTATAAATGTTTAAAATATTAAATATTTTGCTAAAACAACAAAAAACTTGATATAAGATATTGAATAATTTAACTAATCTTTTATAAAGATGGTTAATGCAAGACTTGCAGACATATCAGAGTACATGTAGACTGTATTTGGCTTAATTTTAGCCAATGTGTCATAATTCATTTATTAAATATCAGTTACAGCGAGGCAAATGTGTGATTCTTAGATATATGTGTAAAGTTTATGTATTACAAATGATCATTGATGCAAGTGGATGATCCGGAATAGGAACCACATATCTTGCAAGAAAAGTTCAGAATAAGTTGACGAAGAAAGTAGGGTATCTCTGGTGCACAAGCTACACACTTTACTAACTCATGATTACCCTTAACACTTTTGGTCAATTTATTGGATAGGAGAGAAGAAGAAGAAGAAGAAACTAGCATTCTCATGGGTATATGGTTTATATAGATTGGATTTTGTAAGGGTTTCAAATTAAAATCTCAATACATAGAGTGTACTTATCAATTGCATCACCATGGGTATTGCTGAGTCTTTTCCACTCTGCTACATACTCAATTAATAGAAATATATAAGAGGAAATGGAATAAATTAGTAATTATGATGGGTAATATATTAAAAAAAAGATTATATATATATATATATAGTTAGCTTTTTCTTTTTAACTTTTCTATGGAGTAATAGTTTTACAATTGGACTAACTGTTCAGTCAATAAAGGTTTTATTTTATCATAGTTAGATTGGAATCAAATTAATAATATATAAATATTAAATAATAATAAAAAGTAATTATAAAAAAATTAAGTAGAATTTTATTAGATTGTTATAAAAAACACATTACATGTCTTGTAAAGCTCAAAATTTTTAATAAATAATTAAAGAAATAATTTAACTTTAACCTTTAGGATTGAGTTTAATAACTACTACTACTAATAATAATAATATTTTATAAACAAATATTTAATACTTTTTTTATACTCTCTAAATAGAATAATTATTTTTTTAAGAATCAAAGATAAGAAAAGTGATAATTAAATACTGTGCACAATATTTAAATGTGATTATTTTGTTTTTGAGTTGTATTAAAATAAAAATAAAAACAATTCAAACTAATTTCCATACCCATTTTTTTATTTTTATTAATACTTAAAAAATCATTTGTTTATTTTTTTATCAGTTTAAAAAACTTTAATGATGAAATCGACATTATTGTATTCCCGTCATTTCATATGAAGGTTGAATAAAAAGAAAGGGAAAAAAAATATATTCTCTTACTAGAAGTACCCAAACTTTCATAAGAAATAAAAATATGAAAAATGAATAACAATTTGATATGGGCCACGTGTTAAAACAAAAGCACGGTTGCAATTAAATAATTTTAATAAATTATATAAATATATTATTAACTCATATTCTTATAATTAAAAAAAATTAACTAAATATTTTGTAATATTTTATATTTTTCAGATAATAAATACAGCAACTGTTTGAACATTTGACTTTAAAAAGAAAATTAGTTACAGAAATAAATAAATTGTGGCCGTAACAATTGTACTTTTTAAGAAGTTGAAAGCTAAATCATTTTAGCTTAGTGAATGAAAGACAAGTGTCAACACATAAGTAAAAGTGGTTTACCTGAAGATTTGTGTTGTCTAGGAAATTAAGATGACTTAATGATTAAGCTTAGATATGTAAAATAATCGTCGTAAAATTTGTTATTATATATCATTAATTGACTTTTATTAACTAATATTTTAAATAAATTAATAAAAATGACAAATAAAAAATTATAAGAAATCATAGTAAAAATACACTGATAAAAAATTATATTAATATAAATTACATTATCTCTTGTATCGTTTAATCATTTTTTATTAAATAATTAAATTAAATTAAAAATTTTAATCATATAAATCTATATGCAAAATTTTAGATTAATTTAGAATTAATTAATATTTGTTATAAAATATTAAACTCTTTGATTAGGTTGTTATATTTGTTAAATTTTGACCAAATTTAGTTAGAATTTAATTAATAATTGAATTGATAAAAATTATATCATATAAAATATATTTTTTAATAATGTAAGAGTGAATGTAATTTATATTAATATAATTTGATTTTTTATAAAATTAAACAATGTATTATTTTTTTTAATTATATAACCAAATCCTTCAAAACATGTATTATAATCGTGTCTTGTAAATAAAAAAATTATCTTTTAAAATCACTTTTGATATTTATCAAATTTTCAGATAAACGATCTTATTATGATATTTTTTTTGGTCATAAATGCTTCTTAATTAAATTATCAACATCACTATTTAAGTGTTTACTAATTTTCTTTCCTTATATATATATAACCTATACTTTAAAGATTGTGTGTGTATACACCAGACAATGAAATCCTAATTAAGTTAGCATAAAAAAGTTGCCTCTTGTCCAATGTGTTGACTCACTTGCGAATTACAGATTTGTTAAAGAATGAGAATAGCCATTGCAATCCCAACTTGTGATCTTCGGAGAGTATTGAGCATTTATTAACCATGAGCAGTTATTGCATGACACTACTTAGTGTGACCCTTAAAAAATATGATCATCATGTTGTTTGTAATATATAAATTTAATAAAGATAAATAAGTAATTTAATTGATTTTTTTCATCATAAATTGATATATAAAAGGAATCAATGATTGAATTTCAGTAAATAAAATTGTGTTAAATACTTTTGAAAAAAAAACTTTATTTTAATGAATCTATTTAATTTAAATTAAAATTCAGTTTTTTTTTTGGTGAGAACTGAATAGTTTAGTCAAGTAAAATTTTATATTTTTCTTAAATGAAAATACAAAATTTACTAAAAGAACTGTTTTATTACGGGATTGAATTTAAATTTATCTAATTTAAAAATTTTTAAAAATTATATCTTATTTCTTAATTAAGAAACAAAAAATACACTTAAAAAAAAATTAAAGACTATAATTTTGATGTAGTTAACACTCTTTTCATTTTTATTTTCTTTTTTCTCCATTGTCAAGTATTTCTTACATTCCATTCCATGCTACTACCATACCTTTATCTTTAAATAACCATTAAAATCACGAAGGTCTTCATTCGTTTCATTAAAACCAATCTTCCACTGGTCACGTCTCTTTAATTCACCCAATAGCCATAGGCTAAAACGGTTTCACCTCCTATTGCTTTTTCATTGGCATAACTCATTCTCATAACTGTGTGTGTTGGGCGGGTGAAGGAGGAGAAAAACGAAGAAGGGAAAGAGGAAGCGGAAGAAAAGGGGTAAGAAGGAAGAAGGAAATTGAAAAAAGAAAAGAAAATACGTTGAAAAGTACAATGCAGGAAAAAATGAATAATTTAAAATAAGTTTAAAAGCTCAAAGACTAAAAGAACATAGAAGACTAAACTAAAATATAGATACAAATTAACATATCAATATACTAAAATTGCTTAAAAAGTACATTTAAAAATATACCTACTAGTATCTTCAAAATAAACGTTAGTAAAATTCTTATTTAATTGAAATAAAATAAAAAATTATCAAAGTATAAATTTTTGAAAAATTACGAAAATGTAAGATTATTTTATTAAAAATTATCGGTCGTATCTTTTTTACACTTTGAATTTTTTTCATTTTTAAAAAAATTACTATTAACGACGTTTGACTTTTTTAGAATTTTTAATACTTTTTTTAAAATCATTATTCATAATTTTTCGTCCATCGTTACCTAAACTAACTGATTTAAAAATTTTATATTTATGTAATTTTTTCAAAAATAACGTACTTTAAAATATATAATTTTTAAATAACATATATACAAAATATTATAAAATCGGATTCTTTTGTCTTTGTTTTTGTTTTTGTCTTTTTTTTAAAATCTTGTAGTTAAGGGAGCAGAAAACAAAGAAGTGTAACGAGCAGTAAATTGCAGTCTTTTGTTTATCCTAGATAATAAATAGTAGTAGTAAGTAGTAACTTTACGTAATCCATAATCCATTATTGTTGTGTTATTGGACGAAACTTGCAACCTGCAACTTGCAAGTTCGTTCAGGTTGCAACTCTCTCTCTCTCTCTCTCTCTCTCTCTCTCGCGCCTTAATCTATATCTAGATTCCGGAATCATGATCATGAAGTACAAAACCAACAACAATAACAACCTCAATTTTTGCGTTGCTTTGCTTTTTGTTCTCATATTCCATTAGTGTTTAAGTGTCTCAATTCCATTTTGCTTTCCCTTCTTTCACTTTCCAACCGACACTAATGGACAAGTTGTTCGTCGCTTTTCTCTTCTCCGTCGTGCTTCTGTCGTCGGCGGTTGGGTCTCCTGTGACTCTGACGCTGGAAAGAGCGTTCCCTTCTAATCATGGCGTGGAGTTGAGTCAGCTCAGAGCGAGGGACATCCTCAGACATCATAGAATGTTGCAGTCTACTAACTATGTTGTAGATTTCCCTGTTAAAGGAACCTTCGATCCCACACAAGTCGGGTAATTCTGTCACCCCCTTTTTAAATTTCACCTGTTAATTAATTTTTTGGATCAGTTTCTCTCATGGGTGTCATCAAAGGAGGTTTTTTTTTTTTTTGTGTTTAAAATGAAAAATCAAAGATTTTTGGTTTGGTCACGTTGCTCTCAATTCTGATATTTTTTAATGTTTCAATGATAATTTTCTTTGTAATGGCGGAAGAATATCAATATATGGTTCTCTCCTTCTAATACCCGTTGTTGGTTCCTTCTTGCTTTACTTTTATTTTATGTTTTGTTCTCTCAATTCAATTTTTTCTTTTTAAAAAGTTGAAATTTGTGGCTTCTTTCAGGCTTTACTTTACAAAGGTGAAATTGGGTACTCCTCCAAGGGAATTTTATGTGCAGATTGACACTGGCAGTGATGTTCTCTGGGTTAGTTGTGGATCCTGCAGTGGTTGTCCCCAGACAAGTGGCCTCCCAGTAAATTCACAATTCCCTGCTTGTTAATTACGTAATTCAGTGCACAGTTTGTTTAACAATATTAAGATTAATATACTTCTGGGATTTGTGAGTAATTGGATATCATCATTGGTGGATTTTGTCGCAGATTCAACTCAATTACTTTGACCCTGGGAGTTCATCAACATCTTCATTGATCTCTTGTTCGGATCGAAGGTGCAGGAATGGAGTACAGTCATCAGATGCCAGTTGTTCCAGTCAGAGCAACCAGTGCACTTACACATTTCAGTATGGAGATGGTAGTGGAACATCAGGTTATTATGTGTCAGACTTGATGCATTTTGCCAGTATTTTTGAGGGTTCCTTGATGACCAATTCGTCGGCATCTGTAGTTTTTGGGTGAGCTATGATGAATCTGAGATGATTCAAAATTACATTGCTATGTTTTAATAATAATCACCCCTTCCCCCTTTGCACTTGTTAGTTTAAACTTGGAAAGTAATGGCTTATATGTTGTGCTATGGAACAGCTGTAGCAACCTGCAGAGTGGGGACTTGACAAAGTCTGATAGAGCAGTTGATGGGATATTTGGATTTGGGCAACAAGGCATGTCTGTCATCTCCCAACTCTCATCGCAAGGAATTGCTCCAAGAGTGTTCTCTCATTGCCTGAAAGGAGATAATAGTGGTGGGGGCATATTGGTTCTTGGCGAGATTGTGGAACCGGACATAATTTTTAGTCCACTTGTTCCATCACAGTATGTTCATCTCATTCATTATAGTATATGCAACATTTTGATTTCTTTATATCCATTATTCATTTGTGATTTTTTCTCAAGTGTTAACCTTTGCTGGTTTGTTTGTATGAGATGGAAGTTGGGAAACAAGTTAAGTTGACAGAGCTTTGTGTCTTTGTTCTTAGGAGCCTAATGAGATGAATAATTAAAAATTCAGTTGTATTGATACATGGCAAGTGTTTACTGGTTGAAGTCACTTGGTTTTTTAGGCTTCAAATAAGCCATCCGAGCGAGATATTTATCCACTTAAAATTTTAAGCTGTATGTGAATCTTGAGCATTGAAATCAATTTATAATTTCATACTCACTCACTAGTTAGGAATATGATTGCGAAAATGTTCAGGTAAAGATAGGTATTTAGCACTTTGATAGTTTGTATTTGTACCAATTTACAGCTATAGAACTATGGGATGAGTGGTGTGTTTTCAGTTGTTGCAATGTGTTTAGGTGCCTTGTATAAGGACAACAGAATTTCATTCAGTGGTTATTTTACTGGTTGTCTGGTGCTCCTATTTATTTTATATTTTGCAAATGGTTAAGCCTCAAAAACATTGATATCAGGCATCAAAATCCAGAGGAAAACATGTTCAATCATGAATCAAAGTCATACGTGATACTAAAATGGATTTCTACTTGTATAAGCCTAATCATTACCTCACGTCAGCAAAACATAGTTATTGATTTTAAGCCTTGAATAGTTTGACAGCTAAACTTTTTGAGTCAACCTTCCTTCATCTGTGGGTGCATAGTTTCTTAATAGATGTCATATGGTGCATGGAGTGCTTCTTTTTTTTTTCTATTACTAGATTTTTATTGATAAATCGAAGATTTAGGCACAACTTTGAGTTTACAAACTCTGTTGTAGTTCTGCTTTTTTCTTTTTACCAAAAATATGCATTCGTATTCATACTTAAATATTATACTTACGTTGAATAAGAATTTTAAATTTCAAAAATGGTATTGTTAAAAAAATTATTTGTATTGAAATGGACACAGAATATTCTTTGAGAAAAATGTTTAGATTGATTGCTTCCTTGGCACATATTTCAGGCCCCATTACAACTTAAATCTGCAGAGCATCTCTGTCAATGGCCAAATTTTGCAAATTGATCCTGCAGTTTTTTCTACATCAAATAACAGAGGTACCATTATTGATTCTGGAACAACTTTGGCATACCTTGCAGAAGAAGCCTACAACCCCTTTGTCAATGCGGTGAGTTTCACTTAGGTAATTTCTTTTCGTCCAGTTGATCCATATTAAACAATGCTTTGATTCATCATGTGTAACTAAAAATGGTACCATATTTTTTCCTTTCTAGGAAATTTATCAATAATTAATGGAAAAAGTATTTTTCATGCAGATTACAGTGGCTATTCCACAATCTGTACGCACTGTTCTTTCTAGGGGAAATCAGTGCTACTTAATAACCAGCTCCAGGTTAAGTTGAACTGTTTATAGATTTTGTGTTGATTGTTTCAAGACTCTCTTCTTTTCATGATTGGATGCTAAGAATAGAGGATCTTGACACTCTTTCTTTACCTTTTTTTGGCTATACTGTGTGTAGCAATGTCGACATTTTTCCACAAGTCAGTCTGAACTTTGCTGGAGGTTCATCTCTGGTTTTAAGGCCACAGGACTACCTTATACAGCAGAATTATATTGTATGTTTTCAAGCTTTGATTTCCTTTTATTTAATTTTCTTGGGATTAATGTCTTGATTAAGTGATTTGCAAAGAAATTCATTCCAATTTGGCATGAGTTATAGTTTCGCTGATTATCAATCTGATTCTTTTCTTTCCTTTCTTTGTTGTTATATTTACTTCTGTTTCTAAGGTCCTCATCCTTCTCTATAATAATATTTCATTGACAACTTTTGTAGATCTAAATATCTAATAATTTCTTGTAGTATAGCAAAATTATCCTGCCCTAGAAACTAGTGTTGAAGTTTCTATGGTGTTTAGTTAAATCTTTTAATTCTTATGCATTGTTAGTTCCCTTCTTAGTGCCTTATGTGTGAGGGAGGGAAGAAAACACTTCTCTTCCAATTCTCATTTTCATGACTGAACTTTTATCCTACAGAAATTTTTAGGACACATCTCAGCTGCTTCATGGTTATTTTTGTCATTGCTGATTGCTTTGACTAACTATCTACCTTTATTCTTGATATACGTCTTAATATTATACTTTGTTCATTTTGACATGTTGTCTTACTCATGCAAGGATATTGTGTGTGTGCCACAGGGTGAGGGATCAGTGTGGTGTATTGGCTTTCAGAAAATCCCGGGTCAAGGTGTAACAATTCTAGGAGGTATAATGCCAGTTTGGAAACTTTAGGGCTGTTTGGTTTATAATTACAAAAACCTCACCTTGTTTTTATTATATTTCCTGTTTTTGAAGATTCATTCAACAAACACTGATTTTTTTTTCATTGTTTCTTATACAAATATTTGAAAATAGAAAATAAAATAAAACAAGGTGGTTGTTTTGTAATTAAAATTGAAAACAAAATGCTTTCTAAAATCAAACAATGCCTTAAGTTCTATATCCATATGTTTATATTTTAAAATTTGATTGAAAAGATACATAAAATAAGTTTTGCATGTAATTGAAGTTCAATTAAAAATAATTGAATTCAAAGCCTTATTTACAAAGAAAATCCTCGTATTGAATCAAATTATAATTCCCCCTCTCAACTTTGTACTCATTGGCAAATTTTCTTCTAGAAATAGTTTGTTTATGCTCCCAGTCTGCCAGAACATGAATTCATTAATATTGCATGTAACTTAGTTGTTATCATCTGTTAGCAATCATGTTACCTTTTTACCACCATTATGATACTGACAATGCCCTTTTTCTGACAGACCTTGTATTAAAAGACAAAATTTTTGTCTATGATCTTGCTGGTCAACGCATTGGATGGGCTAACTATGACTGTAAGTTTTGAACTACACTACATTGAAGGCAAATAGTAAACTCACGTGCATACATACACATAAGTTGAGCTATATTTTCATTTATAGTTCTTGAAAATCTCTACAAAATCGTATTCTAATATTTTTCAATTTAAATTTATTGAACTAGGTTCATTGCCAGTTAATGTCTCTGCATCAACTGGTAGGGGCAGAAGTGAGTTTGTGGATGCTGGAGAGCTAAATGGAAGCACTTCTTTACGTTATGCAACTCACAATTTGCTAAAGACAGTGCTCCTTACTCTCTTAATAACACTAATATGTTGCTATGTATTTTTGTAGCATGTGGAATTGGAATTGATATTCTTTCTTCACTATGTATATTCTCTTGCCGGTGTATAATTGTGGCAATTGGCAAGATCACACATGTTATTACTTGGATTGTCGCTTGTGCCTTTTTTATGCACGATAGGTTTGAATGCTTTAGCTTCAGGTGCTTAAGTAAGTCACTTTTTTTTTATCACCTATGTTTCTTACTTTTTAATTTTTTGATAGCATTGTAAATTCACATGATTATTTATTGATTGAATCGCTGATACAACTTATACCTCATTTGGGGTTTTTGACTAGCTTGGTTTCTGCATAAAATTCATTTGCTTTTAGGGTCAATGCATAAAATCAATTATTCTAGGTGGCTTATTGTGAGTTGTAGATTTGTTTATGTTGTTAATTTTAGTTCAGCCTTTGTGGGCCAACTCGTGTCGATGCCACATTATTAATTTGGACTTTGGCGGTGATAATTATTTTTTGCATCGTTCTCTGAATTGACCGTACCACCTTTTTTGCATCACTTCTGAAATTAAATTTTAGAAATAGTGTTTAATATATTTTAAAATTAAAATTTCAAAAATAATAAAAATTAGGGTGGCATAAAAAGTGGTAAAAAAATTTTGTAGGATGAGAATTTTTAAATATTATATATTTAAAATAATTTCTTTAAAATTATTTTTTTAACAATTTTAAAAAATATAACTGTAATAGTTATGAAATTAAATTTTCTTTTTTATTTATATAAAACAGCCATTATCTCAAAATCATTAATTTTTTATCTTTGTTTTTGAAGTAATTTAAATACTTTTTATGCTAGAGAATTGGGTGTTCCTATCCTAATTTTATTTAAAATCTTACATTATTGAATTTCCTTTGTATGATTTTTCTAAATTTTGCTTAAATCATATTTTTCTTGTTTAAGCAAAAAGTTATAAAAAAAATGATTTATTGAATATGGTTACACGAGATATTACTTATACAAAGATTGAATATCATATATTTTATTAAGCTAAATTATTATAATATAAGTAAATATTAATAAAATTTATGTATTCATTATTATATAAAATTAGTTTACGAAAAATTACAAAAAATAAATTTTTTGCGTTATAACAATTACTAAATTTATATATTCATCACTTTATAAATATTAATTAGTTTAAAAAAAAATTACAAAAAATAATTTTTATCTGTTTCATTCAAATATTTTATGAATGTTATAACATGTTCATCACAACTAATTCTATTAATTCAAAAGCAAATAGACCAACATTCTTTTCATATTAATTTAAAAAAATTTATAAACTAAAACTACATGAATGCATGTAAATCTACGAATACAATTATATAAAAATATAAAATAAATCATTTATTTTATTTTAAATATATAAAAACCAGTATTATTAAATTATATGTCAAAAATTTAAATTTTTTATTTTATTGAAATTACATCTAATAGTTTAAAAAATTTCCTCAGTCATACATCATTTACTTGATAATTCTCATATTAGTTTGAGCTCAAACTAAAATAAGTAAAATTAAACACAAATTTTATGTCTTTTTAAGGTAAGTGTATAATTTAAAATAAGACTGAAAAAGTGTATAATTTTTTGTAATAAGAAAAATAAGGTAAACTAGAAAAATGAAGTTTTAATCGTTCACCCAAACCCGTGGTCGAATTCTGAGTGAAATGTTAAGAATTTACACGAGTCTAAAGGTCACAGGTAAAACCATCACTAAACAAATTAATACCCACTTCGGAACGACATTCTATCAGGCAACACTACCAACGTGCCAAATTATATGAAAGACCAATAAAATATTTCAAATAAACAATCATAAAAACAGTTTTACATTTAATTTTTTGAACATGGTTATTTATACCACTAAATAACTATAAATAACCATAAAATAATTTTCTGTATCAAATTCTGCAATTCAACTTCTTTACCTCGGAACTTGAAAAAAACCATTAAGACAAATAAAATAAAAAAAGTACGTGCTTTCATTTGTCAGAGAAAAAAGTCCGCATTCTATTGCGTTCATACAATTCACTGATAAAGGATAGAGCCAAACAAGGTATTCGGACCAATAAATTAAATGTCCATTATATGCAAAAATAGACAACCGTCTCGTCAATAGATATAGCAGCTACTAAAATAACCGCATTAAGCAACCCTATTAAGATAGGACAGCAAAATATCTATAACCACGCAAACAAGAAGAGAGATCTCTGATGCCCAACAGAGATAAATCTGGGTGTTAACACTAAAGTTTATATATCAAAAAACTTGTTTATATCTTCATCTTTACAGAAGTAACTTCAGCAGAAAAACATCACGTCTTTAACGTTTTCCTTGACTGAGGGCAATGTCATCTCAAAATTTGTCCTGCTGCCACTAGCAGAACCAGCTTCTGATATTTCACCATCAATGTAGCAGCGAGCACGAAAAGCTGCCAAGTGTGCATAATATGCGGGAGGAACTGCAAACAATAATCAACTTTTAATGAATCCATGCTTGTGTTGTAACCAAGACATTGACAATAAAAAGCATTGAATTATCAAACCTATTGACACTGATCGGGTACACCTTGCATACCTAAAAAGTAAAATAAATTCCACGACGTTAAAAAAAAAAACAGTAACAGCAATATAGAAGACTTTAAAAGGAGAATTACGTGTAGCATAAATTATTTGTCAGAGTTTGCAACTCATCTGCGCTAAATCCATTTTCATCGAACAATACATGATAATGAGTTGGTCGACTAGTTCCCTGCAAAATGTCAATAGTTCAATCAAAACAGATAAATGCCAAATGTAAATTGTGCAATAGATAGCAGACTCAATTATGAACTCAATACTAGCTAGTATTACTTGAATTCCAGCATGGCTATTGAGGTAAAAATCAAATTCCCGAGGATGGCAAATGGCTGTGTCCACAACAGTCCCTTTAGAAAATAACAATGAAGTACTCAAATCAGTAAAATTTTTAGAAAGGAAATGTGCAGCTGTGAGAATATGGCCGAATAGAAAGAGATACAAAACCTGGCATTATATTTCCACTTCTATCCGTCTGATCACGACGTCTATGATCAGCAGGAAAGAGACGGGTGTGATGTCTTTTCTGGACAACCACAAACGTCACTGGGGGTAAATATCCTTCTTCTAACGAGGCACAAGCCTGAGAAAGAAGTAAAAAATGTTGCTCACAGAGAACTAGTCAAGATGAAAAATAACAAGAGCAGTCCATTGAAGTTTTCAAAATTCTATCAACAACGAGTATAAATAAAGTGCACAACAAATGGTTTCATTGTGCTTTTTACGTTATCCATTGTGGTTGTTAAATATGATTGTATCCTAGATTAGAAAGGAGTTCCCCACTGCGCATACCTTTCTTATAGCATCCATCTCATAAAGCAAAACCTGACTAAATTGGCCCTCACTAACTCCGTCTCTGTCAAGGACAAATTGATATTGAAAAAAAAAAAAACAAGGAATTATTATAAAAAAAAGTACATAACAAAAACAAGTAGCATTAAGTTTAAACCAAATCCAACCTGTAGAATATAATCCTATGAGGCTTATGCCCGGTTGACGCACGGAAAGCCCGGAGTAAATCCCTGAAAAATAAAAAAAGGACATAACAACAAATCAGATTCCGCTACACAATGGAAAACAGGAAAATACTGTTCCTGTCCACGGTACCTGATCATTCCACCGTGGACTTGTCCCTTCACAGGATCTTGTGTTAGTTTATAAAGATCCTGAATAATTTCTTCACGGTGAGCCTGAGCAGAAACAATTCCTCTGTACTTTGTGACCTCAGGCCAATCCATGGAAGCCACTACCTACACCAACATTTTTCAGCAATTATGAGAGAAAAGGATACGCCAGAAAAAAGTATCGAGTAAATATGAATAAAAAGAAGAAAACTTACTGCGGCTATAGATGGACTGGAGTCTTCCCCTGGTTGCGGATGCGTTACATCCGCACCCAATATTAATGTAGGATTATCAGACACATGAGGGATTCTCAACGCAATTGCATCAGTTAACACTGTGTTTCGACCACCAACCTATGTAATCAACACAATGATAGGTTTATATATTAAGAGCAATAAGAAAATTATGAAACAAGGCCTATTAATCGGATAAGTTCAACCTTAACATTTATCTTGAGGGCAAGATTTTCAAGATATTGCTTGTTCAACCTTTCAACCTGCCTCGGCCGACAACACTGAGACACTATTCCTAATTCTGTTTCACATATGCGCTTTATTCTATCTGCGATGACAAAGAACACTCAACATAACATGAAGCCAAATCATGTTATTCAATTTGAATTAGAAAACACTCACCATAAGACCCCGTGGAATCAGGCAAAATTATTATCAATAATTGGAGTCTCTCCTTAGTTGCAAGTTTAGCCCTACACTGCTTATGAATATTAACAAGAACATTCTCTATTTGTGTAGGTTGAGCAAAAGATATAGGTATTAACGGCTGTGGATTAAAATTCTGACATAGAATCCAAACAAGTAAAGAAATTGTCAGCAAAGTATGCAGAAGATAATCGTGCCAATAAATAGTTCAGGCTAACATCATACCATTCCCTTACTGGAACACATTTTGACCAATTCATCAGAAAATACATATGGCATGTCTCTGTTCAATCTAACTGAAAAGTTGACGCAAGTCCAATGTTGAACATTACCCCCATTAACCATTTTCTACAGAACATTAACAAGAATTACACTTATTTCAATTAACAATATACTAAACAAGTATATTTAAAGCATTTGTATTAAGGATTCTACAAAACAAGCATTCACAGTTTCACCTTATCAATCATATTCCACTGACCCATTCGTGGTTCAACATTTGATTCTTTGCCTGTTTCATGATATTTAAGCTGCAGTAAGAAAAGAAAATTAGATATATAAAACATGAAAATATGGTAAACTATGCCATAAACCAGTTGATACCCTTGGAGGTGGCAAAACACGAGCATTTATCAATGCTAGATCCTCCTTTACTCGAATCCCAAAGTCACGCACAAACTTGTCTGCATTGAAATTGTTCTGCCCCACAATCTGCCAAGCAACGAAGTGCCAGTCGTAAGAACAACAGTCATCACATATATTAGTATACCACAAAGGTACCTTTTTGACAAGGTTTTCTCTATCGTAAGGACGCTGACAGGTTGCCCTTAAAAGAGCAGTCACTTGCTCCTCATTCAATCTTTTAGTGTATCGTTGTCTAGCTGCAATCTGACACAGCTACAAAAAAAAACAAAGAGGTAAAGCCTAAAACCAAATAAAAAGAACATGCATAATATTTATAAAAGTGGAATGTATTGTAGAGTAAACCTCCATTGGCAGATAAATCGGTTTTGTGTCACTACCAGCTTGGAGAGCAGGTAGAACTAGGTACTTCAACATAATATTGTATTTCTCACGGAAATATTGGACGACCGATTTTTTGGTTACTTTGTCATCAAGGGTAAACCTGGAGATCAAGAGTAAGATTAAGCACACATAACAAAAAAATAAAATAAAAATTGGAACACATTGTCCAGGCCTACACAACTTCAAACTCAAAAGGCCTGCGTGGTTACATGCAATTAAGGGTAGGGAAAGCAAGCAAGTTAGAAAATATTTCATTAAAAAGTACAGAAAAAAAAAGACTTTCAAAAGCCAACTCCTTGTTCATGAAAAAAATTAGAACGGTCCAAGTGTTCTTGCTATTTATACTCCATTGAAAAATAAATTAGTTGTGATGATGACATGAGAGACGGAAGGAGACATTTCATTCAATTTCTAATTCCCAAAGAAATTCTTTAATTTTGTGAAACATGACACAACATTACGAACCTTCTTTTACATCCACCTAGAAAAACTAAACAAGAACAACTATTGTGAGAAATCAAAAGCATATCAAGCTCACATTAAGTCTCTGAGTGGTTCTTTGGTGACTCCAGTAACTTTGTAACTTCTAATATTCTGTCCATTAATAAGTTCTACCTTGACTCCTCTCAAAGCTTTCTTAATCTGAAAATTTACAAACAAAAAGAACATGATTTCTAAAGGACTAAAAAGATTTCTGTATAACAACGGAGAGAAAAGCATTCTATCATCAGTAGGCCTGCATAACCAAAAGGCTTCTCAAAAAGAAGGATCAATAGCATAAAACATTACACAAATACCTTAACGCGGTCTTGATCAGATAAAGGCCTTGAAAGATTAAATTTAAAATGTTTCTCAATGAATTCTATCACCATAATCTTCTCATAAAACGCCCGAGCTGATACATCTGCAACATACGGAAAGACATGAATCTAAATCCAATTGTTATTCTATGCACTCAAAACGAAAGCATCAATAATGTATAGAAATATAACCAATATTAAGAGAAAGCCCCATCTGGATTGCTCTAAGACTTTGGTAATATCCTCTCCAATACTCAATACCACCCCCAAGTGGACCAGGTTGCCCAAGCTCCGGCGCGAAGAACGACCTCCCGACAACATCGTACCTGCGGTTGTCAAAGTTTCCAATGTCACCAAACCCAAATGCAACACACACAAAAAAAAAGACAAAACCCATCAAAATCATACTTATAAGATGGTGTTGCCCGCAAAACAACGTCAAGAGCTTGAATGGTTTCTTGTGGACAATCCAGCTGAAGTCGATTCAGAAACTGAGTAAGATGGTGAAGATCAGTCTTCGAAGCATACCGGATTGTCACTCTAAACTCACGTTCACGCTTTTTTCTGCAACAAAAGCAATGATCACCATTATTATTATTATTGTAAACTTTTGTCCAAAAAAATAGTAATATTGAAAACTGTTAATGCATTGAATAACGTAATTTTTAATAAAAACTTAGTATATATAATGTAAAATATTTCACATTGCTCTATTTAGAAAAACGATTATTATTATTTTGTAACAGAGGACATACTTAGCAGTAGCAGAAGAGGAGGAGACTTGTTCATCGTCATTACTAAGTTTGACTACAAATTCCTTTGATTGAAAAGGCAATGGTCCTGCAGTAAAAAGACTCTTTCGCCCGTCATAAGCTGGTGTGCGCTTTCCCATTACGTCATGATACATTTGCGTTAAGAGACTCATCACCTCTCTACACACCTTTTTCGAAGTAATCTCGGGAGTGATGGATACCTGAACAAACATCGAAAAATTATTCTTCAGACACATTAACTAATTTCACTTACTAACATTATAACACATTATAAGGGCTTCTTTTATTATTATCAATCCAAACACCGTAATAAATAAGATTGAGATTATGAAAATAAATATCTAAATTTAAATATAAAAGGAAAACGAGTTATGAGTGTGGTTTAACTGACATCGTAGTGGTAGAGATCCCGCTCAGCAACTTGGACCAGAAAGTGATTAGCGCGAACTTGGATTTTCAGTCCAGCTTTACCGTAACCAGGCCGGTCCGGGAACCTGATGGCTTTCAACGAGGACGGCGGCGCCGGTGACTGCAATGTGAGTTTCTGCTCAACTTCAGAACTCAGAGATTCCGTCGTGGGAGACGGAGGAGGGGCAGATGAACTTGATGCAGCAACAGGCGGAACGGAGGCCGGAGGAGGCGCATGCACAGGAGAAGGAGCAGGTGAGGGACGTGCTCCGCGTCCTCGGCCGCGGCCTCTTCCGGTGGGGGAGAATTGTGAAGTCGCCGGCGATGGTTGTTGACGGCGGAGGTCGGGTTGCTTACCGGCACCACGACGAGACATTGGGGTAAATGAAAGGAAATGATTAAAGAGAGTGGTTTGCGTGTGGGAGAGAAACGAGGGAAGTGAGTGGCTTTTTATACAGAGAAAAAAAAAAAAAAAGGTTCTTTAACTGCAGGGAAGGTAACCGTCTGGAGTGGAACTGGCAGAGAGTGGGAGAGAGAGATAAAAACTTCAAGGGTCATTGTCATTTTTCTTTCTTTTTTTATTTCTACTATTGGCTGTCGAGATTCTAATTTGCAAAATTAAAATACTTATTTTGACAAAGTTAATTCAGGTGGCAACCAACTTGACTAAACATGTGTTCATATATTTGGATTAAGTATAACGCTTTGTAATATAAAATAGAAGGATAAGAATTTTTAAAAGAATTAAAATGTACTTTTAAAATGTCTCTATAAAATGTAAAAAATAAGTAATGAAAAATATAACATTAATTTTAGTCACATTAATAGTAAAAAATTTATACATTAATCAATAAAAATATAAATATAATTTTTATATTAGTTATATAAATTAAATATTTCAATTAATATAATTATTTATATTTAAATTATATAACATATAAAAAAATACATAAAATAAATAATTATTCCAACTTAACTTGAAATATCAAATTCAGGTATTATTGAATCAAATGCAATTGTGCATTTTATCGACAATAAACACGTGATCCAGTTAAAACATTATTAGATTCATTTGCAATCTAAAAATACAAGTAAATAAAGTTTTATATTTTTCACTTATTTAAATTAAATTATATATAATTTTTATTTTCATATTTAAATAACAAACCATAATTATGTAAGATAAATGTTATATTTAGATGTATCAGATAAAAATTAATTAGTTCTTTTTTATAATAATTAATTTTGTATTATATATAATTAATTATTTAACATAAAAGTAAAATAAATTGTATTTTTATCGATGAGTAATATAATATAATTATATTAAAGATAGAAAAGTACAGTTTATATCGAATAAAAAATTAATTACTTAAAGTTGATAAAAAATACCTTTATCTTTTTATATGATAATATATTATATTATTTAATAATGTAAAAAATTTTAAATTTAATATAAAAAAAGTTACCTACAAGATAATATATTGCTTCTTTTATAATTAGAAATTTAAAAATTTACTTATCATCGAAAAGGGTATTATTTTGTTAAGATTAAACATCATAATTTGAACTTTTTAAATATGTTTAAATAGAAAAATGTATACTTTTTAATCATATTATAAAATTAAAAGAGATTATAACTCAAGCATGTTCTCTGGAAAAAAAAAAGTATTGATATAAAATTTAGTTTTTCAAAATATAAAGTTTTTTAAAAAAATCAGATAAAAAAACATAAATAAGATTACCTATTTTATTAATCAGTGGGTACTGATTAAAAAACTAATAAAGAAAATATTTATTAAAATTAATGTTAAAATAGATTTAAAAATATATAAAATGATGATTTTTAATTTTTTTAAATAAAATATATATTTTTAATTACAAGTATTCTTAGCATTTTTTTTAAAACTACATAAAAATATAGCATCAAGAGTTATTTTGAAGTGGATATATTAAATTATTCTAACTTGCGGAAAAAATACTTATTATCATTTTATATGTTTATTATTGTTATTATTTTAAAAAAATCTTAATGGCAATATATTTATGAATAAAAATATATAATATTATTGTAAAAAAATTATACTTTATATGAAAATTTACGATCGCAATGAAACTTTAAAATTCCAACGCCACATCAATGATTACAGAGCTTAAAGCCTTAATCGCTTCGACTCACTGGCAATAACTACAGCTGCTTTGGACTTGGTGAAGCAGAATTAGTTTATTTTTAAAAATAATCTTTACTTTTTAAAAATATATAAAGAAATTATATTTTAGTTGTAAAAAATATGTATACTTTATGTTTTTTTATAAATTTTTCAAAACTAAACACGATCATATAAATTTTAAATAATTTTTTAATTATCAAAAGGTTTCATTTTTAAAGGTTAAAAATGACTACTATGGTATAAATTCTTATAAACATACATGTATTAAATATTTAAAATAAAAATGTTGTCATTTATGATAAATTTATTTTAAAAAACTATTGTTTTCTTTAAAGAAGGGCTACGATCTAAAAAAAACTTATTTTTATACACTCTTTTTAGAAATATAAAATTAAAATTTTAATTCGAACCTGATATAAATTTACATAAAATAAATCTTAAACTTCTTAAATAAAAAAAAAAAAAAGATAACCGAAGTATTTTTTTAAATTGCTCTTAGTGTGTATTTGCATTCATTTAATTCAAGTAATTATCACTATAGTAACTTTTTTGTGGGATCCTCCGTCACAAAACAAATTTCGAAAACACACTTAACAGTTAACACGCGTTAGAAAAACTAATAATAACATGATGCAATTGCGGAGAACTTGTGCCCACTTGCTGGCGTGCTGAATATCCTGTACTCGCCCCCGAAAGTGCAAGCTTCTTCCAGTAGAATATCTGTTAGACACGTTTCGCCACTACACCGCGCGTTAGTCTAGACTCCCGAATTCTGCGCGTCAAAAAATCAACAACAACACGATCACCTTCCTCCTCCAGCTGCGTATAGGCGGCGCTTCAGATTACAGATGAAGATTCTCTTTATTTTTTCACTGTTTCTTAAATTATTTCTTATGAATATTTTAAAAAATCTAATAGCTAAATTTTTGTTACCATGAGAAATAAAAAAATCCATTCTATTCAGATTAGGGGCTCCAACGTAATTTACATTAAGACATAATAAAGAAATATCACATTGTATAACATATTTATTATAATTTATCAGTTTTTGAAAAATAAAATATTTATTTTGTAAATTATTTAAATTTTTAACCAATTACAAAAACAAATTTTAAATTATATTTAGAAAGGGATTATCATTCAGTTTTGGGAGAATCGAAGTTCAGTAACTTGACCTTCCCTTTCATTTCGCAGGAAAGGGTGCCTCACACGCTTTCTCCGTCTTGTAGCACTAGTTCAGTTTTTGTAAATAATTAAAAAATAATATAAAATTAAGAGAATTTCATGAAATCAAAACGTATTTCCATAAATTCTTGATAAATTATTTTTCAAATATTCTAATAGGTATAATACTACGGGCAAGCAATTCGTATTAAATATTACACATGCACAAGACTGGTTAAAATTTAATAAGATAATTGTTATGATAATTGTAAACTTAAAAAAATATTTTATATCTTCTTTAAATTAATTGTTATGAATTTTTTAATATTTTAAAAATAAAAAATATATTTATATTTTTACTTAAATTAATAATTTTATTATTTATTAATCTAAAATTAATTATTAAAATTATTTTATACATAAAAAATATTAAATCCTCTTAATTATAAATAGTACCGTATATTTTAGGATATAGTAAAATTTGTTATATGATAAAGGTAAAATATTCTATCGGTAGAGATGCCACGCTGGTTTGTCAATTAAACCTTTCCAGTAGTGTCCGTACACTCATGTACTTACGAGGAAAGTCACCCGTAAACGACATATGGTTTGGTTCTAGAAACTTCGGGGAGAAGGAATTCAAGGTGCGTGGAAGGTGTTGAGAACGTGACTGTGAGGTGTGAACAATAAAGCTGACGACGCTACTTTGTCTTGTCCCTTTTTCTGTTTCTTCTTTGTTGGTTTCATTTCGTTTCTCATTCCTTTTTTAATTTTTAAAAATTTATATATAAAAAATAATAATCTTTTTATATTAATATTAATTTAAAATATTTTATATTTAATTTACTATTATTTAAATTAAGTGTAAAAATTTTTAAATTTATATATATATATATAAATTATCTAATGTGAAACGAATTGATGCGATTTAGTCAAAGTCATTGTAGGAGGGAAGCATATTTGAGTTGAACTTTACCTGTGGATCCCATTTACATTTGGATTGAGAATTCGAATGGATATAGAGATGCGCAAAACATTTCTTTATTGTTTTTGTCTTGTTCTTTTCCTTTAATACGAGGTACTTACTTCATTTGACTTTTTGTTTGTTTGGATTTCATATTTATTTTTTTTTATTTAGTTAAAAAACATTTATACAGAAGTTACGTCAGAATAACTATTTGTTTCTGTTCTGGAAATTATTATATTGCTCAAATTTTGTAAAAAACGAGTAAAGAGTGGTTTCCCTTGGTTTAATTTGGAATCTTCAGGGATCTTATATCATAGTTTTATACATGCACTTAAAGTAACTTTAATTTTTACCTTTTTTTTTCAAAAGTAAAATGCCCTAATTTAATTAAGTCTTTTCAAATTGATTAAATTTAATACATGTCGCAATATATATATATAAGATATTGTTTATGTGTAATTATTGTACCACTTGGCTTTATAAAATTCATATACATGATCTTCAATTGTATAAAGTGAAAAATTAAACATTTTGTTTATGTGTAAACTAGAGATCATCTAGATTAATTTTAAATATATCAAATGTAATATAAATAATATTTATCTATCTAATATTCAGGAATGGTACATTTTTTTAAAAAAATTATAAGAATAAAATATGATAATGTATAATGAGTTTTTAAAATACTGAAGTAGTATAAATAATAAAAAAATTATGTCTCATAAAAATGACAAAGTTACAAGTGAGAGGCATACAACTAAATATCCTCTAGGTTCTAAGTCAAAACATGATTATAACTAAAAAATATTTCTATTGGGAGAGTAATAAAATAAATCTATGTTTGAGAAAGAGTTTAGGTGACTAATTGAAAAAACTTTCACCCTAAATGGAATATACTAAATGAAATAGAATTACACTTGAAGAATAATTTATAAAAGTTAAACGTGAAAAAATATTTTACTTTAACCTTTGTTTTGGAGTTTGAAGAAAGAGAGCAAAAAAAAAAAAAAGATGTAAAAAAAAGTTAAACTTTTTTTTTATTTAAATATTTAATACTGAGAGGAATGAGTTTTAGAGTTTAATTATATAAGTTATTGTCTTTATTTTTTTATTTATATTGTTTTAATTTTTAATTTTTTAAAATAATTTTTTATCTAAAATTAATAATTTTTTTATAATTTAAAAAAAATTCACTAAAAAAATTAAAATTTTAATCATGAACAAATACTAGCATGAATTGATTTAAGAGGATTTAGAAAAAGCTAATAACCTTTCATTACACTCCATTAACTTTTTCCTTTCACTCTCCTCTCCTTCTAAATATAATTTCTAAACACAACTTTAAATAAAAAAAATAAAAAATAAACAATATATAGATAACAATGATGAATATTTAAATACTTCAAGATTTTCAATTATATACGATGTAGTTTTAAAATTTTAAATTATGTATAATATAAAAATTTGTTTATATAATTTATTTATAAACTTGTTGAAAATTTTATTTTTAGTGTTTAAAGTTATTTTGTATAACTAAAATATAAGAAAAAACAAAAAATAGATATATTATATCAATTTATTTTTTATATTTTATTTTATTAAAATTTACTACACAATAACATTTGCATTAAGAATGTGATTAAAAGTTAGATTTTACAATATATCTATATATATATATATTTTTTTTTCTGATTAATATTCTATAATTTTATAAAATATTTATTAGTATGGATCTATTAGAATACTTTCTAGATTTTTTAATCATTATATAACTCTTTAATTAAAAAAGTAGTTGTATTTTCGTCTAAAACATACTTTTTAAATAAGAGAAATAAATATTATTTTTAGTTAGAGATAATAATATAACATAATATTATTTAATAAACTATTATTATATTTTAATACTTTAAAATGTACTTTTTAAACCTTAAAAAATTAAATAATTAAAATGCTCAGTACTTATAAACATGAAAGAATATTATATATTTTTTAACTAACAACTGTAATTACTATAATATCTTAAAGATTAATAATATTATGTTTAATTAAACTATTATTTTTATGTTTATTAATATAAAATTAATGGTAACTGTGATTAATATACAGGAGAGAACACCAAATCGGTCTCATTACTAGAGTTATATTAATTATACCAATAATTAAACATGCAAAGCAATGTTACAAGTAGCCACTACATGTTTCAAGACAAAGCCAACACTCAATTAATATAATATGGGCTGATTGACAATAAAATAATTTTTAAAAAATTATTTACTTTTTAAAGTGATTTTTAAAGTAATATAACAGGTTCATCAGATAGATGTAATACTACAAGATGCAAATGCGAAACTGGTATAATTGAGACTCTGTTACTCTGTGTTAAAATGTGATGTGGTTTCATATTTAAAGTGAGTGATACTATTTATTATTTTTTAATATTTATTTAAATAGCATTTAACTTGACTAATATATAATATAATAAAATATAATATTAAACTGATATTTACACTTTCATTTCTTTCATGTTTTTAATAATTTTATTTTAAAAATTATAAATTTAAAACCTCAAAAAATATTTTTAAAAATAAAAATTTTAATGTTATTAATGACACCTTTTTTTTTTTGGTGTCATGTCTCAATAAAATTATATGAATAAACTCTAATAGTATATCAACAAATAAGAAAACAAACCAATAAACTATTAATAAAGGGACTACATGAAAAGAAAATATAAATTTTGAAATTTTTAATTAAAAAGAATAAAAAAGAAGAGAGATTAAATACAAATTTTACAAAATTTTGGAGGACCAAAATTCTATTAGAGTGTTTAAAAAAAGTAAAAAGTATATAAACAAAGTAAGCATTATTTGACCTCGTTAGATATTTCTTATTTTTCTACTATGAACCAATCTTTGCTTTTTTTTATTATTATATTATAGTTTTAATCTAATATTTGTTAAAATTTTATTAATTATTAAATAAAATTTTAAAGTGAAAAACTCAGTTTAAATAATAAAAAATTAAATATAAAAACTACGATTTTTTAATACACTAAAAAACCTGTTAAAATTACAAGAATTAAACTTAAACGTAAGTTAAAACAGGAAACTTAAAATAATTTGAAAAAAATGACATAATATTATAAAATGTAAATAATTTAATTTATGTCATTGAAAAAAAAAAGTAATAATATTAAGTTACTCTTTTATCTTTGGTGCCTGCAACCGTATGCATCTTTTAGGCCACGGCACTGCGTTGCTGCCATTACACACAACCGAAACTGAATTGCCTTTTCATGCTCACATTTGGCAAATTCACTTTTGTACTCATTTCATAATAAAACATTGTATGATCTAAAATCATCACATTTTTATAGTTTTGGCTAATTCAAATACGTCACATAACTATGTTTTCAATAATTTTATCCATCTAATGAACCATCGATTGAATTTGTCTCTTCTTCGTACATCGAGCACAAGCCAATTAATTAAAAGAGGGGAAGCACGCAACATAGAAAAACAATAATAAAAACTAAAAGATTGACACAATGATTTAAAAATTTATTGGATTCATATACGTAATCAATTTATTTAATAGAAACTTTTGTGTTCAAATCTCAAGCAATGCAGAATGAAGTGAAATATTTTCTATCACTGCCTTTTTTCTTTGCCTTTTTTTCTTACATGTTTGCTCCACTAACAATAACGTTATGGAGTGTCATTTTTTTTCAATTTGAGAAAATAAAGTGTCAACCAAAACTTTGAAATTTGAAAGTTGTGTATTTTTTTTATAAATGAAATCCCAACATATCTCACTTCCTCAACCAAAATACTATCTCCGGCTCTGTTTGGTTTAACGTTGGTAGTTCTTGTAATCGATTTTGAATTATAAATAAATGACCACGGAATCAATAGCTCTAATAGAAACAAATTTGTTCATGTACAAAATTATCTTTAAAAGAGGCCAAATTAATTTACCCACCAAAATTAACTTTGAAACCGATTATTGAATTGAGTATCACTGACAACAAAATAAAGTATGGTATTGAAAAAGGAAATACTAGTCAGTGTCTAAGGATCAAATAAGGAATTAAAATTAAAAATATTTTGCTAGAAAAAGCAAAAATATGCTCATTCATTCATTTTTCTTTTGGTTATTTATTAATTCACAGGCACTTGTTAAGTGGACAAAAGAAAATAATTTTCAGTTTCTGATTTGTCTTTTGTACCAACAACAATGTCCATCTTTCACGCCACCACACTGCAGTGTTACCTTTTGCACACAAGACAAGGCTGAAACTGATTTGCCTCTTTTATGTTACATTGCATGCACGTACATTTGTACATTTTGGCTACATTACCCTTTTTGTACCCCTTCCATTCAACAGTCAAGAGCCGCCAATAGCATATGTCTCTTCTTTAAAAGAGAACCATGCAGCATAGAAAAAGTAAAAAAATAATAACAAGCATAAACATGGTAAGCTGCCACAAGAAAGCAACGTACAACGTAGTTAAATATTTTCTATTATCACCACCCCTTTTTTTTTTATTCTTTTTCTACCATTTTCCTCAAAGAAAATCAGTAAGTTCTAGCGTGTAGCCTTAGAATGCTTATTTCGACCTGTTATTTATAATTTTTATGTTAGATTTACGTTTAAAGATGTTTTAACATTTCAAAAACACTCTTGAATAAGTTCTTACCCATCAAATCCGATGGTTAATTTCTTTACTAATGACCCTTCATAGAAGACCATCATCTCCTTCATGTTACTACAATGTCCACCTAGAAGATCAACCATAAATCCATCAACACAAACATGAAACCTTACCTAAGTCTGCCCTTTCTCTGCTTTTTAACTTTGGAATTACATCGCAACGACTTTCATACCAATCAAACAGCACCTCAATCCTCACATCATCAAACACACAACAAAGTTTGCTTAAGGAAAAACAACTATGACAAAAATATCAATAAGATATATGCAATCATATGTAACACTAATTTTTAATTTGTCATTTCTCAACCTTTATGCCTTATAAAAATTGCAAAAAATTGTGTAATTGTTACCTTAAATTTTGTACAATGACCCAGTTTGGTGAACTTCTTTAGAATAATTGTGGAATAATAAAAATAAATAAATTAAAGTCAACTATGCATCTTATATCTTAAAGAAGTTAATTGAGAAAATTCTAAAAAATCAAAGAGCATAAGTTAATTTTGACTTATAATAGTGATTTTATTTGTTTTATCTTTTTTTTTTTCTATAGGTACTTTTAGAAAACTTTATCCAAATTGGACTGATGTGAATTTATTTTAAAAAAGTAATTTTTTTAATAATCAAAATTATTTTTCCCTCATTCTTCTTTATTTGCATAATGTTTTACCATATTAATATGCGAATAATATTTTAAATGCATGAATTGTATAGATTTATGTCTAGTTTCACAATCTTAAATTCTATGCCATATATATTTTTTAAATACAACATTTTTCAAATATTCTTCACATTTAAAAATTATTTTTCAAATTTAATTATCTTTTTAAATTCACCTTAGCTTTCAAAATAAAGCCCATCTTAGACTTAAAAGCCTTCCACCTCATTTCAAGACTGAACGGAAGTTTATGCTTTGATGGCAAGACCAAAAACACAAAAAAAGACTACTTATTACTGTGGAAGGCAAGCTACATTTACAGATAAACCCTCTCTCTTTTTCTTTTCCTTTCTTGGTCGTGAACATAATCTCATTCAGGGACAGATTCTCGTAGATAATTGTGGGGGCAACTGTCCTCACGAGCATTCTATTTTTAGTTTAACTATATATATATATATATATTCGTGTTCATCATATGATACTGGAAGTCCTTACAAAACAGAACATGAGAGTAGTGTGCCCATGTAAATAAAACAAAAAGTCAAAATAGCACTGAGAATAGAAATAGTGGTGAGGTATTATATACATCCATGGTTTGGAGAATGACATGCTCAATAACCCATTCCTCATCAGGAAGGACTGATCTGTAAGAAAGGACAGACAACTCAATTGTGTTGCTATTCCAATGCCCCATTTTATTTTACCAAATTTATCAAGTAGAAAAATATACTTGTGATGCGTAAAATTAAAATATTAATATTAGCAGCAGCTGCAGCAGTACATGCCAAGTGACATACATGATTTAATAACTAAAAAAAAAAAGCACGTCCTACAAGAGATTTGTAAATTTCTCACTCAACTAGCTACTCATGGATTACTTGCAAAAAAATTGGTGGGGGGGGGGGGGGGGGTGAGGACCAGGATTACATCGATAAAAAAATTAACAAATGAAACCACACTTTGCCCTTTGTGCATGGAACTATGAACTAAAACATCAACCATGCTAATACAAACTGTGGACAAATACATAAACACACTTAATTAGTAGCCGTAGTACACAATATACAACGCATTCGAGGACCACCCAACTCTGTTTCTTCGTCATCACTAGCGTCATCCAAATAACCATTGTAACTATCATACGTTTCCGCCTCTTTGGACGGGGCTTCAATCTCTTTCTTGCGACTACTAGTGTAAGACGAATCCATGAGACAAGTTGTGTGATAACCATGACAGCAAAAGAAAACAATGACCGATACATTCTGTATAGAAAATGGATCAAAACATATACAACATCTTCCCCCTCCCTTAGTCTTTGACTTTACCTCCATAGTTCTCAGACTTGCGGATTTCTCAAATACCTGAGAAGCACGAGCATCACTCATTTTCAACCATGGCTCATCTTCTTCATTACCTAAAGAAATTCCATGCCTCGCCTCTTTGTAATACTTGATTAAAAGATTGACACAATCCGCCTATTTCAATGACAGCAAATCAGTGAGATATTTTGTTGTATCAAGTTACTGACATTCAAGCATTTGGCCTTCTACAAGGGAAGGGAGAAGAGAAAAGCACCTTAAGGATATCATTGCACCCATGTCTGAGGGATGTTTCTGTCCTGTAGTCAGTGATAATTTTAACCAGCCGGTCCCGAAGCCTATAGATAGAAAAGAAGACCTATTAGATTTGGCGATAATGCTTAATATAGCTCTGGAACTGAAAGCGAGTCCAATTTCCGTTGTTTTTGGCATATAGTGGTGTGATAATATAACTCAAGTTCTGTTAAATCACATTTATTACTTACCGAGGTATTTCCAACCCGTTAGGAACTTTATTTACAATGTAGAGGGGATCAAGATTTCCAACTGTGTGCTCCAATAGTATGCCCACCTATTAATTACAAGAATCAAGCTTAAAACAGGTTGAGAATGATCACGCAAACATAATAATAGAATACTGGGCCAGTTGATTCTCTTGTTCTCTCTCTTAATTTTCTACAGTTTCTAGAACATATCAATAAAAACAAATTTCCGTACAGAAGGGTAACAAACTTTCAAATAAAAATACACAAAAAAATCTTCAGAAAATATTTTCTCACATTAGATTTATTAAAAAAAAAAAAAAACTTGAATCATACTATATACTATATCGAGCATTAATTACAAAAGGAGCTAATCTTTGCATGGATAATGATTAATAACTGATACTACCCACTATACACATTCTTTAAATATAAATCATCATACATGGGCAGTAAATCATTTTATTCTAACAAAACAAATACAATGATTTCACATTCATACGTCAAAAAATTCTAGTATCATGATATACCATTTCAGGTTTGTGAAGGCATTGCTTGATTAATTCTTCCCAAAGTTCATCATCATGCTGCATCGTGACAAACTCTACAGCCTGTAAAAAATTATGACCAAACTTTAAATTACTGAAGTTCTGATTCATGATTTAGATGTTAGTTGAAACCAAAAACCACTTCAATTGATAAAGATATGGTACCTCCTCTATATCCCCCAATTTATTTATAATAATGGCTAGGGCTTGTTTTGAGTTTCCCATCCTTCCCAAGATGAAGACTTGCTCCTTCATTAGGTCTCTTTTAATGCAAATCTCATAAGCCTGAAAAACAACTTTGAGAATTTGATTCACTAGCATGCATACAAATTACTGTCAAGAGTTCGTTATTGGTTCATCACCTTCTCAAGGGTGTAGTGTTGACTGCTACGAAGAAAAGGTAGCAGCATCTTTGGATCATAGTCCGCATAGAGTTCTACCTATGCACATTAGACAAAACATTATATTAGATGCCAAAAAAGAATCATTTATTCACATTCACAAACCATTATTATTCATGTTTAGCTGCAGAGGACAGACATTGTGACAACCAGGCACAAACAAAGGGAGAAGAGTAGAGAGTAGAGACAGCAATCAGCAACAATTTAAAAGACTGCAATGATGCAACCAAAATACCAGCAAGAAATGCATCACAAAAGTAGGGCCATCGCTTAAGACTATCTAAGATTGCAAGCATGTATTTTCAACAGTAGCTAACAATTACAGATTAGTAAAACCAGATTGAATCAGAACAAACCACCATTTCCCAATAATCTAGTCAAGGGTACACACCCGCTGTCACCCTGTTACGCAAAAGCTAGAGATGTTAATTAAGTGCAAATATATCCTTTCTAATGTGAAGAAGAAAGGACAGCACCATGACAGAAACTGGGTTGCTTATTAAGAAAAAATAGGGATAAACCCTAATTAGAAGAATAAAACACTGCAGTTCTTCTAGAGACTGCTCCTCCCAAGCCAAAGGCCCTAACTCTTACAATTGTCTAGCTCCCCTCTTTCAATCTCTGTTATTTACAGGCAAATTGCAATAATTCTTCCTTGTCTCCTCAACCCAACAAGCTAAGAATTATCAACAACTAACACACTCTCCAGACACTAACTAATCATACCTCTAATTAACTTGGGGGGTTACCTATAAACATATAAATTCATTCATGCATTTTCACCGAATTGCTTAAGTTTTTGGATGACTTAGTTCTTGACATGATATCAAAGTCTCCATGACCAATGGTTGCAGATTTTATCCTTGCTACCCCCCTTCTCCTAATAACCTAATATAACAACAAGTCTTTTTCCACTAAGTGAACTGGTTACATGAATCAATCTGTATTTTATGATAAACCTTACTATTAACAAGGTATTGTCTAAATGTGACACAGATTTGTCCACATTTTGTGTTAGTTGTCAATTGCCTAACACAACTCATCTCTTTTATTTAGGCTTGGGACTGGATACTAATGATTTTCAGCAGGCACATCATAGGCAAAGTTCTCCAAAGAAAATGTTAAATTTCAACTAACAACATAAAGATTCTCCCAATTAAAAGGTTGACTAGCGCATGATGCTCCCAGCATGTGGGGGTATTGCCAGGGGAGGGTAAATGTAAGCTGTCTTCCTCTAATAAGCAGAGAGACTATTTTCAAGATTTGAATTCATGACTTCCAAGTCACAAGGCAGTAGTAATCTCACTATTGCACCTTACCCCCAGCCAATGTTTTCAAAATCACGTTCTAACCCAGTGGATCACATGATTTAATGTTTTTCTTGGTCCCCTACGAGTTAAGGCTCAGGCTTTCAGAGACAAGAAACTTGACAAACTTTAGCACAAGCACACGTTTAAAATTGAGGACAGTATAACATTTGTTATCCAGAGTAATGGGGCCATTAACAAATAGATAAAGGCTTTTATTCAAAATGTTTCAGGAGTGCAAGGCTGCAGAGTAATTCGTGATTAAATATCTAGTTATTTCATTAAGCATCAGATCCTATATTTCCTTTTCAATTGTTTCATGTAGCTTTGTCTTGGACCATAATCAGATAAACCAGTATTTTTACTTACTGAGGATTATTACTTCATTTTCTATTAGAGAGACATAGGAAATTACCAATAATGGCTGAGTGGAACTCAAAATGGAACACACATGGTTTTCATCAACTGTAAATATAGATTACATTACACCTTAGGTTCCAAAACAAAGGAAGCCTACAAAGGTAAAACAAAAGAAGCAAAACCTACCTGCATATCATGGAAGTCTTTCCCAGCATGTGTACTTACTTCAAATAATGAATGGAGATATAAATGTAAAAAATATCTGCAATCACCCTTATCGTTAGCATTTAGAAGTTGCTTCACAACATCAGGTGGACTAATTGAGTCCCTGTTCTGAATAAACAGAGGAGCTGCACGCTTGCAATCTAGCCTCATCAATTGGACAACCTGAGCAGGCAGAGATTAAACAAATAAGAGCTCAATGATCATATAAATAAATGAAAACATCTACAAACAGAATTGAGCTCATATACCACTTCAAGAAGAAAATTCAACAACTTTTCTCCTCTATAAACAATTCTGAGAATGTTTAAATCTTAATCAATAAATCAATCCTGCAAATCTGACATGGTACTTTGTTGGTTCATCCATCTTGCCATATGCACTCAATATTACAAAGAATATAACGAATACAAATAACCAGATCCTAATATAGTACATTGAAGCTGGTAGCAAAAACTATTCAGGTGCTTAAAATTGAATGCAAACAGATATAAGAACCATGAATTTGCAAGTCAGGTAGCACTGAAAGCTATATAGAGAACACAGAATTTCAAGATTAATTTAATTTCTACTAAGTATAGTTATACCTTCTCACGAATTGCATCATGTAGGTTATGCTTATCAATGAAATCAAATACTTCTGGCTTCATAAGCTGAAAAATTCAAACAAAGAAAAATAGGAGAGAAAAAGGAAAGTCAATTAACAGTCAAAACAAAATAGACAAAAGACTCTAGTATACAGCATGTGTATGAAATTTAATTGACTTTATTGCTGTTTGAGACTCTGAATGCAAATTAAATTACTTAGACCACATACATCTGCATACAATGAGAAGGCTTTCTCATATTGTCCATCGATTATATACAACTCTGCTAATGCCTGACACAGAATAAGAACATGTTAATGTAAACAGATGGTTAACAGATTCGAAATGCAAATATAATTAATCAGACTAACCTCCTTAAGCGAATTGGTCACGGATGAAGTACTTAGCTGGGGTTCAATGGCTGAAATTATAGGTAATGCAGAATAAATAGCAGATGGCCAGGATTTTACAGTGGACAAGAGATCCTTATGAAAAGATGGATTTGTAGCCAATGCAACAAGAGCAACCTGAAAAACCAAAAGCAGCATAAGAGTTTTTATCTCTAATCAGTTCAACAAGATGCCATTACAAAAACATCAATTGTGACAGGTTCCACTTCGTTTTAGCTAACCTCGTAAGCAGTATCACGTAGTCTGGGGTTTTCTGTAGGCATGTAAGGAACTAAAACAGGAAGTTGACGAAGGTGTGCAAAGTGGAAAACCCATCTGTTGAAAGCAGCCCATTGAACATCCAATTACAAATCAGAACTCAATAGCAGACCAATAAAAAATGGCATCCAGTACCTCTCCCATGCTGAAGCTGATCCTCGCAGCAACTTGGGACACAAAGAAGCTGCTTCACCATATTTTCTTTCTACAATTAGATGGTCAAGGTACCTAGATCCCACCTGCAAAGATAGTGAGAAAATTTCATTGTGCTCAAATGGACAATAGTACATCTTATACAGTGTATTCTTTTTTTATAGAAAAAGAAGTACTATTGAAGGGGAGAGAAGTACGATAAGGGAGAAGTTAATTATCCTCAAGACTTGCACATGGATGTTTGCACAAAGGATTAATTGTTTTGTGTAATGCAATCAAAATTCGCTATATTGAAAAATACTTAAGGCCTCATTTCATTTTCCTTCGAGCATGCATCTATATTCAGTTTTATTGATAGAAATATACCTAATGAGAAATTGGAAGATTTCTTGAGAAACAGAATAGTTAAGGAAATCTCACATACATGCAATCAACATAAACAAGTCCCTCCATATGCATATATGCATACCCTCATTCCAATTATGTGCTACCCAATCACCCTTTATTCTGTATACTGTATATACTAATTTTACACATCTAATTCTAGTTCTAATAATCATAAAATAATCAGAAATTAGATTGAATTAGGATAAACATAAATACCTCATCAAGAAGTTCACTCCGTCCCTGACCAGACTCAACCACAGCCAAAGCTTTTTCATGCCACCCATGCTGAAGAAGCCAAGCAATATGATCTTCAGTATCCCTGAATATTAAAACACATCAACTTTTCTCCATATTCTAACTTAATTTTTCTTAATCTGTAGAATTTATAAATATGGCATTTTAGACATTAAAAAAAAAAATTCCAGCAAAAATTTTGAGCAAGAAACTTAAGCTAAAGAACAGGCTCTATTTGTTTTTGATTTAAATGATCTATTCCCTTGTGACCACAACAGCATGTCTTGAAGGGGCAACTATTAAGGATGAAAAATTTGATTTCCCAAAACAAATGTAAAAGGATGAAGAATCTCGCACATTGATGCGAGCATTGTGCATTTTTGCAGGCATTATGAGACATCAAAATTTTCTTGACTAAAATGAATAACAAGGTATGGTATGTGCAATGTAATAATATAAAAAATATTAGGAGTAACACAATAGTGATGAACTGGACAACAATGATCACCCAAATCAAGCCACTGCATTAGTACATTCTTCCATGCCAAGTAGTCAGCTGGCAAGTCAAGGGCACATCATATCTTAAAATATACAAACAAACCAAAAACAAGATTTATATCATGCTATGGGGATATGATGAGGTTAAAGACATTTTTTTTTTCATAAGAAAGATCATTTTTTCTTTCTGAATCCATCCCACCCCAAGGGGAAAAAACCACAATCAATCATTTAAACTTCAAATACCATCTTTTAATACAAAGTAATCAGAAGGGAACACCACTCATTAAGTATTCATTAAAAACATGTATAACACCCTCCCCCCTATTTTTACAGCAATAAATCCTAAATAAATGCATAAAAAAAGTAGAGTACAGTAGGATAAAGGAATTGAAATCGACCTTGGCTTTGCAATAACTACATCTTTGGGAGATACAATATAGTAAAGTGGTTCATCACCTGCAGCCCACTGACCACCAGCATAACTGCTACCTACATTTGAATGAAAAACAACATTATGCATGGCCATTCCATATATAAAACATAGATGTCAGGAAACCATATATTACTAATGTCTACATTAGGAAGGAGCTGAAAGGATCTAGGTCTCTTAGGGAGGGAATGATTAATTTAATAGATTCAAGGGATACCAAGTATGACATGTAGAACATGTAATTCATATGGACTGCCATTGTATAACCATTTATCAACAGATGCTGCTCCCCATATCATATAAAAGTGAAAACCTATAGCCACAAATGTAGGAAAAATGGCACCGGAAATGATATTGTTCCCATAATGCAGAGATCCAGAAATTGGCTCATCCCAGGGAGTGAATAGTATTAATAAATGTATCAGATTTTCATTGAGGCATCAAAGGGGAATTTGGGAGGGAAAAATTGATTTGTATGGATATAAAAAAAATGTGACAAGAAGATGGAAGGGTGTGAAAGAAAGAGTATAAGAGTGATCAAGAGTGCAGGATCTCTTGAAGACCATTGGTTACCTATTTTCTGTTTCAGTTTTTTTGTCTTCATCTCTAAATCCACCACACAAGTACTGATATCCCACTATTATCAGTATCAGCAGATAAAAATACTGTATATTCAACATAGCTGACAGTGTTTTAATCCAGTTTCAATCAATACATTATAAATAACATAAACTAAATGTTAACCTGAAAAGGGAGCATGAGCAAGAGAATAGTCCTTTGCCTTGTAATGCTCAAACCCATGTACTGGTAGAGCATCAGTAGAAAGCTCATCATTATTCCATGTTACTATTCTTACTTCTGGTCTTTGTGCATTGCCCTGTTCAAATTATTTTATTCATTTCAGAACAAAGTCAAAATTCCAAAAAAGAAAAGATATGTAACCTGAATGGGACCATATTAGCCTGTGTTTGGTATAGCCTTTTTCAGTAAAATAATCGCCTTTTTCTCCCAAAAGTTTTCTTAGAGAGATTGCAAAAATAATGGTTATTTCTCCAATATAAAATTGAACAAAACAAGCACTAAATGATGAATGTGTGCATCTAATATGAAAATGAATAATTTGAGAGAAGCAGCATTATGCTGAGCTGGAACTTTTATTTATCTAACATTATGAAGCAATCTAAAATATCCCATTGAGCCACTTCAATATTTGATCTTTTCCAAAAAGTAATAATAAATTTTCCAATATGCTCAAGCATTATGGACCAGGGAATGACAACTTCGAATTAAGATACTCAGACCTCGGAGGAATTTCCCCTTCACTAAAGAAAAAGTGAGAAGAATGCAGGGGGCGGGGGATTTACAGTATAATAGCTGCAAAGGTCAGCATGAGAAATTAAAGAATTTCATTTCACCATATGCAAGGAAAATAAATACCTGTCGTGAAGGAGCAGAGTTACTAAAATCCTTATCTCCATCTTCTTCACCAGGAATATATGCTAGAACAACCAAAGCATCACCAAAGGGGGCAAGTCCTGAGATGAAATAGCTGGTTTGGAATGATGCCACAATATCAACCTGGGTCATACCAGACAAGGGAACTTGCCGGTATGCCCCATTGGCTGCTTTATGGTGATTTGTCCTAATTGAAGCTATTTTGACAGATGCTCCCCAGCCAATAACCAACAGCGTGTCATCCTATAAGTGACAGAAAGAGATTAAGCTCAGCAGTTTTATCAAGAAATGATACAAGAACAACCGCAATAATGCTATTGCAGCTATCCAAATTATAGACCCATAGAACAAGCCTCCAGCTATAGCAGTGGACACTGATTGACAGAGTGACAAAAGTCGCCAGCATGCCTACATAGAGATATTTAACTAACCTGCCAAAACAGGTGAGGAAGCAAAAGCTCAGGGCGTGGGCTCCCTCGTGGTTTTTCAATAAATGTTATACGCTGGTCATTGGCAGCATCGTAAACCTTCACCCCTGCATCATTAGCCCAAGCAACAAGACTTGCTCTCCACTTCACAGCATGTATTGAACCTTCACCAGAGTGCAAAACCTTTTTTGGGGGCAGGACAGGGTAATTTTATAGTTAACAAACAAAAAATACTGTTGCAAACATATGTGCTTAGAGTTACAATAATCTTACAAACCTGGTCACGGTAGCCAAACCATTTCTTTGAATTTAAATATAAATGACCTGCCAAACCACCAGCAACAAATCTCCTAGACATTTTCCTCACATAATCTGGGTCCAGTGCAATTGCCTTCATCGGACGATGGTACTCAAACTTCATTGTCTCATCAGTGAAAAGGCTGTTTATAACAACTGATCCATCATCAGAACAGCTTCCAATATATTCACCATCTATGTCAAAGCTAAGGTCGTTAACAACAGCGGCATGCGCAGAGAATTCTTTCACCTGTAACACGGTGACTCAATTAGAAACATATTTCTCAAACAACAAAAGCATACGCCAGCAATTGTCTATCACATCACAACAGCCACCATCCATAAAACACCGCACACGAAATCTCAAAGCACACAGTGTCAACATAAACCAAAAAATATCCGTAATTCCTAACATAAACTTAAAGAAAACGTCAACGAACACAAGTTCTAAATCACACTTATTATTTTCTTCCTCAATTTTGATCTAGCCAGCTACAATTTGAGCAATAACAGCTCAAACTCTCAGAGAAACTGAGGATTTTTCAACGGTAAATTACCAAACGAATCGAGGCAATGTTAACCGACCTGATTTCCGAGAAAATCAAGGATGTGAACGGTGCCGCCCTGGGTGCCGAGTGCGATCATCCGCTCGGCGACCGCGATACACGACGCTGCATCACTGGCTAGAAGCGAAGGTATGCTACCTCCCATTCTCTGGTACTTGAGCCTTGGTTCCTCTTCGTCTTCTTCATCTTCTACTTCTTCCTCTTCCTCTTCCTCTTCGTCCTCCTCTTCTCTCTCATCGTCTCCTTCGACGCCGTTCTCGGACGGAATCGGAGCCATTCGGATAGTTATCGCGAGCGGCCTCGTTTCGGGAAGAATGATTAGTTGGCGAAACGAAAATGCAAGGGGAAAGTGGGAAACAGATCTGTTTGGTTGCTGAGAAAATCTCTATTATTTTTTTCCCCTATTTGTTTCGAGTCTCTCTCTTAAAATAAATTTTTCTCGACAGAATTTTCTGAAGAAAGAGGAAAAGTTTCAAACGGTCCCTCGAAAAAGAAAATAATGGGGTAGACGACAAAAAAAGACGAGGTGTTTCAAGCTGGTTCAGTAAAGAGTGGTTTAGTACGTATTATGAGTGTGTATTTGAGTTACTGGTTACAAAATTGAATTTAAATACACTTTTTTATAAATTAATTTTGTTTAAAAATAATATAATTATATTTGACTTTATTAAGTGAGTTTTTCGTTTTAGTATAAATTTTTAATTTACTATTTTAATGTAGATCCAAACACTAGGAGGCAGAGATATTTCCAAAAAAAAAAAAAACAATTCCCTCAGGCTATTAAATAATATAATGTAATTGTATTTAAGAAAAAATATATAATTTTTATCAAATAAAAACTATTATAATTAGATATGTATCTTATTAGTTATATTTAATAAAAATGAGAGAGAGAGAGAGAGTAAGAATGCTTATTGTCCCAATTATTTTTTTTAGTCTCTATTTTGATACTCGTATAAGACATTGTTTAATCCACATTATAATACTAAATAACGTGAGAGAAACCAAATATATAAGCACCTATGATCCATGTTTTGAAATTATTTCAGGACTAATTTTACTATCTTAAAGTGAAAGTATTCATGGTCTTGTTCCATTGATTTTTTTTATCATGTAACAAATAAATTAACTCATTTTTTTATCTGACATTTGACTATTAGGTAATTTAGTATTTATTTATAAGTAATATATAATTTTCTCTAAAAAATAAAAAACATGTTAAAGAAAATTTAATATCTATATTTAGTATTATAGTTATTTCTTTACGCTTTTATTTTAGATCTTTGTCAAAATTTTGAGGTGACAAAAGTCGTTAATCTTATAAGAAATTACAAGATTTGAAACAATAAAGTTTTACACTTTAAGATTAAAATAAATAATGGAGGTATTAAAAAAGATCTACACCTATTAGTCATAATTTCTAAATTTTCTTTTTATTGAAATTAAAATATATAAAAATAGTTAGCTTGTTTTAGAAGTTAAGTTAATTATAAATCTGAAATTGGGTTTGAAATTTATTATATATGTGACATGTGATTTACATTGGCAAATGAATCTAATTTAAAGTTGGTCAAAGGTGTCTTATCCTCGTTGACTCAAAATTGGCATAAATTACTATTTTGCAAGACAGTATTTTTTACAGCTACAAACATTTTTAAAACAACTTAATAATGTTTGTACTTCATGTTTGAAAAACCACCATCACTGTAACACTAGAGCTGTACTTCATGACTGACTTATGATTTGTGTGGCATGCTGACGAGTCTTGTCATTCTGTCAAAAAGTGTCAAATGCTATAATTGGAGGCTTGATCTATAGCTTTAGAATTTGGATAGCTGCAATAACACAATTTCGTTTGTTCTTGTTATTATTACTATTTTTGCTCCAAATTAATTTCAACATCACATTCTTGTTTATATAAGAAAGCAGGCAACATTGCCATCGTTTTCACTTGGTTATAATAACTGTCAACAAATTCAACTTTGAACTTCTGGCATAGTCCCAGAATGTGCTTGCCACAAATAATCTATGTTGTTATGTAAATTTGTATTTCTCAATTTGCTTAATCTTTCTCACTATAGTTGAATACTTCCTAAGTTCCCTTGGTTAATCTTTCTCACAATAGTTTTATATTGTCCGGGTATTTTTGGAATAATTGAAGTTTTACAAGGAAGACTAAAATCAAAGCGATAACTACTTCTTTAGCAATGTGACATTGCTTCAACCAAAGAAATGCAGTCACGAGATCTCTTGTTCCCTACAAACATAAAACATTATTAGTGCTATAGTTTTTAACTGTTTCAAGGCAAATCGAAGTACAATAGAATTAGAGAGCTTTGTTGAATCAATTCATAAGTCATTTTGGTTTATTTGAAATTTTTTTGTTCTTTTAATTTTATTGCCTAGACAAACAACGCCAATAAAGTTCTTGCTTCTTAACAAACCGTGTCCATCTGTAGCCTTTTTTCATTGTAGTCAGTTTAAGACACAAGAAACAATAACTTTATGAATTGATTTAAAGAAAAAACAAAATACCAGTAAGGCAACTTCAATCTTGGTTGTGTGTGCTTGAAATGTATTATGAAATATTCAGCAGGAAAGAAAACTACTTGGGTATATTGGTCCTCCAAATTATTTATGAATATAATTTTTTAATCCTGAAAACTTTTTAGCGGTGATGTGCTTATTTAACTCCATGATCAATCTTTTGTCAACACTTAAGTACACTTAAAAACACCACAAACACACACGAACTTGTTATACAGGAGGGTTTAGAGTGTTATGCCAAACGTAATGTTTTTATTAATCTTCACATCTGTTAATCACTGTCTATCCTTTTTGCCTGATTATTTCTGCTATGAAATTTGTTGCAGAGGCACGGCATTTGGTGCTAGCTACAATGTTATTTGATTTATTTATGAAGAAGAAATATTGAAATGTTATCTTTCTCTCCTTGCAGACAAGGAAATTGAAGGAGCTGTTGGAGAGCAATCTAGAATGAGTTTCAGCCGAGCAGTGCAAATGTGTGTTGATGGCCTAAACATAAGCTCCAGCAGTTTAGAAATGTGGAACAGAATCATGAGTTTCACGACGCTAGAGGCATGACCAAACCTCACATTGTACAATGAAATATACGTACGTAAATGAATTCATAGAAATAAGAGGATCACGTAGTAGTAGAAGAAGAAACACGAACTATGCAGAACAAGAAATATGCAAATGAAGAAAAAGAATAAAAAACATGCAGAAGAACAAGAACGGAAAACAAGAACTATAAGCAAGAAAAAAAAAAGTAAGAAAAAAGAAGATCACGTAGAACAAGAAACACGCAGAATAACAAGCAAAGCAATAGCAACCAACATGAAGCATGCAGAAGTAACGAGCAGAACAAGAAACATGCAAAAGAATAAAATCAACAACAGACAAAAGAAAAAGAATAAGAAACATGAAACATGGAGAACAAGAAACAAAAAGGATCGTGCAGAGTAAGAAATAAGATCACGTAGATCAAGAAACGAGTAAAAAAACAAGAACAAGGAACATATAAAAGAAAATGCAGAAACAAGCAAGATAAAAGAAGATAATATAAACAAGAAAAAGAGAAAGAGACCAGAAACATGGAATACAAGAAACAAGAAGAAGATCAATAAAAATGCGAGAGAAGAAAGAAAAAAAAAACAAGAAACATGAAAAAACTAGAAGAACAAGAAAGAAGAAGAAGAAAAAGAACAAGAAACATTCAAAAGAAGAGGAAAAAAGAACAAGAAACCAGAAGATCATGTGAAACGAAAACAAGAAACAGAAAAGAAGAGCAAGAAAAAGACATGAAACGTGAGCATGCAGAACAAGAAGATCATGTAACACAAGAAGCACAAAACATCCAGAACAAAGGGCAAGAAGAAGAAAAAGACACAACAAGAACCATGCAAAAGAAGAAGAACAAGAAACATTCAAAAGAAGAACAAGAACAAGAAACAATATGCGTGAAACATGCAAACCAAGAAGCAAGAAGGTCATGTAAAACATGAAGATGCAGCATAAAACATGCAGAACAAAAGGAAAGAAAAAGGCGAACAAAACCAGAACAAGAAACATGTAAAAGACGAAGATAAAAAGAACAAGAGGAAGAAATGCTAAATAACAAACAAAAACATCAAGTAGAACAAGAAAGAAGATCATGTAAAAGAAGAAGAAGAGCACGAAACAAGAAGATCATAGAGAACAAAAAATATGCAAAGTAAGAAGAATTACAAAAATGAAGCATTTAGCATGTTTTTATGTCTTACCACTCTGCCCATAAACACTTTCAATTAATCAATGTTCAAATTTTAGTTGAAAATCTATTGACCAAATTTATTTATATAGAAATGGTTTGCACAAAATCAACTGCATGAAACATTTTTGAAATACATTAAGTGTATATTACTTTTAGTGTATGCTTTGCAATTATTATTATTTTTAAACAAGTTAACTCATACACCAATTTCATTTTACTTCGAGTCATGAAACATTTGTAAATCCTTATATCATAAAATTAAATCCTTATTCTTAAATATAAAGACAATTTTAAAAAAAAAGATATGTGACTTCATTTTTATTTAGTATATATTTTTATAGTTTTAAAAATTCTTAATTTATTTTTTATTTTCAAAATTTCTTTTATGTAATTATTTGTTTTCCAATCTCCACTTTAATTTTTAAATTTTTTTTTCTATCTTTTTTTTAAATTTTCCTGAGAGCAAGGAAAAAAAAACAAGAACCTAGAAGGAGAAAATAACAAAAAGAAAATATGAAACAAGAAACAAATTACGAAAATAAAAATATAGTCAGTTTTTTTTTTCGTAACTTTTTTTTTCAATATATTTTTTTATTTCCACAATCTTAAAGGAAAATACTAAAATTAAATATTTTTGTGCCAATTTTCTTATCACCAATTTAATGCTTTGCAGAGATGATACTGTCATTTTAAATATTTGAAAGGTTGATTCAATAATAAACATTTAAAAATACAATATAATAATAATTTACATTTTTAAATAAATATTTTGTGACTATAATTTTTAAAAAGACTAATATATAAGCGAGTTTATTAGAATTAAGTTTCAGATTTTTCTAATTTTATATTTATGCTTATTACAGTGTTAAACACAGATGGACACGATCATTGAAAACACACAGTTTGAATGACTAATACTGAAAACAAAATGAAAGGACGTATGACAACGTGGATAAAATTATGGCCACATAAAAAAAAAAACAGTTGAGTACACGGACAATTGCATGTTAATTACATGGTCGTAAGAATGAAAATATCATACTTTTTATTTACATGTTTGTGTGGATAAAAATATGTCGAGTCACTTATAAATTAATTTTGGTATTATTTTACATCTTTATTTATACATTTTTATTCATTTTTTGTATTCATTCAAATAATATATTATTTTTATTTTTTATTTATATATATATTTTATTACAACATTCTTTTTTTTCTTCAAATTTGATCCTGTATTTAACGTGTATGTAAAGATTTTTTTAAATCCAACTATTGATATATGATCATAACACATTAAACGACTATAATTCAAAAGATTAATGTCTCACCACTGAATAAAAAAACACTGCAAAATTTTAAAAGTAGTTATCTAAATTAAACATGAAGTATTAAAAACAGTATAAATGACCATTAATTTTATCTTGTCAAATACAGGACACGTGTGAAGAGTGATCGAATTTTATCCATATCTTCATTAAAAAAACTCTGTGCAACCTGATTATATATTATTGTTATTTTAGTGAAGTACGTAGATTTTATTCTATAATAAAAATATATTTTCAAATTTTAAATATAAAAAAATATATTTTTGTTAATATATTTTAATGCATAATAAAATTATTTAAATAATTTTTTGAAATTTATAATAAAATTAATAAATATATAAGTAAAAAAATAAATTTACAACATAAAAAAAGTATAATTCATATAAGTTATTTTTAATCATAAAATATATAAGTAATAAATTGGAAAGGAAAATAACTTTATTTAGTATTTTATTTTTTTAAAGAATATATTTTCGTTTATAATATAAAAAGTTAAATTTATTATTTAAAAATTATAGATATTATTTTTCATGATTTTTAATAAAAAAATTAATAAGAATACATTTTATTTATATATTTATTATTATTAATTTTTTTCATCTAGACTAAAAATACACGATATTTTATAAAATTCGGAAGCAATTTTTTTTTACAATATAAGAAATTAAGACGAGTAATACTTCGTGGCAATAAAAAAGAAAGAAGAAGAAATAGCATTGCTCCCCTGAGAACTTTTAATTAACTAATCTCTCCCAATCCGAGGTAAATTTCTAGTAAAGCAACAAAACCAGATGCTCGCAAAGTCACAGTGTGATCCCAAATTCAAAGCCACTTTTCGTCAACAAGCACCAAGCAACGATCTCTGTCATTCATTCATGCACAGTAGAAGAAGCAGCGGTTGTGGCCAGTGAAGTAAACGCCAAAAGTCTACAACGCAATTAAACCGTCGCCATTCCACTTTCAACCTCGCATTACCCTTCATCAATCAGATCTCACTCGCAGTGCATACTCAACCGATTCGCTATGGAACGTGTCTGTCACCGCTCGATCTCGGGGACTTGAGTTGAGATGCAGCCGAATTTGTTCCCCTTTGGAAGCGTGCTGGGGAATCCGTTCATTTTCAATGGCGATTTGAGTGAGGGAGGGATCGAGAGCTCTAGGGTTTTCTACTTGCTCCCCTTCTTTTTGCTCTCCCAGGGAGGAGCAATGGATTTGTCTAAGGTCGGCGAAAAAATATTGAGCTCCGTTAGGTCCGCCAGATCTCTCGGATTGCTCCCTTCCGTTTCTGATCGTCCCGAGGTAAATCAATTCGCACGTGATTTTGATGTGCAATTGCACGGCCAGAGTACTCGTTCGGTTGGATTTTTTTTTTTTTGGGATTATATAATGTGGTTTTAGTTCTGGATAATGCCGTGCGATTGGATTGTTGAACGGTTCTGTGGCTGTGGTTAAGTTAGGTTAATGCGATAACTGTGTTGCTTTGAATGCAATTGGTGCGAGTTTGGGATTTGATGATTGAAGTTGCTATGTGTCTGATTGGAATTATCAATGCGCAAGACTTTGTGCTGGAAGTCATGAGCTTATGGTATAAAAATAAATGCTTGTAAGTTTGATTTGGAAAAATAATGAAATCGTAAAATGATTTTCGTCAAGAATTTTGGTTGTAGGAAATGCTGAATATTGCGTTGCTTGTTTATTTATGTTTCTATGGAGTGGATGTGAGTTTTGCACATAAGAATCATTGTAAGTGGGATAGAGTTATATTTGCTATTTTGAAGAGATTTATTGGTTAAACCGTTAAATATGAAAGCAATTTGCCAGAAGGAGTTCAATAAGGTCACTGAAAGAATGGGCTCATTAGAATGGCCAATAAATAGTTCCAGCGAGAAACCAATTTAATGTGAAACTGGAGAGTCCAAATGATTTGTTTTTTCATATATTTTATGTTTGAGTTCCAATAACATCTTGAGTATGACTTAGTTTCATGTGGTTTATCTTCAAGCTCAGCAGCTATAATAATCTTTGTGAATCATAATTATGAAGTGACAATTGTGTCCCTGCTTTCATATTGAATGCTTGAATTCTTCACAATCAAAGCATAATCCTCTCACATTGTCAATCAACTGTTGTTAGGATCTCCTCCCTCGATATCACAGTAGTCTTATGTAGTAAGGATGAGGAGTTTGTCAACCTTGATGTTTTCTATTGTTAACAAAGTTGATCATCTTGCATTCTTAATATTTAGTAACTAGTGATCTGCAAATATTTTGAATATCAACTTGCAATTTCATGCTTAAGCCCACTAGTGAATCAAATGTGGTGAATGCTCTCTGGTTATCCTGCTGTTCATATTCATATAATTGGTATTCATGGATTGACTCCTTATTTGATTTGAGAGCTAGAATCACAGTTCATGTTTTTATAAATAAATGTTTGTTGAACAGGTTCCAGCTCGAGCTGCTGCTGCTGCTGCTGTAGCTCGTGCTCTTGCAGGATTACCTCCTCACCAGAGGTATAGTCTTTCATCAAGTTCAGAAGAACTGAGTTCAATATATGGAAGCAGACCTCACAGCCAAGTAGTGGAGGAGCTGGAGGATGAATTCTATGAGGAGGTGATAGACAGCTTCTCCTTTTTAGCATATTATTATTTAATAAATTATATATTTTTTATTATGTTCTTGTTTTTACTGATTATACGGCTATGCCACTATCACCTAGTATGACAAACAAGAAGAAAAACACTCTATAACATTAAAATTTTGCTATAAATATGGAGAGGAAAAACTATTTCTTTGTTCCCATGTTAACATTGCGATCATTTCCTTTCATGCCTGCACTTCATTGAAATTTTATTGAAATTATTTGTACTTCCTCACTATGAGTTATGACATTAATGGTTTCTTCACAAATGTTACTAAAATCTTTTATGAATGTCTCTATGCAGGACTTTGATCCTATTAGGCATGTTTTAGAGCATGTTCCTGCTGAAGAAAATGAACTAACATATTTTGAAAAACAGGTGTGGATCATGTTCCTCAGTCTTGCTATCAGTGGAAAATATTTTAACTCTTTTCTTGTCTTTTAGGGTAAAATGTTCTTTGCTTAGTCATTATTCTTCTAAATGAAAATACTTGAATCTATCATATTACTTATGAGCTTAGAAGAAACTTATTACTTTTTATTCACTTTTAGCTGATGATATTTATTATCTTCATGCTTATTTATTAAAAATATTATTAGCTTTGATACTTGTCTCTTGTATGCTTGCAAATTGTCTTCTCTTGCCCTTAATGGTGGTTGTGTTTCTGACATCTGTGTTGAACTGGAATGTGGTAGTTGTTCTTGGTTTCTGTTTGTAATAAAAAAATGTGGAGTCTGGAGAGACATTCCTTTATTTCAACAATGTAGTTGTAGGGATAGGTTAGAAGTGATGTTGTAGGATTGGGTTTCTCCGTACCAGTTAAGGGACTAGGGTACTCTCTGTGGATAAATTGCTTGATCTATTCCCATCTTTATTACTGGGTTTGAAATATCTTTATGATCTCAGCCTGTTTTTCTAACTTATTGAGTTAATTTTCTTTTCTGTTTGTTGCACGTGGTTATCATAGGTCATCTTGTGGTTCATTAAGTTATTGAGGCCAATGACATACAAGTAACCTTACTAACCTCACTGTATCTTCTTGCCAACTGAGCAGATTAAATACTACCTAGTTGAAGTTGAATTATATATTGTTTGATGTCTTTTCATGCTCTATTTTGTTAGTAATCTAATGACTGTGTGGCACTTATCAGGGTTATATAATAAGTTCCACCGTTGTGGGTGTTAATGTTAATTTCAAATCTTCTGGATAGATATGTTTGAAGGTTTATCATTATGTTTGTGGGAACTTTCTTAGTTGATTTAGGTTGTATTATCCTGCTACATGTTGTTAATACTCTTCATAAGATTTTTGGTCTTGGATTTTGTCTTGTAGGCTGCCCTTAGATTGGTCCAACTGGATAGAGTAGCAGAGCGTTTATCTCGCCACGTTATGGAGCATCATGAAGTAATGGGTAAGTTCAAGAGGTCACTTTAGAGTATTGATCACCTCCTGTGTGCAGGTTTTGGTACATGAGCTTATGCATGCTAGATATTTGCTTAGCATTTGTTTCTGATGTTCACTCTCTTTTATCTGCTTATTTCAAGGTGGTCAAATTTTTATTGCCTGGGAAACGTTATTATTATTATTATGATGATGATGAATTGCTCAATACGAAGTTAATTACTCTTTGATTGACTTTGACATGACATTGTTATCCTACTTCTATCATTATTAGTAAATGTATTTGGAAGAATGCAGTATCATTTCTGGTTTAAATAATACAAATTTTGGTCTAAATTGATTGATATATTGTGTGCTTGTTTGGATTAGCTTTTCTTTAGGGAAATAATTGCTTATTTTTCAAATACTTTCTTACAAAGCTGCCAAATACAAATGATTATTTCCTCAAAACAAGCTGAACCAAACATGCACTGTTGGATGCATGCAACTTTACTGCAGTCGCCCGCTTTCCATTTCTGGATCACTTGATGTTCTTTAAAAAAAGTTTAGAATAATAGCTGATACTTCCTTTTGGCCAGTGAAGGGGATGAATTTGGTCAGCGAATTGGAAAAAGACTTAAGAATCGCAAATGTCATCTGTATGGTAAGCAGCATAACTCTTAAGGAGCTGATATTTACTTTATGATCAATTTTGCTCTTACTGCATTCTTTTTTACGGTTTTGTTTTTGCAGAATGGAAGACGACACTTGACATCATCTATGAATGAGGTTTCAAGGGATCTGATTGTGAATTCTTATTCAAAAAAGAAACAAGCTCTGCTGGTATTTTTGTCTACCTTAGTTTTTATTTTTTAAATGTCAATGCTTTGTTTCCCCTTTTCTCATCTTATGTCATTGTGTGCTATGAAAATTGATTTCTTTTTATTCATGAGTTCTTGTGGGGGATATTTAGTTTAGTCTAAGATACCATGCTTACACTTGTGGTAGTGACTTCATGAATTCATCCTTTTCCATTCATAGGATATGCTTCCAACCTTGACTGAACTTCGACGTGCATCAGACATGCAATCAACACTTGAATCTCTTGCAGAGGAAGGGAATTACTGGAAGGTGGGCTTCCATATATGTTTTAACATGCAGATTGTGGTCAATCACTCACAATCAAGTTTTATTTTTGCTTTCCTTGTTTTTGGGTATAAAGCATCTTCTACGTGTTTATCTTTTATGTTGATCATTATGCAGGCATTTCAAGTCCTATCTGAGTATTTGCAACTCTTAGATAGTTTGTCAGATCTTTCAGCAATACAAGAAATGAGTTGTGGTGTGGAGGTGAATTTTGAATAACTATTAGAAAGGATTAAGCATGAACGTTTCTTAAGATTTTTCTTGCATGTTTGGATTTTGGAACTTGTGTAATTGAATCCCAAAGAAAATGTAGGGTATTTGGTGTTTAACTGTTTTAAGTTTTTTCCATTGAATTATTTATGTAGGTTTGGCTTGGAAGAACTTTACAGAAGTTGGATGCTCTTTTATTGGGAGTATGTCAAGAATTCAAGGAAGATGGCTATATAACAGTGAGTGTATTTTTTTTCGTCATAAATTGGTTTGCTTCTTAGTCATATGGAACAAGTTTTTAGTATTTAGGGTCTAGAAGGAGCAATGAGTGTATATACTCATTTGTTTTCTCTCTGTTTCAAGGGTGTGTGACAAATTAAAAACTAGTTCTGAATTTTGAACTTTCAATTAATTTTGTGAATCCTTATGAAGTTGAATTGGTTCAAATTAAACTAGGTGACGATGTAGTTTAATATCAAATGTTATTTGGTGATTCTTGGTGATGGTAATTTTTTTGGAAGTCATTTTTACTACTACACTGAGAGTGAGCTTCAGCCAAGGTCCATTTTTTTGTGGGGGTGAGGGGGAGGGCGTCTTTTGATAGATCTATGGCAAGATTGGCATGCTGTGTTATATTACATATTTCTTGGTTTAGCTTGAAAGGATTTCTGTATTTGCTTCTCTTTTTTCTTTCTCAGTACATTCTTTGTTTATCCAAAATAAAAGAAAAAATCTCCATGTTACGGTGTGTTTGGGAAAATGTTTGCTATTGGATTGTTGGAAATATATTATAAATGATATAACATTAGGAGGTGATACAGGTAATTGATGCGTATGCATTAATAGGGGATACTGCTGGTCTTGCTGAGAAGATACAGAGTTTCTTCATGCAAGAAGTGATCTCAGAAACGCACTCTGTGTTAAAGGCTATTGTGCATGAGGTGTGCAATACATTTTCTTGCCTAACTTCTTTTTATCCGGATTTTGAAATTGTTTAGGAGGCAGGAGAATTTATAGTTTATTTCCCCACTTCACAATGTTGACATGTAATTAAAATTAAGTGAGGAGCTGCAGTTCATTATTTTTTATAATTAGCTTCTGGACATTAGCATTGTGGTGCTAATGCCCTTGTACCATTACTACTTTTCATTCGATATAAATGTATGCATATGTGGTGGTTCAAAGTAGGATAGGCAGAACTTAATTCGTTCGGTTGGGTAAGAGTAAAACAAGAGCCCATAACTGTTGATATCTGAGGCCCTGAAACAATAATACTGTTCGTAGCAATGAATTTGCATAAGTTTAGTTTGCTTGATTTAAAGGACTGTAATTGTTTTCTCTTCCAACCAAAACTTAAAAGGACTTGTTTAATTAGTATTTTAATCTTTTTGTAGGATAAGGAGGGACTTTCGCAAAATAGTAGGTACTTTTTCTTCTGCAAGCATATTTACCATTCTTCAATGACTAATTTCAGTATTTTCACATTATATTGGCTTCATAGTTCTCATTTCCATTCCAGGCTCACTTACAGCGATCTATGCCTTCAAATACCTGAATCTAAGTTCAGGCAGTGCTTATTAAGAACATTGGCTGTTCTATTTGACCTCATGTGTTCCTACCATGAAATTATGGATTTTCAATTAGAGGGAAAGGTAAATTTATAGTTCCTCTTAAGTGAATATTTTTTCCATTTATTATGCACCCCACCCCCCGGCTTTTGTGCATTCAAATATTTGTATACCCAAAATAACTCATATCCGGTTGTGGACTAGTATCAGGTCAATCTAAGAATTTATTTGTTTTTAATTATTTTCTTTGTTGTGGTTAGAGATAAGTCATTCTTTGGTTTCCATCCCACAATTTAGTTCAATGTTTGGTTTGGCTTATTTTAGAGCTTTTGAAAAAATGTGATTATTTCTTAATATTTAACAAACATGCTATTAATCCCTATTTTTAAATCTTCAGATCCAATATCTCTCTCAACATGTAAGTTGGAGAATGAATTCCTTATGGTTTTGAAAATTGAGCAAATCGCTATTTAGTGATATCGTCACAAACATTCAGTATTTCAATAGGTATCCAATCTAGAGAGTCAGAGACTGGGAATAAAGTTATTCATGTTTACAGCAGGGTCTATAGTTGTTGATATTTGCTTTTCAGGCTCATAGATATGGTTGATTTTAATCTCAGGACTCAGCAACACAACCTTCTAATAAGTGCAGTGAAGACATTTCCTGTAGTCCAGGTGAGGCTCGGGAAGTTGATTCAGATGTAAGAGCCTGCAACAGTTCTATGTCCAGTTATGGAGATATAATACATGGCTCATCTTCTAGGGAGGAATCTGCAACAATCAGCTCACTAACTGAAACTACTGGTTCACCATACAGTGTTTCTCACGATCCAACAAAGGAGGCTAGTGAGGACAACGTGGCATCAAGCATTGAATCCCCATGGTACCATCTTCGCAAAGAAGCTATAACATTTGTTTCACAGACCCTTCAAAGAGGACGCAGAAATCTGTGGCATCTCACTGCAAGTCGTGTGTCAGTATTGCTTTCTTCTGCTGCATCATGTTCTGCCAGCATTCATCAATTCTTGAAAAACTATGAAGATCTCAGTGTCTTCATTTTGACTGGGGAAGCCTTTTGTGGAATTGAAGCAGTTGAATTTAGGCAGAAGTTAAAGGTTGTCTGTGAAAACTATTTCATAGCTTTTCATCGACAAAATGTGCATGTAAGTGACCTTAAGGCTTCTTATTCTTCGTGGTTGTTAGAGTAATGTAATGTTATTTCTGATTTCTTATTGAGTGCCTTTGGGTCTTGTATGATGCATGGAATACAATGTCATTTCTGGTCCTATGTCTGCATGGTGCTCTAAGCTAGTGATGTGGTTCCAGCTATCTTTAGAATTATAACTGATAAATTATTACATTAATTTTTTTTACTCCTGTTGTTCCTTCTAGGTGCGTGTTGGGATGTTGGGCACATTCTTGTTTGTACTTTGTTGTTCTGTACTCATCTGATTAATTTTACTTGTAAAAAAAGCAAAAATATAGAATTTACTTATTTATTGTATTTTTAGATCCAGAAATGTTCACAATAGCACTTTGTTCCATGATGTAATATGTCAGCTATGCCATCTGTGGTACTGTTGTAGAACTAGAAGGTCCTTGATCCTGGAAACTTTTGTGCCATAATTGTGTGGAAAGTTAATGACAGTTGCTTTTGTTTGATGAAAGTATTGCAGAATGCAAAAAGTAAATGACTAAGAAATTAATTAATTGTATTTTTTTCCTTCAGCCACTCCAAAATTGTAATGCAGAATAATTAGCTACATAATTACCTAATTGTTGTTTGGGCTTGTTGATATTCCAAACTATGCACCTGAATAATCCAAAATAGTGTAGAAAAGGTTAAATTTGTTTTCCTGCTTTCTCATTTTAGGCACTAAAAATGGTTTTGGAGAAAGAGACTTGGCTAAAATTACCTCCAGATTCAGTACAAATTATCAGTTTTGCTGGACTTATTGGTGATGGAGCACCATTGATTTCTTTATCCAGTGGTAAATCAACTAATGTTAGTGCAATCCATTCCGATAAATCAGTAAACATGGTGCACACCACTGCAAGGAAGAATGGGTTTTCTCATTGGATTAAAAGTGGAAACCCTTTTTTGCAAAAATTATCAACCCCCAGAGAAGGTCATGGATACTCCCAACCTAACGGATCAGTTTGTGGTGAATTTGATGGGAATTCAAACAATAATTTTCATGATGATAAAGTTTCACCTAGAAAGAATGATTCCAATCAAATCAATGGTGCCAATTCTGTTTCAGAAGATGAAAATGAGGATCTTCTTGCTGACTTTATTGATGAAGACAGTCAACTGCCTAGTCGAATTTATAAACCCAATCATTCAAGAAATCCCTCCTCACATGGTAATGATGAAGAGAATACAGCACAAACTGGATCTTCTTTATGTCTTTTAAAGTGAGTTACTTTACATTTTGTATTTGAAAAATTGATTATTTTCTGCTATATGGACTATGGTTTTATTAGTATTATCATTTTTAATGGATTTAATGAGATATTTTATGTTTTAAAATTTAAGGTCTATGGATAAATATGCAAGGCTTATGCAGAAATTAGAAGTGGTTAATGTTGAGTTCTTTAAGGTAGGCATTTCTGCCCTTATGGCTGGCAGTACAACCCCGTTCCTCCTATTTTCTTTTACAGGTTACAGATACAAGCTTGGTGGTGCTTTACATTTTTCCTCTGAATTCTTTTTCCTGATTCAGTATATTGCTGCAGGGAATATGCCAATTGTTTGAAGTTTTTTTCTATTTTATATATGAAACATTTGGTCAGCAAAACACTGGTTCAAGTGGAAAAAGCTCGACTAACTCTCTTAATTGTAAGTGGTGTAGTGTGTTTGATACTCAAACATTGGTGGCCAAATCCACTTTTGAGTTTGATTAGTAATTAGCAATGGAATTCAATTTTGACATGCAGATCACTTGAGAACAGCTTTATCCAGAATAAACCAGGATTGTGAAGAGTGGATTAAGTTCCAATCATCTTCACCAACATCACTGAGTTCATCATTCATGCATACTGAATTGATACCGACAAATCCTCCCCATGCAAATTTTGGTCACTCCTCAGGGACTTCTTTAGGTCTCAAGGTATTCATCTAAAGTTAATTTTGGGGAAAAAGTACTCATGCATTAAATTTTTATTTTGCATGACTATTATTTAAATTTGACGGCATCTATGGTAATTTCATTTGCTGTTTATTAGCTGCTTGACATTGTTGATTTTTTTTTTTCATTTATGATTGTGTAGAAAATTTCATCGTGAAATGAAGTGGGAATTATTATCTTTTGAATTTTGGCCCAGAAATAATGCTATTCTTAAATTTAGTCAAACATTTGTGTTATATCTGACATTTCCCTGCAACTTGCATCTTATCGTCTGTGTTACTACATTTGGTGGTTGCATTCTTAATTTAGTTTCCAAGCTACATCTAATGCATATGGAAGAAAGGAAATGTTGCAAGATGATTTTTATAAAATCAAGGAATCTTTTTCTCTGTCCTATAATAATTTGTTATTGGAGTCTGTGGTGGCTTGTAAATTTATAAATATACTTGCTTTATTCATGTAGTTTAGGTTCTGAATCAAGGATGAAGCTGTGTAAAATATGCATTTGCTCTGTGTTTCAGGAAAGATGTGTGGCTGTTGACACTATATCTCTTGTTGCTCGAATACTGAATAGATCCAAAGCTCATCTCCAATCAATGCTCTTGCAAAGTAATTCAACTATACTTGAGGATTTCTATCTTCATCTGGTATGTGGAATCTTAATATTTAAGTTACAATATTCAAGTTCCATTTGTGTTTCCACCATGGTCTGCTTGCCATTGGATGTTTGAAGCCACGTGTATTAAGTACTATGTGTTAATGCCTAGGGATGAGGTATTTGAAGAATCTGTAAATCAAGAACTGTGTTGGTTACTTTTTAAAGTTATCTTTGACTATTCAATGAAAAATTATTTGTATAATGACATGGAATTTGACATTAATTGACAAAGATCTGAATCTTACTTACCAGTTGAGTTGCTCCCTCCCCTCTTGTGGTCATTAAGTAACTTTCATTGAAGATTTTTCTTATCCAATTGTATGTATGTAATCATTAATCAAGTTGTTAATTTCTAGTGGAAGCTCATATTAGGATTGGATATTTAGGAATTAGAATATATTATATATTGTTTTTATCAGAATCAGATTGTTTATTTCTAATTGATTAAATTGTTTACCTTTTTTAATATGCAAAACTATGGATATCAACGATCTTTAATATATAAGGATTTCCATAGGTGGATGCTGTACCGGATCTCACAGAGCATGTTCATAGGACAACAGTGAGGCTACTGTTGCACATTAATGGGTAAGACAAATGTATACAAGTCTACAAGGTTGCTTTGCAAGTGTTGCTAATATACATGACTTCTATATTATCAAATTGACATTCACCCCATTTGGGTCCTGTTTTTTGACAAAACCATTTGAGGAGGGAAACTGTATTCTACCACATTGAACTTATTAAGTGATACCCTATTTTTTACAATGTGAGATATATCAACAATTTCAACTTCATATTTAGGATTCCTTTATTTTAAAGGAAATACTTATTCAAAACTGTTTTGCAGTAAAAAATATTTTGTAATATATTTTAAAATTGATAAATTGTGTCCTGAAATATGATGAAAGGATTGTAATGTTGTCAAATACTTGTATTTATTTGTAAGCCGGTCATATTTCGGGGCCTCTTAACAAGCACCTGCTGATGTGGATTATAAGTTGTGGAAACAAAAATTCAACCTAATTGAGTGTTTAGTGTATTGAAAGGCCATGGAGTTTAAACTATAACTGTTGGTTTTTTAATTTTTATTCAACTTTTTACAGGTATGTTGAACGTGTTGCCAATTGTAAATGGGAATTAAAAGAGCTTGGCATGGAGCATAATGGGTTTGTACTTTTGGATCATCTTTACTATTTATATTTGAATTCCAAGACATTCTTTTTTGCACTTTCTATTACTTATAGTTGATTGCATTAAGTCTAGGTAGTTTCTGATTTTATATAAAAAATAAAATGATAAACAACTTATTGCACTCATGCACTTATAAAATCTTATTTGCACTGTTGGTATCTTGGTTTACTGACATTCTTGAGTATGAACCCCTGGTTATTTGTATACGGGAATGAATTTTTGGGAGATTAACTTCTGCAAACTGCCTATCCAAAAGCTTACGTTGTTGGGTGAAAACACAAATGGTTTTATATCTAACACTCCCGATCACGCAAGAGTCAATGCATAAAGCCCATCCACGGATCTACCTTCTGCAAAAATTTAACCTTTTATTAGAAAAAATGGAGGCAAGGATCAAACTCTGATCACTTGGTCATAGAGGCCGTAATACTATATCATGAGCCAACTATCCCGAAAGCTTAAGCTAGTGTTGAAATGCACGAGTGATTTATATCTAACACGTACAAACTCCTAGTAAGATATTTGCAATTTAGGATTACATACATTACTACAGGATGAATTTATTGCCAACACTTGTATTGTTAGCGTCTAATCTCTTGGTCAATTTTTTTTTTTTAATCTCATTAAACGGTCTTTGATATTCGGATCCTTGGCCCTGACAGCGTAACTTCTAAAATATTTTTCATTTGGTTATTGTGATTCAACCATATTAGAGTGGGAAGAGAGGTTTTGTGGAAGGCCATAGAAAAGAAGGGAATAAATATTATTTATTTATAGAGGTATCAAAGATACGTATGAGGGGGTCATGGCAACTGTGAATACACATGGTGGAGTCACAACAGATTTCCTGTTAGGTTTGCATCAAGGGTCAAAACAGATATTCCTATATTACCTTTTATTATGTATATTTAAGAATTAATGCTACCGTGCGGGTTATTTGTAGATGATCTAGGTGTTTGGAAGAGCTTTTAAGAAGCTTATTTTAGTTTATGAAAATGATATACTGACTTTTTTTTATAATTTATTTCAATAAACTTCTCAGTAAACTTTATCAAGGTAAACTCCTTTTAGTTTATTTTATAAGATCAAAAGTTAAATTTATGACATGAACTATCCTGTGACAATAACTTATTGAGGAAGTACTTAATTAAGACATAGTTTAGATAAACTTCTTAGAAGAAGAAAATTAGAAGGCAAAGTAGAAAAAAAAAATTTCTACAAGTTAAATTTAACTTATGGCCACCAACTTTTTTAAAAGTTTTTACATCTAAATATTCTAAAATTGATATGACAGGTTAATTTTGACTTATTGTAGAAGTTTGATTTATTCTACTTAATTAATTTCTTCACCCATAAGTGTACGTTGACAAGTTTATCCAAATTGAGCTTAAATTGTGTACCCAAATACATCTATGGTCCTAGTTGGAGAGTTGAGAAGGGAAATAATGAGAAGTTATGATTTGTGGGGACAAGTTTTGGAAATTCATGACTTTTTTAATAAAGTATAAGGCAAAGTATATGGAATATATGTCTAGGAGGAGACTTATTGATCCTAGCTTAATGGTGAAACTTGGAGATCATGCATTACCTCAAGTCACACCCAATTTAAGTATCTTGGGTCCATTTTGCAAACAGCTGAGAAATAGAGTGATATAGAGCATAGGATTTAAATGGAGTGGATGAAATGGAGGAGTCGCTTGACAGTTATTGGTGACCAATAGTTATAGTACCCCTTAAAGCTCAAGGAAAAATAGTATTGCATAATTATTAGACATGCAATGTGGGATGGAGCTGTGTATCAGGCAGTGAAAGCCAACAAAATAATAAATTTAATATAGCAGTGATGAGAATGTTGCGTTAGATGAGGACATACTAGACAAAATAAGGTTAAGAATGAATGCATTAGAGAGAAAGTTGGGATAACATTTTTATGGGCAAAATGGTAGAATCTTGTCTTGGTTTTGGGGTATGTGGAAAGGACTTGTGGAGAGAGTTGATCAAATGGAGGATAGTCCTATTGCTGGAAGTAGAGAGACAGAGAAACTACCGGCAAAATCATTAAGAATGATTTAAAGGTACATTAATTGTATTTAGAGTTCACAACAGAACATTATTGGATTATTTGATCCATGTAACTTGTCTTACCTAGTGGCAAAACACTTGGTGGTTGTTAATGTTATTGAACTGCAACTGTATACATAAACAGTAAATGTTATTTTTTTGTATCTTGGAAATAAGCTGCATTTGTTCTGCACTTTTGACTCATGGATTGTATTGATAGATACGTTGATTTGTTGCTGGGGGAGTTTAAGCACTATAAAACACGACTTGCTCATGGTGGAATTCGTAAAGAGGTATTGCTGTTACTATCTCGGGACATTCATTCAGTGCAATATATGAAAAACATTGGCTTTTAGATTGTTGTAAAGGAAAAAAAAACATAGGAAAGTAATTCCTAGCATTTTACCAAGACTTGTGATTCGTTAGTTCTTCTGTTTATGTAGGTTCAGGACCTATTATTGGATTATGGGCTTGAAATTGTGGCAGAAACTCTTGTTGAAGGACTTTCACGGGTGAAGAGATGTAGTGATGAAGGACGAGCTCTTATGTCATTGGATCTGCAGGTTATTTTTGAGCTATGATCAATTCTCTTAGTGCTTTCAATAGGTTAGATTTGAAGTTCATGTGGTAGATTGTTATGTTAAAAATTATCATGGAATAGCCTAATTTAATCTTAATCCATTGTTCAATTTTGTAATAACAAGTTTTCCTGTTGTCTAGTTACTTTCAAAGTTCAGCTTTCAAGTGTGGAGTTTGTTATGGAACAAATATGAATTTACAGATCAATATATTGGTGAACCTTCCTGCTCCATGTCAGTCATTCTTTTTTAATTTTTTGGATTTGTCTTTCCACCTTCCAGGTTTTGATCAATGGGCTACAGCATTTTGTGTCGCTGAATGTGAAGCCCAAACTACAAATGGTTGAAACTTTCATCAAGGTAAGCAACAAAAGACACGTAAACACACTCCTACTATATTGTTTTCTAATGCAGATGAATTTTGCCACACGATAGTATTAGTTGGGTTTTGGTGCCTGACCTATATAATATTAGGATCTCACATTTGAAACTTCCATTGGATGCAATTTACATTTTATCACTTATACAATTCTTTGCCTTGGACTTTTTAAACCAGGCTTACTACCTTCCCGAGACAGAATATGTGCACTGGGCACGCGCACACCCGGTAAGATTTCTGCTTTCTATAGCATTATTACACATCCCATTGCCGAGGTTTTAATCAAGAATAATTATAAATCTTCCTACCTTTGATGCCTATAAATCCTTCGGTTATTGAATGAAGATAATATTAAATATTTTTTTATATTTTTAAGATAATAAATGCATGAGTTTTTTATTTAATACTTTAAGAAGAGGAAGAAATTATTATTATATGTAAGAGGATATAACAAAATTCTTTAACCAAACATCCCCTCCCATCCTACCCACTGAATATATTTTACTCTCTCAAAAATTGAGGATTATGATGAGAATAGATGGTGAGATCTCGACACTGCACCATGTCAAGTGTTTTTAACAAATGAGAGGATCTGCTCCCTTGCAGGAATACAGTAAAAGCCAGATTGTTGGACTGATCAACCTTGTTGCCTCTATGAAAGGTTGGAAGAGGAAAACTAGGTTGGAAATACTGGAAAAGATTGAATGATATCGGGCAAATACGTCTTGGTTGTGTACGAAGTCGGGCATACAGAATTTTCTGCTCCTTTTCCCCTTTGTCTTTCATTTTTGGCAGAGCTTCGTGTAAAGGTAGTCTATATTGCTTGGCATTTGATCCCCTATTAATTATGGGTTGTTCCCAAATATGTCTTTGGTGTCGTCTTGTAGATAGTCCTTTGAAAATAAGCTGTAATTGTACAATAACTTTACTTTCAAATACAAAAATTTTCACGCAATTCAGGTAACAACTATCGCGCCCGATTTGTCTTGTAAGGGAATGGATCTCCTCGCTTGTCTTGTAAAAATTTTGTATTTCTTTTTGTTCATAAATTGCAATAGTATCTCACTTGTATAGACACGATTAACTTGAGAGAGAATATGGAAACTGGCCAGGGAGAGGGGAAGCTATGGAAGACAGTTTAGGTGTTTTATTTTAAGTATGCATATTGGTGAAGAATTATTTTATACATTTATTATATAACAAAATCTAAAATAATTATACCACCAGTTACAATATCGTTCGCGAACACGATATTCATTACTCAGACCAGCAAATCGAAACTTGAAAATCAACGAGGACAGATATTTATGCTTTTGTTACAAATTAATTTAAATTTTGTGTTGAATGTTTATTTCAGTTTATTTATTTTCTTAAAATCTACTGCAGAACTGTCTTTTTCATCAAGAAAGTTAATTGAAATATGTACTGAATTATGAAACAAGATAAACGAACAACAATAAAGTCTTGATATTTAAGAAGTTTTTACTGATATAATATAAAGTAAAAATAAAATTATGTGAATGAACCGATGTCAAATCAATTTATAGAACTAAATTTAATTACTGTAGCAATAATTGGGTAGCCAGAATTCAGTTCCTAGAGAACCGAATTTTGGAAGTTGATTTTTGATTTTTTTAAATTTTTTTAATATTTTTATATAATAAAATAAATTTATTATTTAAATTATATTTATATTTTATTATGTGAAAATAAATAAAAATAAAAATAATATTTATTTTACAAGTTTATTAAATTTTTTTTACATAATTATGATAATAAATAATATTTTTATTTTTTTATTGTATTATTTAATATAATTTTGATTTTTGTAAAATGATATTAATATTATATTCTGAAATTATATTTTTGGTTATTTAGTATTAATTTTTTTTTAAAAATTACAATAATAATTGAATTAATTTTAAATTTGTATTTGATAAAAATTACAATAATAATTTATTTAATTTTATATTTTTATAAAATAAATAAAAATATTAAATAATAATAATTTTATTTATTTAATTTGAGATATTAATCTTTATTAAAATTTATATATAATTATTTATTTAAAAAATATGTTATTAATATTAAGAAACATTATTAAATAATATTATGTAGATATATATATAATAATAATATATTTAATATAAATTACTAATACTAAAAATTTATAAGTTGCAATGACATTCATAAAATTAAAAATTACATGAAGAAAATTTTAAAGTAATAACAACAACATAAATCAATGGCGGGAAGTAGAAGTTTGAGTAATGTTTGGACATGTCTTCCTTGTGTGACTAGGGGTGTGACAATAAGAATAATTTTTTGGCCGACTTTGTTGTTCTTTAATGTCCATCTCTGTCCTTATCTTACTAGACTTGGGTCGACCTTTTGAAGTTCTTTTCAGTTCTGGATTTGGACAAAAAGTTAGGCCAATGTAACTTGGCCAATAGTCTTCATGTCTAAGTTCTTTAACTGATCTTCGTATATCTTAGAAACTTGTTGCAAAGTATACAAGGAGATATGTAGATGTCAAAGTTGTGGTGTGTGTATAAGCATGAAGCAAGTACATGCAAGCATAGGATGTGAACTTTTTGAAACTTGTCACAATCACACCACATTTCATCTAACAGTACAGTAAATCTTCCTACGGGTCGAATTTTAGTCGAATGTTGCGTTTCTTTAACTAAAAATCTAGTGCTTGTTTTGTCAAAGGTGATGACTCTATGAGTGTTTGCCTTTAACTGTGCATCTTGAATTGTTTTAGTTGCAACCTCCGAGTACATATGTCCAGCATTAATCATTGCATCTACTTCTTTGCCTCTGTCAATGAAGAACTTATTATAACGGATGTATGTTGTCAGGACCATAGAGCAAATTGGCAGGTTTCTGGTTTTCTTCAAGATCGAATTGATTGACTTCGCTAGATTTGTTGTCATGTGTCTCCAGCGTCGTCCATTGTCCCATGTCAGTGTCCATTTTTCCCTTGAGATGTTGTCTAATCATTGTGCAGCTTCAGAATTATTATCTTTTACTATGTTGTAATAGTAAAAGAATCTCGGTTCAGTCATCTCATATGCTTGAAACAAGATTACAAAAAAAATTAATATAACTAACTAAGCAATTGTATAAAATATTAATGAGAATATAAAGTACATAAAAAATTTAAATTACCTATATTGATGACATCTTTCTTCAGTGCAACGTTTTTGAATCGTCAGATGAAGTTTTGTGCAATATGTCTAATGCAATAGACATGGACAGAATTGTTTTCTGTCCAACCACTTCCATTTCTGAAGTATGCACTTCTTATGGCCTCGTGACGATCCAAAATGAGGTACAGTCCCTCTTGCGGGGTTATGTATCTCCTTAAGTTTTTCAAAAAAAAGAACCATGCATTACTAGTTTCACCTTCTACCATAGCAAAGACAATGAGAATTATGTTGTTGAGGCCGTCTTGCGCAACTGCCACTAATAAAGTCCCTTTGTATTTGCCATACAAAAATGTTACATCCACTTAAACAATTGGTTTGCAGAAGGCAAAACCATCAACGCATAGCTTGAAGGTCCAAAACAACCTCTTGAAGAACACATTTCTCTCGTCAAGCAAGCCACCCTTGTATGCCGGTTGTGTACTCAATTTCCAGATGAAGCCAGGAACATACAGTTGCATTGCAAGCAACTGTCTAGGTAACTTATGGTATGACTCCTCCCAATTTTTGAAGATATTTTCAATGGCATGTTGTTTCCCTAACCATCCCTTTCTATAGCTGATTGTGTAACCCATTGTGGACTTTATGTGGTTTAAGATAGTTGTTATAGGTGTCGATTGATCAGTCTGTATCATTTCACGAATCCCATGAGAAATCATTCGTGATCCCAAGTTGTTATGATCTGGTGAAATGAGTGAGGAAGCACATATGTGACACCTGTTAAGCTTTATTATTTTTCAGTGTTGTTCTTTGGTGCACAATATTGCGCGACATCTCCAGGAACAATCGTTGTAAACGCATTCCATGACAAGCCTAATTGTGCTTGACATCTTAACCTTGTATGTGCAATGATTGACAATATAAAATCTATTTATGGCGTCTTGCACTTGTTCTTTTGTTAGGAAGCGTTGACCAATAAATAGTGTTCCAGACAGATACACTATCATTTCATGTTTAAGTACATGGTCAAACTCAGAGTCATGTTCTTGTATTTGACTGGAAAAGTCTAGAAAATTTAGAAGTGAGTTGTATAATGGTAATGATTGTGATGGTGGAATATTTGAAAGTGGGAGGGAGTCTTCTTCATCATCCTGCTGTTGAGATAGGATTTCAACTTCGTCGTCGCTAAAAGAATCAAATACTTTGATTGAGAGACCCACAACAACATGTTCTTCAACGGGGGTTTCTTCAAGAGGCTGAGAGGGTAGGGTTTGCTCAAATGGTTGGAAAGGTATTTCATTGAGGTCCATTCAAAACTGTGTGTAGGACTGAAGGTCGGAATTCATATCATATGTTGGAAAAGATGGATTTATGGTTTCGTAAGTTTGGTAAGGTGAAGATGAAGGCGAAAGTTGTGGTGGTTGGGTTATTTTTGTAGCAAATGTAACATATAATTCTATACCTGATTGAAGTTTATTTGAATCGTGGATGTTGAAGAGTATCTCGACGTCTTCATCATCGTTCCACTCACCACATGTGTAGTTACTAACTCCCGGGCCAAGTCTAATTGGATAGTGAAAATGTATGGTTGTCACCCTTTCATTTTCGTCTCGGTTGAGTTTTGTGTGAATGACTTTCTTGAGCCTTTGTAGAGTCACTCCTCTCTCTAGATGTACCAATTTGGTTGATGATGAGGTGAACGTCACTCCTTTATAAGGACATTGGTTAATGGCACCATCAGAGTGAACAATGACATAAATTGAAGACATTTTTAGAAGGAGAAGGTTCACAAGAACAAAAAACAAGCTTAGAAGATTGAATGAATAGAATGAACACAAATATGACTATTTATAATGGTAACATTGGATTCTCAGTCATTCAATGTTTCATCACATTTTACGAGTGATGGTAACCTGACCAAGAGATAGTGACTTCTCAAGATTCTAAGGCTACTCTCTCGTACCAAAATTTGTTTATAAATATGTTCATCCAAGGACACATGTTTTCATTCAAACTTGCATCCATCTTTTTTCTTCGTTTCTCTTTATCTTTGCTCCCATTACTAAAAATGTTGTTCTGGAAGCAAAACGAACACAGGTTCGCCTTTATTGGAAGAACGGTAAGTTTTATACATTACCATTATGTAAATTAATATTCTACATATAATATTACTAATTTATTAATAACTGCAGGAAACTGAAAACATGATTTCATCTTTCTATCATTCAATGTCAGAACCCAGTCCTCTAATTGTTCCTATGCTTGAATAACTTGATTTTGCTGGGATAGCAAAACTAAGCCATCTTAAGGTGGATCACGCATTGATAACAGTTTTGGTCGAGAGGTAGAGACCTAAAACTCACACATTCCATTTTTCAACAGAGGAGTGCATCATAACCCTGGAGGATGTTGCACTTCAACTCAGGCTAAGAGTTGATGGTTTACCAGTCGTTGCTCCAACAATGTTTGACTGGGAGGAAATGTGTGACACATATCTCGGTATCGTACCAGTCAAGGAAGAGTCACTAATTGGCTCTATGGTAAAACTGAAGTGGCTAAGAAACAACATGTTGTCATTACCAGAAGAACTATCTGAAGAAGAAGTTCACACTTATTGTAGGGCTTACATACTAGGTTTAATTGTAGGTGTTTTGATGCCTGACAAAACAGACAACAAAGTACATCTTATGTATTTAGCTTTATTAACTAATCTTAGAAGAACAAGATGATATAGTTGGAGTTCTGCTTGTTTAGCTATGTTGTACAGGGAAATGTGCAAAGCCACGAAAGTTGGTAATAAAACAATGGGTGGTAATAAAACATATCCTCTCATGTGCAGATGGAGTGGGGGTAGAGTACTAAACTTTCGAAATAAACCTCGCAATGATGTTGTAGGGTACAGATCAATGTTTGATCACATTCAAGCTAATCAGGTCACTCTTCATATTTATTTTCTTATCTTTTACACATCATCTTAAGTAACAAAGTTAAGTTTATTTGTAGTTTTTATGGGCGCCATATCAAGACTTGCAAACATCAATACTCATGGAAGCATATAAAGATGTCTAACTGTGGACTTCATGTATCGCCATCCTTTGTTTTGCAATTGTTGAATGGCACCAAACAGATAGAGTCAAATTACAATTTAGTCTCTTCCAAGAAGTCCCTTCTCCACCGAATAATTTGAATGACCTCCACAAAATTGACATGAGAGGAAGACAGAATAAAAATTGGGTTACAAGACATGCTCAATGGATCAAGATATGGAACAACAGACGTGAGTTGACAATAATGGGTCATCCAATGCAAAGCCCATTGTGTCACACACAAGAATACATGGAATGATACTTTGCCAATTCCATCTATTTTCTATCTGTGCCACCACTACTACAAGATCCAAGGAGGAGGGACCAACAACTAAGGACTACCAACACATTTGAAATCAGTACGACTTTCACACCGTCGTACCACGAGACTGCATCAATTTTTTCGAACATTACGCCAGAAGCAAACATAATTAATATAAGACATTCATTTGCAACAACATCGAAATATTTTTTACAAACTTATTTAGAGTTGATTTTACAACTCCATTTTCAGCACAAACTTACATGCAGTCTCTCTACCAACCAGATTTTGCTAATGAACTTAGTAATTCATCAAATGCATTCCAACAACTAGACCTTCATCATGATCCAAATCTTCCACAAATTCATCCTAAAATTCCAGAGCAACAACCACAACGATGAAACTTACAACGTCACAGACGTCGCTCTCGTTATGGAACTGACAATCATTACGAAGATAGTTAATTATTAATGTTGTTATGAATTTGTTATCATCTTTGTTAATGCACTTTGTCTTTATCAATGTTACCTTAGTAATATAAAACTATTAATATTAAAATATTTGTCTCAAGTATAAATAATTAACTTATAATTTAATATTTTATTTACTTTTTGAAAATAAATGTTTTATTCTCAAATAAAATTTATTAAAAATTATAATAGTAAATTTTAGAGTTTAGGGTATTAAAAATTATAATATTAAATAATATCATTTAAAAAAAAAACTAATTTAATTAAAATAAAATTTTAATTTAAAATTTCATTTTATCATACTAATATTTAAAAATATTAAGTCAAAATTATATATTTAAATATATAAATAAATAGAATAATATTTAATATTTTTATTTAATTTTTAAAAATATAATTATTATTCTTTAAGTATAAAAATTTTAAGCATTAACATTATTATTAAAATAATATACTTATTATTTAAATATTTTAATTAGTTTTTAAAAATATAATTATTACTATTTTCTAAAAATATTATTTATTATCATAATTATGTAAAAAAAAGTTTAATAAACATGTAAAATAAATATTATTTTTATTTTTATTTATTTTTACAGAACAAAATATAAATATATAAATATAATTTAAATAATAAAATTTATTTTATTATATAAAAATATGAAAAAAAATATTAAAAAAATTAAAAACAACTTTCAGAATTCGTTGCCCAGTAACCAAATTTTGGCTACCCAATTACTGCTACAGTTTAGGGTCTAGTTATGTAAATTGATTTGGCACCGGTCTATTCACATAATTTTTTTTTTTATATTATATTAGTAAAAACTTTGATATTTAATTGTAAATCATAATTATAAATAAATTATTTATAATTATTTCACATATTTTTCAACCATTAAAAAATTATAAATATAATTTTATAATTTATCTTTGGATACAAAATCAACAGCAAATAAAGGAAAGTTGACAAAAATACTATTTAAAACATTTTTATAATTGTTCTATGTTTTAACGATAGTACACTTTTCAATAGCTACATTTTTATGAAGTAATCAAGTTATCTGTTTAAAAAATAAATTAATATTAAAAATATTAAATAGTGTTCTAAAATTAACGTGTTCCTAACATTTATACTGAAAATTTGCATTTTTACAGATCTCCTTTATACGAGTTCATTGCTGTTCTCTGCTTTATCCTGTGCTAGCTTGCTTGTTGACCCCAACTTGGACGCTAGGTGACAGTGTGATTGCGCCTACTCGTGTCACTGCAAAACAGCGCTGATCCTAGCTGCTTCTCCGGCAGATCCAAATTGTGCAAACAAGACTAAATAAATTATGTAAATTTAGACACACTCCACTCGAAGGAGACAATTTAAAATTCCTTGGTCGTCTAGTCATTTTCACAATATATGGGTGTTCTATCCTTCTGAAAACGTTGAAGCCCTTTCCATCTAGACAGTGAAAACAATTTAAATGCACATCGAGGCCTCGCAGAAGTAAGGTTACATTTGGAGAAAGAAAATATAAATTCCTAGATTGTATCTATTTAAAAAATATTTTAGAATTTTAGTCAAAGAATTTTTATTTCAAATATTTTTTTTATAACATGTTATTAAAGAGAATTTAAAATATCTTCTATTATGCTTAACATTTATAATTATTATTCATAATTTTTTTCATATTCGATTCACATTTTAATCACTCTCAATTATTAAAATCAAATTTTTAAAATTTTAAAATTCTTCCTCCAAACACTATCTAAACAAAAATTGAAGAGATGAATACTAGCCCTTAGAGCAAAAGAGGCGAAAATTACTTACTTGAGCTCCTTTGGTTGCTCGAAGGACAAACCTTAACCCACAATATTTGACATTGTCAACAGCATTAAAGACTTGGGAGCAACCTAAAATCGATTTTGGAGCAACCCCATTCATCAAATTCTCCTTGTTTTCCTTCATTTTAACAATACTTTCAAATTCAGACATCATGTCAAATAACCGGTCTGTTAATGCATGAATTTATTTATTTTTACGCCTGAACATCTCTTTTTATTTCTCTTCATCTCTCTTCTTTTTTCATTATATAATTTATTACTTCTTTTTTTCCCTCTTCTTTATAGTTGCGTGTCAAATGAGCATTTCTGAATGCATATTTAAATGAAAGAATATCTTGTCATCAATTCTAATAAAACATCGTATTGTTTATAAGGTACGGAGTCCCAATACAATTAAAAAATTATAAATGTCATGAATATACCCAAAATGGATAACTTTTACTATCATTAGTTAATATACAAGTCAGTAGTTACTATCATTACGGACTGAAAAAGAGCCAGTAGAATAAATATTATAATTTATAATACCACGTGATTGGTGCAAGAGCTAATTAATCACGGAATCAAGTTCAGTCACTCCCCAATACAACATTTGATGTCACATATCTTATTTTTTCAATCAACATTTCGCATTAAGCTCCAAAATTTTGGAATGTTATGTACTTTAGTTACATTTTTAGACATTTTTTTTTGTCGTTGTTCTTGATGCACGGGCAGATTTGCTCGCGGGGCGAACCGTAAACGTGAAAAGGTATTTCTCGGGTTCATTATTTCGTGTAGTCATTATGTTTTATGCATCACCAACTATCCACTACTCATAAATGGCACTGAATCTTCAAGTTCTTTCTAAACTATTAAGAATTTTTTTGCGGTACGTGCTTGTTACTGGTTGTATTTGGAGGTCATTTTGTAGTAATTTGAATATTGTGGTTGAATATGCATTGGGTCTGAAGTTCTTAGTAACAATCCTCCCTCATCTCAAAACTCCTTAGTAGAACCCTTTGCTCTTGCTTATGTAATTTATAAGAAGATAGATACGATTGATGACTTTCGGCCTTTTTAACGTAAAAATTAGAATAATAAACGATGAGATTAACATAGTTGAGGATGTCAAGTTCTTTTAGAAACTTGAGAGGATCCCTCAATTGGTAATTAAACACATAATTTAGATTAAAAAAAACATATCATTGATGTAATTTAATGAATTTCAATGTATTAATACTTTTAAATATTTTATTTTTAAATAAAAAAAATGTTATATATTTTTATCTGCACAATATTGCATATATTAAAAAAAAATAGCTATTAATATTTAGAAAACAAAAACCTGAATAGTGGGTGGCCAAACAATCAGAATAAAAAAAATATAAATTCATTATGACGTGAGAAAAGAATGACGTCGTAAAAGCAAACAATTAATAGCATCACTGTAGCTTCGCTTCCTATTTTTGTTCAGTGTTCACTGCTGAATCTGTCCTACTAAATTTCGTTATAGCAATTTTTTGTCAGAGAACTGATTAAAAAATTAAAAAAATATTTTTTATTTAAAAATATATTTATATACATTGAAATATATGAGAATGAATATATTTTTGATAAAATATTTTAATTTTTAATTTTTTAATATTTTTTGAGATATGTGTATATAAAAATAAATATGATCTTAAACTTCAATTGTCAAATGGAATTGTATGTTTATTGACTCTTTCTTGCCGTATCAACAATCTCTTTCTTGTACGCTTTTTCACCTTACAAATGGTAGCTTTTTATTTTGATTCTTATTTTCTATGCAGAAAAACATCAAGTAGCTGGTGACTCTGTAATTGCTCCTACCATGTCTAGTGCCACGCAGGGTTGATCAGTGGGTACCTGCAACAATGAACAAACAAATTATAAATTACTGTACTCTTATAAGACAAAAGAACTGAAACATATACCAATATCTGATTTTTCTGAAGAGACATTGTCATTGGATCTTATAACTTCGACTCTGACACTAATGTTTCCCACAAAAGTATAATAACGTTGTCAGCACCCCAATTGCTCTGATACATAATAAATGCCTCTGCTTCAATTGTGTCTTCATCATTTCTTACCTTACTCTCAGTACCTTGCTCAGTATCTCTACCCCACCCCCACCTCAAGATTGATTTGAAGGAGAGATTTCTTTTGGTTGTTGAAAATTTATTTCCAATTAAAATTTCCATTTTATTCTCTACTTTTAAAGCACACAATAAAACATAAAAGTATAATAATTTATATATTTTTTTAATTATTAAGACATATGAAGTTTAGAGATACGAATTAGCAACTTGTTGTTTTTTGTATTTAAAAAAGATTATTATTTTAATAATGTTTTGGCTTTTAAGAAAAGTAAAGCAACAGTGTAAGGGAGAGATCTCTTCAATTTTTGGGCTATCACACACGCGAAAACTCATGGAATCTTTTTATTAAAAGAAAAAGAAAAGAAAGAAGAATCATGGAATTTGGGAAAGCAAATTTATTGTTTGACAGCTGAAGATTAATGGATTCTTAAGAAAAATGTGTTCCTAAGATGATCCCCTCTTTAAGCGCAAAATTTACTTTTTTGCACCCTTTCGAGTACGTTAGAGCTCTTCCACATTTTCAACTTTACTTACAAAATCATGGAATTGACTAGCAAGAAAATTCTTTAATCATTTTGTCATGATTAATTATATTATATATCTATAGTTAAAATAAATAAATAAATAAATTCTATAATTTTGGAATCTACTTTGATTTTCTCAAAAAATAAAAAACATGTTACTTTTTAAAAATTTCAAAATAAAATTTTTCTTTTAATATAAGGTATATTTCTTTTTTAAATAGTACGATAAATAAGAAACTATTAGTAGCAGTTGTTTATTTTAATGAGTTTATCTTCTATCTTTTTCTAGATAAGGATGAGCACATGACAAGTCACTTTATTAGATGCTAGCAACTACTAATATTGCTGCATTGAAAATCTATGCGTAGCTGTTGAGAAGATGATTGATGTTGACTTACAAAATGGCCAGCTTTGAGGATCCAATAGAAGTATAGGTTTTTGTATGACCTAAAAAAGCCTTTGGTCTTCGTTGTGTCACTTCCACAGTAAAGGGGTGTTCTGTCTTCACCCAAGAAATTTTTAAGCCCTTCCCATCTATAGAATAAAAAAACATTGGTGTATACATTAAGAAATTTGACCTTTGGTTTCACCAATCTTTGAAGGGTCAGGGATATATAAATTATTAGGAGAGAAAGACATGCATACTTAAGTTTACTAATCCAAGCTTCAGTCCCCTTGGTTGCACAAATCAGATCAACCTATAATAACAAGAGAGATTATGATGTTACCTTTTAGTGCACACACAAAATAAATAAATAAAAATTCATTTCTTTAAACTTAAAATATGAAACAAGATCGTGCAATCAGTCAAACAATATAATTTGACTACTTTGGAATCAGATCCCCATGTCAAATAGTAGGAGTGACCTATAAATATATATATCCAATCAAGAATCTCATCAATTCTTATTATTATAGAAACTAACAATGAAAATGTTGTGGAAAGGGACTCTTACTTGTCCATTGTACACAGTCACATTGACCCCTTTAGCGAGTAGCTCATCAACCTGAGATTTTAAAGTTAATAACATCACATATCCAGAAAAGGAAAAGGAAAATTTTGCCCAGTTGAAGAAAAACAGGACAGCAGAAAGTTTACTAGAAACAATGAACCATTGATTTTAAGCTCAAATTGACTTCGAGAATAAGACTGCGAGCCTGATAATGTACAGCAACTAGATTACAGGACTTAGCTCCTCTAAATTAAAGGGGGTGTATTTGAAAAGATATAAAATGCAATTATAACTACTGATTGAAAAATGAATGGTTAAATTTTCAATGTAATTTGTTTAATATGTACCTTTTTTTATCAATAATTATAACAATACTTTATCTTCTAAAATATACCTTTCTTTTTACTTTCGAGAAAAGTTAAATCAAGTCAAAACCGTAGTTTCTAGCTTATTTACCACTTATTATCTTATAATTACCTCATCAATTCTTGGCCTCATAAAATCACTTGCAAGACTTGAGAAGACATCATCAGCTTGCCCTCCCCATCTGTCAGCACATTAGCTAAGTTATCATTTGATTGGTTTGAAGTGAAATTGAGAGTGCACTTTTCTGGTCAAAGAATTAGAGACTTACGTCACATTCTCAGGGATGATCTGTAACTTCTTCTTTATGACACCATTTAGTAACTCGTCGAGGTCAGCACCACCCCCAGGAGTTGACCTTGACCTCATGGCAGTAAGATACTTAGAGTATCTCTTAATTGATATTTTTGGGAACAATCCCAGCTCCATTGCTGATATATCACCACTTCCTGAATCCTCCAACAAATTGTAGAAGTCCTAGAGTTAACAAAAAAAATTTTAAGCACATTTTGGGTGGAAAGAGAACACAATTAAGGAAAAAAAAATAGAAGATGGTGAATGAAAATCATAGTACCACATTGTTGCTGCCTTTTGAAATCATGGACTCAAGTTCACCCCATGTGTTGGTTGCATCTAAAAATCTACCCTCCGCTATTTGCTGTTTGATCTTCTGAGCCAAACTGATCTCGAAAATGGTTTTGTTAGATAACAAAGAAAATGGCCATTATATATAGGATATTAATTTTGGCTACACATTTTTTTGTTTCTATTTGAGAAGATGGAAAACATATTTACCTGTTTGATAGTTGCAATCCATTATCATCAAGTCGTGAGAGATCTTTAAGGAGAGGACCCCATGAGAACTGCAAGTTTGGATTAAATATTAAAAATTTGTGAAAATTCAAACAACATAAGAAAAGCTGGTGGACAGAACAATCTATTGCATACCACAAAATCTTCTGGGGAGATCCAACTATCTCCTAATGCCACACCTACACAAGGAAAAAGTTACCCAAAATCATACATTTCTTGTGGTTATTCTGTTGAAAATTATATAATATAAAGGATTCATCATTTGATCCCCAACTATAAAAAATGACATTAATAAATGAGTTTTACTATACCCTTCTTATAATTTTTTTAATAATTCTCCTAATGTTTTATAAAGTAAACATTAAATGAAAAAAACCATGCATTTATTGCCTTGAAAATATGCATTTAATAATTTCATTATACAATAAATAGGAGGATTTATAGGTACAAAAATTAGAAGAATTTAAGATTGTTCTTAACAAATTAACCCCATTCACAGGTCACAATATTTAACAGCCATGATAATTTGGAAAAAACCCATATAGAATTTGACATGATATAAAACTCAGGAAAGGATTACCTCCAAGTTTAAGCTTCAATTTTCCATCTTCAATAGCTTTCAGAGCAGACAGTCCAAGAGTGACAGCAAATTTGCCACCATAAGACTCTGCCACAATGAACAGCGGGCTCTTTTGCAGCTTTTCATCTCTGTTGAATATCTCAATTAACAGTGTAGTCAAATCAGTGGCTGCTTCTATATCTGTTTTCACTAGGAGATTTTTGTCCTCAACATAACTGTACCCTGTTCCAACCGGATTGTCCTACATATCATTCAAAAGCATTTAGTGACCACAGTTAAGAACCACAAAGTAAAAAGAACCTGAGAAAACAAACAAACAAACAAACGTCTCTTGAATCAACTTCTTCTGGGAAAAAGTCTCTTCATGATTACCACAAACAAGAGATCCGCTTTTCTCAACCATGTTGAATTCCTTGGCTTCAAGCTTGTGTCCAAAGGCCCAACCTCTTCAAAATTTCCAATCCCAACTCCAGAACCACCCTGATCAATGTTTGAAAATCTTAGAAAATGGGTTTGTTATTGTTCACACAATTCAGTCTTTTTCTATTGAAAAATAAATAAATACTCGTTTCAATAAAAATATATAATTCAAATTAATTTATGTACGCATCTCAATTATATTTAACAGTTCAAAATCAATTTCATCAAAATTAATTTCACTCAACTTAATTAAAAAAAAAATGAAGAAGCGATCCTCCATGTTACATCCCAATTCAGCAATACTTACAGGTCCTCCCTGCAACCACAGAATAGTTGGCCATGGCTTATTGTGATCTTCCACTTTATAAGGACTTCTATAAAGCCACCAAAACATGTGAGCTTCTGCGATAGCCCAACAAAACAAAAATGAATTAGAACTATTAGTTTCACTCCAGAATCCTTTTTCACACCCTGAAAACATACAAAAAACAAAAACTTTATCAGAATTGTAATGCATTGACTTACTGGGTCTAACTTCTACATATCCCCATTCCTCTGATCCATCTCCACTCTTCAAAGCTGACACCTTTCCTCCATGAAATAGCAGAGCAATGAAAAGGAGAATAGATACAAAATGACAAAGCTTTTCCATTGGAAGAAAGAAAGCAATAAGAGAGGTGGAGAAAGAGAGAAGGGATATGGCAATATATAAATAAGAAGAAGCGTGTTTTGTCAGCGTGTACAACAGAAACTGAAGCAGCAATGTGAGAGTTCTATGTATGATGAAAGACAAAAAGGTGGGTCAAATACAGGCTAATGTTACGTGATACCCTTCACTGTTTTCCGGGTAGGACTATCCTATCCTTAAAAGCAAGGTAACTTTCTTCTTCTGCTACAAGATCGAGAGTGTGTATAATTTTCTTTAAAAAATAATTCTATTTAATTCTATTACTAAAAATACAAGATAATAATAAAATTATAAATATAAAAATAAGTATTTTAAAAAAATTATATAAGACAATAAAAATTTAAATAATAAATTTTTCTTTAAAATATAAAATAAAATTAATAAACTAAAATAAACAAAATAATTAAACTTGTTGTTCTCGTTTTTTTATTAATTTTGATTATAAAAATATATGTGATTATCATGAAAGATAATAGCTCGGCTGAATCTCTTATATCTCAAATAAAGTAATTTTATTTATAATATATTTATTAATTTATTAAACCAAACTATTAACAATTTACTTATTGGTTGATCTAATTATAAATAAAATTTAGTTTGATTTAAAGCTATTTGAATATTATTAAAATTAAATAAATTATAACCAATTTTTTACATTTTAAATTAAATTCTTTTTTTCACTATTTTATTTTATTTTTTAATAAATGCAACTTTAATTATTTTAGTAAATAAATAAAGTTTTATTAATTATAGTATAAAAAAATCTTAAATTATTATATAAATATTTTTAAAACCTAATTTTGTATTTAAGAAATAATAATTATAATTTAATAAAAAGTCAAATGTATAATAAATATGAAAACTTATTAGAAAAAGACAAAGACATATAATAACATTTAAATTTACGCTAGTGTCTTTATTGGAAATATTTTATATTAATATTTATATAAGAAAATATAAAAAAAGTAATACATTTGTAAATTGATTCTGTTTAGTTTTGAATATGAAATTTAAAAATTAAACCAAGCCATATAAGAAAAACAATATGTGTGTATATATATTGATTTGTTCAGTTTTAATTTTTGAAAATTAGTTTAGTTTAAAATGGTTTGGATTAATTATTTTAAAACCCCTGTTAGCAATTGTAAAATTTGCAACGGAAGAGTATTCATAATGTTATTGATAAACATGTAGAATTAGAAAAATGTTTATCAACTTATTCAGAGGGAAGTGAAAAAAATAATTTTATATATATATATATATATATATATATATATTTATAAAGATATTTTCATGTTAGTGTAAGTATAACACGATATAAGTTTTTTATTTAACTTATATCTAATGATCAGTGAAATAATAAATTATAACATATTAAATATAAGTTAAATGAAAAGTTCAAATCAAAGATAAAAGTTTTTAAACCTATATTATTAAGAAAATATTCTCTTTTATATATATGGAACAAGATATTCTTACACTAGTATAAGTTTAAAAACTCTTACACTTAATATGAGCTTTTAATTTAACTTAAATCTAACAAATTATAATTTATTAATTCACTTACCATTAAATTTAAGTTAAATGAAAGATTCATATTAAGTGTAATAATTTCTAGACTTATATTATTATAAAAAGATCTTTTTTATCTTTCTCTCTCTCTATATATATATATATATATATGCATTTTAACATAAATTTTTATAAAAATATATTATTTATTAATTTTCAAATTAGTACCTTAAGAGCGCAAATGAGTAAGATCCATAAAATTATTTAAAAATTTACCAAGCAGATTTAACAAAAAAAATTAGCTAATTAATTGAATTATCAAATATTTTTTTAAAATATATATATTTATATTTTCATAAAAATATGATAATATATGAGTTGTTGGTAATATTCTTCCGCATATTTAAAAAAAAATTGTATATTATAAACCTTAGATCACCAATAAATAACTGACACATTACATACATGAATATTTTTTTAACACGTGTCTAAATTTAAGTAATAAAAATCGTATAATTTTAATTACGCAATAATTTCTCCTATTGAATTCAGGTTTTGAGCTCAATTTTAAAGCAACTTACTAGAAATTAAATGTATAAAATAAAAAAATTAATAAAATTATTATATATAATTTTTAAATGTATATATATATATATATATTTTACACTTAATAATTACATCTTATAATTTTTTAAATAAAATATTTTATTAAACGTTAAATTACTAAAAATTATTCAAATTTTTTTATAAATTATAAACAAATTAAAAAAATAAGTCAAACTTTTACATTTTTTAATCAAGATAAATGTAAATTTTAAATTTAATTTATTAAATAAAAATAAGATTTGAACAATTTTAAATTAAACCTAAATTTTAAATATTAACTCGAATTCCATCATTTATACCACTATTGATAGGTTTACTGTTTTTAAAATATAAAAAAAAGGATGAATAACGTTACTGCCATTCATTTGTAACCAAGCAATTAATGTACAAACATAAGTCTTTTTAATAAGCATGTGCAATATTATAAATTACATGTTATAAACTCTATATATATATAAAAAATTAAAAATTATAAAATTTAATGTATTAATACTACTAAATATTTTATTTTTAATAAAATTTAGTATTTTAATTCATATATGTAATTTTATATATGTTAAAAAAGTCAAATAAAAAAATAATTTTAATAAAATAATAATATTATTTTAAATGTTTTGTTAACTTTGATCTTTAAAGTTAAAAATAAGAAGTTAATAATAATAAAATTTTATTAAAAAAAATATTTTATTATATTTTTATAATTTCAATACAATAATTATGTATATTTTATAAAAAAAATTATGTGTATACTTAAATTCAGTTGTAAAAGCAATATTAACAAAATTTTTGTTTTAATTACTATGAAGCGAGCAATTACTATATGAAAATGAGTTCATTGAACACAAAAAATAAAAGTTAAAAAATATCATGTTTAATTATTATTTTAATAATTTTTTTATTAATCATGCCAAACACGCAAGATAATTATAATAAAATTATTCAATGTAACATGTCTTTTACGAAAGAAAATTGAGACGAAAAAAACATAGCTATTTTTGTATTTAAATGCAACTTTTATTGTATTTAAAAATTCAAAAGATACAAAGTTTTTTTTAAAAAAATATATGATTATATTTATCTAAATTTTTATTTCAACAATATTCGTGTTCATTTAATTTAATAAAAATAAAATTAAAAATGCTAAATTTTACAAGTAGTTTTTAATAGTGTGTTTATAAGATATTATTTTATTTTAATTTTATTAAGATTCATTTTTAATCAATTCATATATATTTATCTAAATCATTTTTAATGTTATTTAAAAAAATATAAATATATTGCTATATTAGATATATTAATTTTAACTATTAAAAAGTTAATTTTATATATATAAAAAGAAAAAAAATTAATATTAGTATAAGTTTAAAAATTCGTCTATTTCAAATATTTTATTTAATTTATATCTAACAGTTATAATTTATTACTTTACTAATATATATATATATATATATATATATATATAATATTCAATAAATTCAATAGTTAATAACTTAATATTATTTTTTAATTATGTATATCCATATATTATATATTTTTTTAGAATTTTACAAGATTGGAGCCCTAAGTATAGATTTTAGTTACTTATCAACTTTGAAACTCTGTTGAAACCTCTCATGAATCCAAAAATAAAATTCACTTCCTAAAAACTATTCTAAGAAAACTCAAAAAAAGTGAAACGGACATTCCCCTTCTATACTAATAGGTCTTATGTTTATAATTTACTCTAACAATACGTTTAACGTACCTAAGTGTATTAGATTTCATTAGCACTTATATTATTATCAATTACTTTTGTGATAAGGTTTGATGGTTTAGTTTTGGAAATTTTATTTTTACGTTTTCATCTTTTATTGTTTTAAAATGCGTGTATAGTGAAAATAATAAAAGTTATTTCTACTATTTCTTGCACAAAATTTTAATAAAATAATGTTTGTATAATTTAAAATAAAAATATAGTTATATCAAATAACTCGTAAAACCCTGCGTAGAGATCTCAACCTTTGTTCATGTGTCTAAAGCTAGTACTCACAGAGATGAATGAATTTGCTTCTAGAATTGCACTTAAATTTGCAGCCATTTTATTTTGACATTTTGGCGAATGGCGAAAAGTCCAAGAATTTGGGTATAAGAAAACAGAGGATGCAGAGTTGAATGGCAAAAGCTAGTTGTGGAAAAGGGGTCATTATTAATTATTACAACCAAGGTGGGTGCCTAAGTCAGCAACAGCAACTCAGCATCCATCGTTAACTACAATTATTTATCTTTCAATCATATCAGCCACTAAATTGTAGTTTTAAAACAAAGACAAAAACAAATTGGTTCTGCCTTCAAAGTAGTACAAGTTGGGTGCCTCACTTTCGCCACACATCAATTATTTTGTTTTTTTGAACTCGCTTATGCCTTGTACTATTTTTTTAAACTGTGAATTTGTAATTTTTAGCTAGGGATGGAAACAGGTCAAACCGCCTGATAGGGGCTTGTGGCTTAGTCTGATCTGACCTTCTTAATAAACAAATTAGATTCAAACATTTTTTAAGGTATGTTTAAGTAAATAAGTCAGATCTGAGTTATTTATAAAGTCTGTTAAGCCTGACAGACTGGCCTGTATAAATATATATATATATATATATATATATATAATTTAAAAATAGAGCTATTAAAATATATTTAAATAATAAAGTTATTTAATAATATATTTTTTATATTTTTAATTCTGTTATTATTAAATTAATATATTATGTTATAATTTTATTTATTTATAATTATAATAAATAGAAATTATATTCTATTAAAAATTAAAATTATTTATACATGATAACACATTTTAAATAATAAATTTATTTAATAATAAATTATTATATTTAAATAATTTAAAAAATAGTTAAGTCTTTGAACAAGAATAAGACGTAATAAAAACTAAACGAAATAAAATTTAAAAATAAAATAATAAAATTATATTAACTTATTTTTTATATTTGTAATTTTATTATTATTAATTTAATTATTTAATTATTATATTAATATATTATGTTATAATTCTTTTTATTTATAATAAATAGAAATTGCTTAAATTTGAATTATATTTTATTTGAAAGTAAAAATTTATAAAAAAATGATAACAAAATAAAATAAAAAATTTATTATAATATATATATATATATATATATATATATATATAGTATATTAAGTTTAAATTTTTATATTAAGTTTTATCACATATTTTTTAATTAAGATAAAAATTTAGAAATATAAGTTATTTTAATTTAAATATAAATTTTAATAATTCTTCCTATGCTCATATGTTATTTTTCTACATCTATGAATTTTATAATATAAGTATTTATCATCTACAATTTTTATAATGACGATATTTATTTACTTTTTAAAATATAATAATTTGTTTAGCTAATTCAATAAATTTTGTAAGTGTTATTTTTTGTAATTATTTTTTTAATTTAATAGTTATTATTATTGTCATTATATATATATATATATATATATATATTACATTAAGTTTAAATTTATTTTTTTAAAAATATAATAATTTTCTTTTAATTGATTTAACAAACTATGTGAATGTTATTATTTTTTATCAATGTTATGTATTTACTATAATTTTATTTGTTGAATATAAGATGTCTTTAAATAAATAAAACATGTTTCTAAAATAAAACTAAAATATTCACTATTTATATAATTTTAAAAAATAAATCAAGAAAAATATAAATAAAATTTTTATTAATATAAAATATTTATAATTAATACTTAAATAATATTTTAAAAATTATTTATAAAATTATATAAATATTATTATAATTATTTAATAATTATTAAGAATATAGATAGAAATTAGAAAAATGTATAAACTAATTTGATAATAAAATATTTATATTTTTATTAATATTAAATTTTTTTTTGGTAACAGGCTTTGTTAACACGCTTTTGGCCAGGCCAGGTCAGACCTAAAATAAAACCTTTAACAGGTAACAGATCAGGCTCAGTCCTAATAATTATATTACAGGCCAGACCTATTTAGAGTAAAGCTTGGCATGGCTTGGCCTGTTTCCATCCCTATTTCTAGCCCTGAAATTAATTGAAGTTGTGAATTTATAGTTGAAAATTAGGTTTATAGTTGTATAAATATTTTATAAAATATAAAATTATTAAAATAAGTTATTCACTTATGTGGAATATGTATTCACAAAAATATAATTAACTTCAATAAAAGTTATACTTTTTTGTGAACTTAGTTTTTTACATTTTATCAAATAAATTTCAAATGGCTGAAGTGAATATATAGTCTTTGTCAAATATACACAGACTGGGGACAAAAAAAGGGGAACCTACCTAGCTGGCCCTATGAGTATATATAAATAATAAATTACATAAAATCATCATAGAAGCATCTGCATATGTTTGCCATCAATTTGTGCTGTCTTTTTCTTTTTCTTTTTTAAGTCAATACAAAGGATCTTTAGGACCTATTTAGATGAGTTGCCTGCCATAAATAACCTTTTGTTAAGTTCTTGGTTAATCAACCACTCACCTTATTACACCCACCTATATAAAATATTTATCTAATAAGAGAAATGTTGAGAATACACTTTTTAATATTTTTTAAATATATTGTTAGTTATTTATTAAAATTTATTAAAAATTATAAAAACATAATAAAGAATCATTAAAATAAGAGTAAATATTATAAATGATACTTTCATAAATTTTAATTAATAACTAAAAATATATTAAAAAATATCTTGTTAACATTTCTCTCATAGCAAATCAAATGTACAGGTAATTTTGCCTTGGAGATGGGCTTGTTGGGCTTGGGTGGAGTACAGTACATTCATAGTGACAAAAAAAATATAACGACCAAAAATGTTATGAACACTACATTAACTTTTGACCTCATGCGTTATGCATTGGACCTTCAGTCTTGTTGTGAGCAGTGTTGGGCCGATTTCTGAATTCTAATGAAAGGATAATATTTTTATTTTATGTAAATATTTAATTCCTTAATAAATAAATGTTATGAAATTCTACTACTTTTTTAAAGAAAAAAAATATCATTCTCTCCGTTTTTTTTTTCCTTTAAAAATATTCTTCCAAATAACTCTTCTTAAGAATGCGTTTAAGAGTTATATTTTGGAGAGAAAAAAGGGAAGGATAAAAATTTTATTTTTAATTTTATAAATTATAAAATATTAAATTAGTATAAATTTAACTAATTTTTATTGTTATAAATATTATATAATTATTAAATTAATAAAAAATTGTCTCTTGTTTTAAAATTTAACTTTAAAACATATTCTAAATCGAGATAACGGGAAGGAATGCCAAACAATTTAAATTTTATCATTTTACGTAATTGTGCTTTTTGTTTTATTTCTTTTTTGTGCAATAAATGGAAAGAAAGATTACAGGCTATGATATATAGATGGCCTCCTTTGAGACAGAGATTTTCTAACAAGAATAAACTCATGAATCCATCGCAACACACATTTTTTTATTTATTTTCAATCCATCTCAATTAAACCAAAGAAAAGATAAATTAGTGAGAAAGTCTCCATCCCATCCATACTTAAGTTGTATCTCTAGTGTTATAAATAGTCAATTCTCATATATATTGCTCAAAAGAAAAGGCTAATGAATAATTGAATTGACATTATGTCAACATGGGTGACCTGAATACACAATGCAAAATTTTAAGTGTATAAATTAATGCCATAATAAATAACAAATGAGACTAATTGGGACAATTTGTTATAAACATACTATTTACCTCTGCAAAAGTGATCAACTTTTCACAAAAAGTTGCTATATGATTGTGTCGTATTTGGTGAGGGTTTGATGAAACCTAACCTTATTATATATACAGGTAATGGATAATTTCAGTTTTCTTCAATTATAAACACTCTTATTTCTCACTTCTCAAACCACACGCAACTTATAATTTCAAGGAAAATGTTTATCTTTCTTTAGCCACTGTTGTATAAACTTATAATGATGTATCCACACGCAACTTACAATGATGTATGAACTCATAATGAACTATTGTTATTTTTAACAAGTTCGATTTATTTTTTAAAATAGTCTTTTGAATTTAAAAACAACAATTTTTTACATCTCAAATACATTATAAATTATAACTTTTTATATATTCATTTTAAAAAGATGTAGAAAAACAATTTCACATAACTATAGTGATAATTGAGAGCCTATTTGGATTGTCCTCGGATAACATCAAAACGGAAATTACACACTTTTATGAGAGTGTGCGATGGAAGTTCTAAGAAAGTTAAAGTTTTGATTATGCTAAAAGAAGGTCTTATTATAAAAATAAACGGAGTCTAGGAAGATAGGAAAAAAGGAAAAACTCTTTTAAAATGAAAATAAAATCAGTTACTTTTTTTTAAAAAAATAATTTATAAAATTTTAAAAATCTCTACCAGTTTTTCTCCAATTAATAGCTATCATCCCTTCCTTTAAAATAATAGTAATAATAATAAATAAATAAAAAGTGAAAAAAGGTATCTGTATCCGCTCCGTTCTCCAATCCAACGGTCCAAAACCCACTTGACCTACCATCCTCTGATATGAGCCGTCGCTGGCGCCTTTTTGAATACAATATACTTTCTTTGTCCCTTACTTCATCCATTGTTTTGTTGATAAATCTTATGTTACTCTTTCAACTTCTCCCTTTCCCCTCCCTATGTATCTGTTCCTCACTTCCTCCTATAATAATCTACAACCGTACGTTGCCTTATAATCGACCTCGACAATATTAATAATAATGGTAATGTATAGACATATATATAAATGTATGTGTGTGCCTCTTCTTTTCTTACTTTTTCATTTGTTGGGTTGTTAATTTTTCATCATCAGGAATTAATGTTGGTGCCACCTCCATGGCTGGAACAACTATTGTCAACCCCATTCTTTACCATGTGTCAAGCCCACATCAACGCACCCAGAAACGAATGCAACATGTATTGCCTCGATTGCAGAGACCAAGCATTCTGTTATTACTGTAGACAATCATGGCATAACAATCACCAAGTAATTCAAGTGGGTATTTTATTTTATTCAACACGTGTATATGTGTGTATATGTTCATAACTTTACACTATATAGTTTCTCAAAATGTTGTTTGTTCTAGATATGCATTTTATTTAATTAGATTACAAGGACAATTTTACTTATATATATATATATATATATATATATATAATGATGGAACTTGGAAGGATTGAATATTTTGATGTGCAAGTGCAATGCAGATAAGGAGATCTTCGTATCATGATGTTGTGAGGGTAGCAGAGATTCAGAAGGTTTTGGATATCAGTGGGGTTCAGACATATGTGATTAACAGTGCCAGAGTTCTTTTTCTCAATGAGAGGCCTCAGAATCAGCCTAAGACCAATAACGCTGTTTCTAGTGGTAAAAGCAATTCCCATTTGTGTGAAATTTGCAGAAGAAATCTCTTGGACCCTTTTCGTTTCTGTTCTTTGGGATGCAAGGTTGGTCTCTCATCAACTTCCCTTTTCCTTCATCCAAATATTAATTTCCCCCTTAATTTGTGTTGTTTTAATTTTTTTCTTTAAATATATTTTAGTGCATAAAAATCAACATTCTTTTAAAATAATAAAAAGCGTGTATTGTTATTTTAAGTGAATTACTAAAATGTAAATAAGAGCCAAGACTAAATTAAAAATTATATTTTTAAGAATACGAGAATATTTTTTTAACGAAGGGGGCATTGGCAAATTATAAAGGGTGTCCTTGTTGGTGATAACCAATGCCAATATACTCCAAAATGTTTAATTATATCCAGTTGTTTATTTAACCAAAGTCATGAGCCACATTCATGTGTTGTTTGCTAATATGGCGAACAATGTTTCCTAGGTGTTAGTTTCGTTTTTACTTAATTTGTTTATCGGGAAAGAAAAAAATAATATGCATATACGCATGAATGTTGGGAAAGCGATAAAGAAGATTTGATGTTTAATTAAAATAATGTTTTTTGTATCAAAACAGTGATGCATTGTGTGTACATAAATAATAATAGCTTGTAGGAATAAAGAAGAATGGGAATGCGAGTTTTGTCGTAAGCGCAAAGAAAGACGAGGAAATAGGGAGAATGCATGAAGGAATGGGAAGAGGGTTGCCATCAAAGGAAGAAGACGAAGAATTGCGTGAAGGAATCCACAAACAAGTATACCAAAGCACGTCTTCTCCTCATCTTCGGCCATCTCTACAGCCATGCTCAAATTCAAGAAGAAGAAAGGGAATACCTCAAAGGGCACCTTTAGGTCCCTAAAGTATATATTAATTAAAGAATAATGCAATTAATTAATGAGTTAATTTTTGATATTATGGTTTCATGATTAATTAGTTTCAAGCTGGATTTGAGCTCTTTATACAGCTCATTCCTCATAATCCCCATGTGCCCTTTGAATTGATGTCCTTAAAACAAAGCACTCTAACCTGTCTTAATGGGGAGCATTAATTTATTAAGTACTAAAAGAAGAGGTGAGCTTTTATGTTGCTTTTTATGATAGGCTGGCTTTGGGTGCAATAATGCTTTGCTTTGCTTTGTATTACTGTTTGTTAAATAAATAGTATATGAAACATGCTAGGTGTAAATGTCCCCTATACACATGAAAGGTTTTGTGTAAGGAAACAACTACTTTGTCTTTAATATCTTATCTTCTTTCAATAATTTTTAATTAAGACAAATGCTAACTAGTATTTTTAAACACTGGTTAAAGTATTTAAAAATTTCTTAATACACTTTTGTTACGAGTTTTAACTAGTTTTAATAAATAAGTGTGTTTATTATTTTTTAATTGTGATATTAATGAACAATAACTCGAAGGTAATGACAAAACGTGCAAGAATTTGTAATAAATATTGTCCAATTTCATCAAAATAAAAGAAAAATTATGAAATGCATCTACAGATTGTGTTTGATAAACTGTTCCTTCTCGTACTGGGTGATTTTTAAAAAAAGTACATAAGGGGACTTTAAAATTCATGCAATTGAATTTAACATGTTCACAAACATGCCAACAAATAGTTTTGATTATCTATTATCAGTATTGTGACTTAAAAAAATAAAATAATTAAGTATTTGAAAAAAAAAATTAAAATTAACAATAGGAGTATTTAAAACTCCATTGTACCTTCTAAAATACTAAAATCAATTATAGAATATTTAAAATTAATTGTTGGTTACACTAATAGTTGAAAAAAAATTACAAAACCATATATAATTATGTGACATTCATAAATATTCACAACTATTAAGAGGTTTGTTTGTATTATAAAAAAAAAAAAAAACTAAAGTGTAAATCATTCATATTTTCAAAAGGGAGAATCTATATTTTAAATAAAAAATATATAATTTAAGCAACTATGAATGGAAGACAAGGTAACTTTTTTAACAATACAGTTACATCAGTTTGTTTAAAAATACTTATTACAGTAAATGAATTAATTATTTACATTTAATAAATTAATTAATATATAATCATGAAGTAATCAATCTATAAATTATGAATGTATGCCCGGTTTAATTATCTCTATTAATCATCTTTAAGAATTATGTTAATATTATTTAATTTTAAAAAAGTCATCCACAATTCAATTCTATCAATCAATACATTTAGAACAGTAACGAGTTGAAAAATAATAATAAAATGCATTATAAAGTAATTTAATTTTGTTTGAATTTTTTATTATTAAATGTGTACTTTGTAATAATTTTGTATAAAGTTTTAAAGCTAGATATTAGTTGTTTAGTTGTAAAAAAATCAATAAAATATGATAATTTTTTTTTCTTTAGTCTGGGGTGAGCTTTGATTTTATAATTTTTTAGTCATAAAAGTATTTTGAAAGCTAAATACTTGAAGTTTTAAGAACTCATAATTTTCTATGAAACATGTAAAATCATTTCATGGCCACAATAAAAAAAAATGGAGTATAAAAGTATATGTCATACTAAGTAGGCACACCACTAATGTTGCATGGCCACACAAAGGGATAAAAATGTAAAGGGCTTTTAGTGGTACTCCTTAGACATAAAATTGAAACAAAATGGCTATAAAAGGTCATTAACATATCTCTTTTTAGGCATATTATCTTGCAAAATATTGAGTGGTTATGAAAACAATTAGAAATTTTAATATCAATAATGTAAGAAACTTAAATATTGTAATTTTTTAAAATTCTTTCTTTCTACAAAGTTGTAGTTTAAGCAAGATCCACGATTTTGAAAAATTAAATTCAACTTTCATCAATTTTAACCGTATTGTTTTATCTTCTTTATCTATATTTTTCTTCTAACTAAATTTTTATATTAGAGAATAATAATTTTAATTTGTTTTAAAACTTACATAAATTGATTCTCTCATCTCAATTTAAATTTATTTCTTTTAATTGTATTGCTTACACAAATAAAAGTAACAATTTTTCAGTTGAAACTTAATTAAGTGAACCACCTTAAGTGCTTAAAGTTTTAGATATATGACTCAATAATTAAGATATCTTTTAAAATTATTTTATTTAATGCTTATTTAAAGAATTTGTATTTATAAATTGAATAAATTAGTGGTCAGATATCATGAATAATTTCTTTTTGGTAACAGGACACTTATAATTTGAATTGAAAATAAATTAAATTACAAGAGACGAAGAACGAAAGAATTGCAGCCCTAACGTTTAATCGCTATTATTATATAAATCTTGCATGATTCAATTTTCCTAATTTGTTAGATTAAAAAATTACTGCAGATTCCGTATTTTGTTACAATAAAAATAATTTTTTTCTATCTAAGTAACTAAAAGAAAACACCCTATAAAAAATGCCATTCATTAATAAATAGTTTACTATTAGATTGGTTGCTGTCAGAATAATATTTACTTTAAAAAATTAAATTATTGATATGAATTTATATTAACAATATAACATATTTACATGCAGTGACAGATACAAATTTTTTTTATCGCGGGGACAGTAGATACAAATTTTACTACATTAATAATATAATATAATATTTATAAGTATAAATACATATCATAATTCTATATTAAAGTAATTTTAACAAAATTTGGAGATAATTATTTAATAAAATAAAAAGTAGCTGAAGAGTGTTTTTTTACAGTAAAGTAGAGACAATTAAAATATAATAATATATATATTAGTAAAAAGAAAGTAAAAAACATAGTGGAGTACTTGCTCCCACTCAAATATAGTGTATCTGTTTTTGTTTACATGTCATCAGTTTAAACCTTTTTATATTTCAATTAATTAAAGTTATTTTAAACGTAATATTTTATATAACTATTACACAGGTCATTGAATTTTAATTATATAACAATATATAATTAAATAAATTATTGAAAATATACTATTAATATATCAATATTAATCTAACATTTAAATTAACAATTTAATTTTTATTAAAAAAATATCACAGTAATAACGACTATATATCTTATATTGACTAATATTTTTTATAGCGACAATTTTTAATTTACTTTTTTTATTAGAGATATATTAAAATTATAAATATATTCATATTGTTTAATGCTTTCCCTATGTAATTGGTTATTAGGAAAAATAAAAAGGCACGGGCAGGTTTTTCAATTGGTCAAAAGGAGCACATATATACATTTTTATCAAAATGTCGTGTTACTAATAACGGATTGAAAACTCATTTTTTTGCTACTTCTTAATTATTATTTCACTTTCAACAAGATAAGTCGTATAGCTGGTAGGGCCAAAAATATTACAACTATTATTATTCAACAGCCATAAACTACAAAAAGTGTTTTATACTAATAAAAAATTATTAGCATAAAATAAAATATCACCTACAAACTATTTGACATTATATTAATCTTTCTTAACGTAGATTTTGATTAATATAAATTAAATTATAAATATAGCCATATGTTTATCATAATAATATGATATTATATTAGTAAATATTTTTTTATAGAAATATATATATATATATATATATATATATATTAATAAATATTAATATGATACATCAATAATATATACTAATTTTTTATAGTATGAAAATATTTATTTATCACCTAAAAAATTAGTATATATTATTGATGTATCAAATATTATTGCAATATATTATACAGTGAGTATAGATTTGTAATGTTTATTCTAATAATTAAATTATCATTAAACAAAAGTTATGCCAACAAAAATAATCCCAACGCTTAATTTTTTTCATTTATTAATAAATGATATACTTTGCACTATTAAATCTATGAGTGTTGTGTAACATTATTAAAACAACGTATTAAATTTTTAATATAGATTTATACCGTTTACACTAACAACTAATTTTTATTAAATAAAATTTATATCAACGAAAATAAGTTTAATAACAAATATATATTATTTATTTGTACGTAAATTTATTATAAAAGTAATACTATTTTAACACTCGGTTTGAGAGTCTACCACCTATTCTATACAAGTTAAAAAATAGTTATGTTATAGTTATACACAGATATGTAGATCTGAGTGTTAAAATAATTTTACTTTTTCTTTTTATAATGAGAATAGCTGATAAATTAGAGATTATTGATTAATGAAAAAGCATAGGATAAAATTCTTATAAAAAACTTAGGAGTAAAAATTACAAACTAATGGTCGAAAGGGTGGATATAAGGTAAGGGAAAGGGTAGGTAGCTATAGCCTAAACGAATCCAACACGTACTTACACAAATAGGATCCGAAGAGTGCCTTTCTTGCCAACTTGGACTTGTTCTCACTCTCACATGGAGCTGTCGTTGGCAACTATAACCGCACGGCACTGACATCCTGTTTCAAGTTTCAAGCTTCAAGCAAAAAGGTTTTCAGAAAGTCATTGAACAAGAAAGGCACAAAAGGTACAAATTCATAGCAAAAAGTTACCAATTTTAAGTACTCTCTCTCACCCTCTTTTCATCATCTACCAATTTTACTATTGCTAACAAATAAACACTTTGCTTGTGTGTGATATTATTGGTGAAACTCCAATGTCTACTGGGTCAGTTCCTACACAAATGGAAGAATCAAGCGTTTCTAAACATGAAGAAGGAAAAGAAGATGCAAAGATGAAGAAGGTGGTTCAAGCGCAAGAGGTGACTGAAGAGTTAGAAGAGTGCAAAACACCAACTTGGTCGGGTAACAAGATTCCTCTCATTCATAATTGTCCACCTGCCCCAGGAAAGAAAAGAAGACCAATGCCACCATTTCCTTCACGCATGAAAAGATCATCAACAACTGGGTTCAACTATGTAGTAAAACCTGATGAGGTAGAGTCTTTCTTCCAATCAATGTTCGAGCTTACTAGAGTTAACAAGTCCCGTAGAAGTATGAATTACTTTAGTGGGTAAATGAGGATGAAGAATCCTCACATGATAATAACCATCCAACTTTATTAGAATTTTATTTATTCTCTATGCTTTTCTTCCCTTTTAAGATAACTTCCACAAGGGGAAAAAAAAGATGTATGTCAATAAGTTTCCAAGTGAATAGAATATATTATGTCTTCTTGGCCATTTGTATTCTGTGAATTTTCCATCAGCATTATATAAATTTCATTCATTTTGGAGAATCATCAATTGTAACTCAACTCAACCATACACACGGACTGGACTTTCATCTTGGCTTCACTCAAATGTATATTCCAAAAACAATATGTTGCGGGGAAAGCAGTAATATTTGCACCTTTATCTGATGCTTTGAAAGGCACAGTAATTTCTGCTTCGTTCAGATAATATGAGAGATGACCCCACAAAAGGGTACTCACTACTCAGAGCTATTCAACAATCCCTAGTTGGATATCACTGAAACACCTCTCAACTGTTGCTTTAGTTATTAATCACAGCTTATTCAAAAGATACATTTTGGATGTTTATGTTTTGTATGTTTTTGCTGAAGTTACCTACAAGAACAAAAGAAAACTTTACGACTAAAATGCTTACTCAAAGGAAAAAAGAAATAAACAAGAGTCTTACTAACTAGTATCTTCAGAATATTGATTAAGAATGTATTAAATCATAATGTGAGTATCTTAATGACAAATTTTAATTGAAAAAGTGTACATTTAATTCGACACTTGTATTTGTCATTTAAAAGAGTCAAAATCAATATCGTAACATAGAGGAATAGACACGCACATATTAAAATTTTACATGATAAAGTCATGTATATTTTGTGTCTATCTCTCTCTCTTAATAAACATTAAATAAGTGAGATTTTATGAAAATTAATAAGAGACATAATTAAAAAACTTGTTCATAATTTATCATGTGACATGCAAACTCTTTGTAATGGAGTGATATTGAACAAATTTTTGTAATGGAGTGTTATTGAACTCCAAAAAAGCTAAAATTACACTAGGTAAAAAGGAATAGAGAATCAAGCCCAGTTCCCATTGATCTTTCAAGAAGAATAATTGATGGTAAATAATCGATTGGGACTTTCGATGATAGAAATTTCTTTTTCTTCAATGGCTACAAAAAACGAAACTTGGAAAGCAAAAAAGGAAACAAAACAAATGAACAACATAGAGAGGGAGACAGAAACCCTGCTCCACTCTTGATTAACTTTATATGCCTACGAGTCACGCTCATGCGATAGCGCTTTGCTATCCATGGGGACCAAGACACACCCCCACGAGCACCACGAGAACAACACTTTAGTTCATTATAAGCATCATTTTTCAGCCATTAGAACCCACCCAAGGCTTTGGATCTATAGAATTCAACATATATGTTAGGGCCTTTTAAATGACATTACTTATGGCCCTTCATAATTCAACATCAACCATTTGGGTCACTCATTTAGAGCAACGAGATTGTTTGCTTTAAAAAACACAAAATTGATGTATAAATTGGACACAAAAATGTGGATCAAGCTTGATATACACCACAGCCAACATATGAAATCCAGGCCGAATAAGAGTTTTCTTTTTTCTCTCAACAGAATACATAGGAGTTGAGTCTATGACATTAGCTCTAATTCTAATTAATGTTTTGACTTTGGTCAAACATCCTATTACTGTTTTTTTTGTGTGGTGGTGACACAGATTTCCTTTAGTAACGCATACCCATCCTAATTGTACTTTTCTATAGTGTACTGTTTAGAGTCTGCATCGGTCCTATGCTATTTTCCATTGGGCTTGGACTGTTTGGAGCTTCAGTCCTGCTGTTTGTCAAATTTTAGACCAAATAAAGTACTAAACAAAAAATTAATAAATATTAATTTTAGATATAAAAAGACTAAACAAAATGAAAATAAAAATTGATTTTTTATTAAAAACTATAATATTTAATGTTATTAATATATTAGATAATATATTTTTAATAAAAAATTTATTATGTATTATTAAACATTACTACAGAAAGTCATAAATAAATTATAGAAGATCGCCACGTCATTTAAAAAACACTCTAGTCATTGAACTTTAAAAATTTACCACGCACAGAAAAGTAACGTAAAAATTAAGTCACCCATACGTATAAAAAGATTTCTTATATAGGGAGTGAATATATTAATTTAGAGAGTTGAATGACTCACCAAAAAATAAAATAAAATTATATGCAGTAAGTCATTTCATTTTTGTTTTCCTTCATAAAGTATATTTCCATGAATCCAAACATAACTTTAGATAGAAATGCTAAAATAACAATACTTAAGAGTAGTTATTCTACATAACTTTTTGTAGAGATATGGGGGAAAATCATGTAAAGTATTATAAATAAGAACGTTTTTACACTGTAATTTTTACTAGGTTAGGACCACAATGCACTTTAAATTAAAGGCAAAAGGACGTGCCTTCTAAAAGAATAACTTTAATTTTAAAAAATTCTAATCTATGAAAATATTATATAATTCTTACAAGAGACGATATAAGGTAAAGCAATAATTTCCCTTTGCAAAATTAAGTACATGATCTCTCAAGACATATATTTATCTTATAGTTCTGGTGATTGCTGGAGTTTGATGTGATTAATTGTGCTAAGGCTACATCCAATAAAGTGCGTGTTTTTCTCTTTATAGTAACATCAGTTTTTTCATTTAGCCAACTACATATCAATTTCTTTCTTTCCTTTTTCCATATTTGTTGGTCAAATATTTTGAACTTCTGTCTGTAATAAGGTCTAGCTATTTTTGTTCAGTGTTTATCATTTATTTCGGCGGTGTTTGTAATATGATACTTATCAGTTATCACCTTAATTAGTTACGAAGAGACAACATAATGTGTATGTATAGCAGCAAATACTGTCTTTGCCTGAGTCAGGGTAGACTTCCAATTCGACAATTCTAGAATTTCCCTTGTACTTTTGGCCAGATTGGTAACTGAACCTGTAAAACAAAGGCAAGATATATTAATCAAGAAGCTCTAGTAGTAATTATCTTCCTAAATCATATGTAATTGAGAAACGTGGTATGGAATCAGGACCCTGCCTGGTTTTTAATTTCAACAACCCAGCCAGAAAAGGAAAATGTTTGATTTACCAGTAAAAATAATTGTCTTTAGGTATGTCTTTTTTAATATTTTTTGAGTATATTTAAAAAATGATATATTCACTTTTTAGCAATTCAAATTGTTGCAACCATGCTCATTCATCAGCTACTCATCTATTGAACCGCAACTTTTAAATCAATTTTGAAGGATGGTTCTTGGAAATTGGTGTATTGATGTATGACCAACTTCTTTTAAAAATCAGACAAATAAAATATCATTCTTTTGATGTTTACACCAATGATACAACACTATTTCTATATACAATTTTGAAGGATCGATGGGACACCAAAACACAATGGCACACTCTCCAGAACTTACCGTTCACTTTAACCCCACGTATTTACTTGGTTCATAGGCATTTGACACCTGGTTTCCACACGTCAATCTCTAGAACCCTCACAAGGTTTAGCTAATGATAAAAAGAGCATACTTACCAAATGATTCCTCTCTTCATTCTACCATCGCAAAAAAGCTTAAAGGGTGAGTCAAGGAATAGTCAATGGCTCCAAAGCGTGCTGAGAAGGTGGTGGTTAAATCCACCAAGAAAGTTGTGGAATCAAGTGTACAAGTTTCTGTTGTGGGTAGTAACAGCCAAAGATTAACACGAGGCAACAAAGTAACTCAAAGAGAAGAAGAAGTAGGTGGTGTGAGGATCATTCCCATACAAGAAGTGACTCCTAATACCCAAAAGGATTCAAATGCCACAACTGAAACCAAAGCTGAGCAAGAAAACACTCAAAATGGTGTAGTCCAAAATCAAAAGGAAGAGCAAAAGAGAGACAATGAGGAAGTACTCAAAGAGCAACATGCTGATAAAGAGCAAGTAAAGAAGGGCAAGACTCAAAAAGGGCATAATGGTAAAGAGAAAAAGAGGAGAAAAAGAGGGAGAAGAAGAGAAGGGTACCAGAGGTATGTGTACAAAGTGTTGAAGCAAGTGCACCCTGAAATGGGAATTTCTTCAAAATGCATGACTATTTTGAATAACTTGATGAATGACATGTTTGAAAGGATTGCTTATGAGGCTGCAAAACTAAAGGACTACACAGGGCATATGACATTGTCTTCAAGGGAGATTCAAGGAGCAGTGAAGTTGGTTTTGCCAGGAGAGCTTGGGAAACATGCCATTGCTGAAGGTGTCAAAGCTGTGATCACCTACACCTCCCATGCATGATGCCTGATATAACTTAGTCTAAGTCTCTGGACAAGATTTCTATGTTTAAATCAGTGGGGTAATGTAGTGTGTGAACTAGAAATGTGTTGTTTTTGCTTTTGCATTTGCATTTTGGAGAAGCAGCAGACAAATGGAAAGGTTGCCGATTTCATGTGATGTTGCTTCATTTATAGGGTTAGAATTGTATATTACCTGCTGTTGTCCTTTATTGCTTTGTTTGTAATGTTATTGCTGCTTTCATTTTCAATGATTTTCTGGGTTGTTGATCAGAAGTTTGGTTTTATATTTCGTAAAGTTCTACCCGGTGGAAGAGATTAGTGGTATGTTTTACGTCTTTCATTGAACTTGAAAGTGATATTTATTGAAAGCAACTACGAATTTGTTGGTGGGAAAGACACTACTAATAAAATCAAGTATATTTGTGTTTGTCCAACGTTGTTACTTAGGAATTGAGGGGCAAAACATAATAGCAGGCGCACATAGGCATGATTTAGACATGAACCTAATTGTTGTGAGAAATTTCTAATTTTTAATTTAAAATAAAAAATTTTATTTATTTAAAAATAGGAAGTTATATCAATTATTTTAAAAGAAATATCTTATTTTGTTTAAATTTAAGAAAAATGTTTCTATTTAAATCAAAGAGTTGTATCAATTTATTTAATTAAAAAAAATATTCCTTCATTCATGTTGGAAGAATTGTTTTGATTTAAATAGGGAGATCATGAATCAATACTCACCCACCATTCAATAAGGTCAGTTAAATACTTGCGGGTATGGAATGGTAATTAAATTTATATTTATTAAATAATCGCAAAAAAATACTCGAGATAACAATAAATATATCTGAGCATGAGTACCAGTATTCATTTATAAAAAAAATTATGTGAACGAGTATGAGAATTATTATTTTTAATTAAAGTGTAGATACCGAGTCTAAATATACATACTGTGTATCATATAATTCGAAAATATAGATTAAAATTGTTATACCCTTGAGTATAAATTTGGAGATAATGATTTTTAAAAAAATAAGAAGGCATAAAATGGGTATTACAGGACTTAATCAAACCTGTATAATCCCCGACTGGTGGGTCACGTTTAAATTTTCAAACTCGTTCTAGTCTGCTAGTTTAGGGATTAATAGTATAATTCATTTTTCAAACAATTAGGTGGGACTATAATACATCAAATTTAATATTAAATTGCTTGAAAATAACAAGTTGTAAATATTTCTGCTTAAATGGTTACATTTTAACTTCTGCTTTTTCAAATTTAAGTGGAAATATAAAATACGAAGAAATTATCTTGGAAGAAAAAAAATAGCACTTGGATTTAGATATGTGTATATTTAAAGAAGAGTTATATTATTTGTATGGTAAATTTATTTTTATTTCTCTGCATGGCATCACTTATTTAATCTCTCTCTTTCCTCTTTGTGTTTCTCTAAATTGTAATAAAATATATATATCTTTTAGTTGTTTCAATAAACTTGTCTGGGTATTCCTAAATGCTTTCTTTCTTTTAGCCTTCTCTAGTGTGTTAAAAAAAATTCCATGTTTATTTTATGTATATCCCAGTGGAATCTCAGGACACAAGGATAAAAGTTGAAGCAGATTTGACGGAAGTGGGAAAGAAGATACGTTTGATACGACTTTGGACTAACTTCAAAGTTAAATTCATAACATAAATTATCATATAAAAAATATTAAATTGTTTATAAATGGTGCATGCTTAATATGGTTGGGATAAACTTATGGCTGAAGTGAATAGAGTGAAGCAGATGATAGGGTTCTGAATCAAGTAAAGTGATTGTTGGTGAAGGAACAAAAGAATACTTGCATGGGGTGCCCTGTCGTCACCGTGGTGACATTGTAGTTCTATAAGTTATTATTGTTGAAATATAAAAGAAACCAAAAACAATTAGCTTTAGTAACAATACTCATTGAATTATTCTCGAACCAACCAATCAAAAGAATTGAACTTACAAGTTAGAAAAATTATTATGATTCATACTGTATTTGGAAGCAGCAACATTCCCCTAAACTCCAGAGTCAGTGATTCAATGCAGTGGCTCCCACAGCCATTCCCTGCCACCCCACCCTAACTATCCATTCTAATTTATTCCAATTCTTTTATAATACAATACAATCAAATAAAAATTTGAGTGCAACATAATATTATTTTTAATCAAGATTAGGATTTTAATTTTATAACTTGCTCTATTTTTTAATATTAAACTTTATTGTGATGATTATTAAATAAAATTTTAATTTTTATTAAAGAATAACACTCTTAACACTTATGATACTCATTTTTATTAAAGAATGTTTTATATATATATATATATATACTGTTAGGATTTGTCCAAAATATAAAACCCCCTACTAGTTATGCAGAAGTCGAAGAACACAGAGAAACACCTCTGAACATAAGACAGTTTTTGGTTGGTTCTTAAAACATGGAACTTTACAACCGGAGATTGTTGCTGCAAAACGAGGATCTTCCAATCTTCACACACATACCTCCTCTCCCTCACATCCAAGCGCCACCACCACAATCCTCAACCTTCGGAAACCCTTTGCAATTATCCATACGTCCAATTTTCGCTTCCAGCGTTGCATATGCTTTCCTCATCTTCTTCACAGCCCTTTTCTTCATCGGCTTCATCTTGTTATACATCCGTCAATTCTCCGCCTCGCACTCATTCCGCCGCCACGTTCCATCGTGCCGAAGTGTGGACCCCGCCGTGGCGAAGTCCCTGCCGGTGGTTTCCTACCGCGAAGACGCGAAGCAAGTAGAGTGCGCGATATGTTTGGAAGAGTTCGGAGACGGTGACGCGGTGAAGATGATCCCTCACTGCAGGCACGTGTTTCACCCGCAATGCATTGACACGTGGCTCGCTTCGCACGTGACGTGCCCTGTTTGCCGGTGCAGCGAGTTGTGTGAAGAAGGAACGAATGGAGAAGAAGGAAGAGAGGTGGGGTCGGTGTCAGTGAGAGGGGAAGAAGGGACAGTGATGGCTACAAGTTTGGATTAATCACAGACACTGTAGCGTTGCGTAGATTATTGGGTTTTTCACATTTATTTAGCAATGGCAACTCACAGCACGTGTACAAATAGAACTTTCTTACTTTCTTTTGTAACTTTCTTCATTCTCAATATTTAAGAGGTTGGTTGATAAGATTCTTATTTGTAGTGTGTTATTTTTCAAGTCACTCAATCTCTCAGAATGTATATTCAAGTGGAAAAAAATTATAACTTCAGCTAAATGGATAATTAATATTACCATCAATCATGGGAATCATCTCCCTGGGATTATTCCAGCGTAACCAATGACCATAAACAAGATTGTTTCTAATAAAATAAATTTATAGTTTTAAGAAAATTAATGGTTAATAAATATAAATTGTACCTCTAAACCAAATTAAAATACGAGGCACAATGATTTATTAATTTTAAGAGAAGAAAAAAGAAAAAAAATATTTATTTGATTATAACTTTCACAAATTATCAAAAACACATCTAAACTCATGTTTTTAAATAAGATAATTTTTTTTATTAATTTTCATTTTTTATTCACCTCTTTCTTTCTTTTTTTTCAAATTTTTAAATAATACTTAATAAATAAATAAAGGGGTAAGTTGGGAAGAAATGTCACTTATTTCTTTAAGCGTAAAAACTCTCTCTTTAATACAAAAGATTTTTCTAAAGTTGAGATAGCACGAGGACGAAGTAGGATTTTGAGGTATGGAGAAATTCGAGCTGAAATATGCATTTCGCATCTTTGCACAGCCATTTTCAATGAGTTTAGATCTTTTCCATTTTTTCTTTATTTTTTTATTTTTCATTTAACCATTAAAATAATTATACTATAAATTTTATTTTAAAATTTTTAATGCTTTTATTTTTTTTATGGTAAAGATTGTGTCCATTTCCTACAGAAACTGAACAGAATCCATTTTATTTTTAATAGGAATGATAACTTAAAACTTTTTTTTTTTTCATTCTGCAAACTAAAATCAATTTCTAAAAGAAAATGAATCGTTAAAAGTGAATAGTCAATGATTTACAAAATATTTTTTATTAATCATCTAATTCATCCCTATATAATTTTAATTACTTTGTTTGTTTATAAAAAAAATAGATAAATTAAATTGAATTATCGGTCATTGTTAAATGATAATAAATCATCTAATATATTTTGTAGTCTGTTGAATATAGTAGTTCAAAATTCGTTAGTTGAATATTCTTTAAAAGATATATAACTCCAAGACTCTATAGTATTTGGATGTAAGAACTACTTAAATATCAAAATTTATTTTATAAAATTATTTTTTTAAAAATAAATAAAGTATATTTTAAAACAAATGCATTGAATATCCATTTAAAAAAGTTAATGAATAAGTTTAATGATTTTTATTAAATGAGTTGTTAACAGATTGACAAATTATAAGTGAAATAATGATTTTTTAAATGTATAGATTATTGTTTATTTTAAAATTTATCTATTTGGTACCTCTAATTTTGAAGAACTACAATTGACTAAAAGTTAAAATTAATCATGAAATTGTGATTGATTTCATTATTAGTCACAATTAACTTTTTTATAAACAAAATAATTATTTAAATTTTAATAATTAGTTTATTTTGTCTTAATTAAAGTTTTTAAAATAAGCCATTCATCTCATTGAATTGGTTCTGTTTAAGTAAAGTTTTCAAGAAGTTCTTATAAAAAAAGTTTGTAAAAAAATTGAATAAAATTTCTTTTATATGTTAAAAACAACTTTAATTTTTTAATTTTTTTAAAAAAAAATTTATTGAACTTCTCTAAAATTTAAAAAGATACATTATTTTAAATTTACAAGAGAAGTCTTATTATTTTTTATACTAAATTTTTTTCTATAAAAATTTCTTTACAAATTCACGAAAACATGGTCTTGATTGCACACTACTTGACGATGATTTATTGGGTTATAGACGTCGTGCTTAGGATGCATTGGACAGAGTTTCACATCCTTTGAAAAATAACATTTAAAAATTAATTTTTTAAAATTATAGAATCAAAATGAAAGCAAAATAAATAAATGAGATAACAAAATTATAACTTTATCTTTGAAATATGCTTTAGAATTATAAATTTACGTCAAAGGTTTTAAGAATACCATAAAGAAACGATTAGTGAATAAATATATAATCGGCATCAAAAGTGGCAATATATGTTAATATAATCTTTAAAAGTTGGTAAACATATAACTTAATTTCTAGGGCACTATATTAGACATTAAATTCACAGATTTGAAAATTAATTTATTTACAAGTTAATATAAACTATTTGTCATAAAACCTATATATTCAAACCTTGAATTATACACAAACAAAATTTATGAGAGCAAATCTACAAGTTACATTTTAAGAGATGAATGGATGATTCGTTTAATATAGCTCACTTTTTTATCCAAAGTCAAAAAATGGATGTTACTGGGTCACACTCCCAGACCTAGAGCCGAAGAAAACTAGCCCACGCAACTTGTTACGTGGATAAATTAAAAGTGAAAACATGGCGTAAAAAAGGATGTTATCTTACCAAACTGCCAACCAAGCGAAAGTGAAAAAAAAAAAAAACAATTGAAAAGGACAAAAAGAACATTTCGAAATAGTATTTGTTCCAACGAATTCTTTTCAGTTGTGATAGGCTGTCATTTGTCAAGAAATTTCTACCAATCATCAGGGCACACTTCAATAAACAAACCTGCAAAGCCTAGTAACAGAAGGTGCTGGTTTCATGACAAATCAACATTGAAACGGTTCATAACAGCCAGACAAGCCTTCAGTCAACTTTCAAGTAAAACCAATCTGATTTTGATATATATGCAGTGTGCAACCAAACATGAATTTTAACATTTCGGAGCAACATCCATTTTATACTAGACTGTCCAGCCACTTGGAATTAAAATGACGCGATTTCTGTTCCCAAAATAAAAAACAAGAGTTGCAAATCGAAACTTCAAAAACAACATTCATTTTTATTCATATCAGAATCATGGCCCCAAAAAAATGCCATCATGTGTTCCACTGGTGCTCTCGACATAAATACAGTAATCACAGTAAGAAACCAAAAAATTAAAAAACGAAGAGAATACCTGGAAACGTCCAGGAGATAAAACTTGTTAGGGTGTATTTTGTTAAAATTGTGACCTTTATTTTAATGTCAAATTATAGTATAGAATAAGCACGTATCACCTCCACCACAGGCGCTTGACACATTGGGCACTTCCTTCTACTTTGGACCAACTCATTGGCACATTTTGAACATGTACACAAATGCCCACATCTGCAACAAAAGCACAAGGATACTTTAAATGATTACAATCAGGTTCAGGTGCAAACTGGCTACAGATCTATCAAACTGGTTATGAATATTGAATAGTACCTGTACATCAAAGAATCAATATTGTTTTCGCAGCATATACAGCAAAGTCCTTTCCTTACACATTCCCATTTAGATTTATCTTCTGGTGACTCGCAGTCATGTATTTCTGGAATAAATTTAACTTGGTCTTCTCAGAGATATGACAAAAGTTACTTTTCTTGTAAAAATATTTCACAGGTCACATTGAACAGCAAAATGTAAGAGTCATGAATAATTGAAATGTGAGGGGGTGAGAGGAATAGCAAACCTGACGATCCAGATGATCGATTTAGAGCTGCAGAAACTTCTTGTCTTATTGAGCGCTGCAACTCAAGCTGCATATCCATACAAGCCTCCAGCATTCTCTGCATGTTATTCATTCTTTGCTGTAGTCTAGCCATGTCAATTCTCAAGTCATTAACAATCTCCCAATCCTGCCAAAAAGACAAATCAGAAATTTATTTAAATAATAACACATTTATTTAAAAAGAAATAAAGCAAAGGGACGTACGATTCCTAGACGCTGATTATTTATGTCATTCTGTGACCAGTTGTCACGATGAGGGTGTGAATCCCAAATAGGCAGAGGTGGTGGTATAGGTAAAGAGGGCAGGTCAAGTGAACTATTAACAGTACCCTCCTGACCAACAATCTGATCTCTACTCTGCTGTTCAAGGTCTTGTTCTACTGAGGCAGAAGAAGGTGTTGTTTCTTGCAGCTCCCAGTCAATGTGCGCATTACCTTGCCTTTCAACATATGATTGTATCAACTGATCAAGACTCTCACGGAAACTGCTGCGAAGGAGATTAGAGACACTTCTCCTGCAAGACGAACATAACCATTTATTCTAGATTACATCATTTATTTTAGTAAGTGCAAAAACTATTCACTTGTATTTACATACCTACTAAGAAGTTCCCTGAGTTCACCACTGTACACATTGTCGTCATCAGGGAAATAAAATCCATGAATTCTACCAACTGGAGCAGTTTCATGATCAGAAGGTCCCCCCAACCAATTTTCCACAGCCTCTTGGAAGCCACCATCTTCTTGCCACACATCGGGAGTTTCTTGCAGACGAGAGTTTTCTACATCCTCATTTCCCGAACTCTGTTCTGGCCAGTCATTTGCTGTATTGCTGAGCTGATGATCATCCACATTTTCCTCAGTGCTATTTATCAACTCAGTATTACTCTGATACCAGTCACTTCCTTCATTTCCAATAACTGCATCAGGCTGTTCTCCTTCTAGAGCACTAGATTCATTCCAATTTACATCATCCACAACATTATCGCCCACATAATTGTCATGATTTGAAGGATAGTTTTCACTATTACTTATATCACCCAGCTCAGATTCCTCATTCTGTTCGTTGCTAAATTCTTGATCATTACAATGCACCGAATCATCAGGTTGCAAATTCTCTTGGGTATGTTCATTAGCAATATCTTCAGTTGGCATCACATCAACATTTTGCTCAGTGTCATGGCTGTCATCCCTTATTTCAGCGCCATCATTGAACGATGATTGCCGATCTACTGATTCAATTTGCAAAAGCTGCAACTGATTGTCTTCTACTTGACCAGTAGAGTCTTGCCAATCTAAATTCTCACATGTGGTTCCTTGTAAACAGCTCTGACCACTTGATATCCCATGTTCATTGCTTCCTCTGTCGTTAGGTTCAGACAATTCAGAATGTACACTTGGCACCATATGCGAACTGCTTGATCCCATTGGTTCATTTGTATTAAAGTCAATATCAATACTAGATGAGGTATCAGATAGATAGCTGGTTGCTTGACTGCAACCACTACTGTCCTTTTTAGAGAAAAATCCTTCCCTGTTAAAAAGGAAAATTAATGTCATTGGCATGCGGCAAAAAAATGAACCAGGAAAAATATGAGCAAGTTAATCCAACATAATAAAAATCTAAAAATTAAATGTCATAAATATCAGTTTAGCAGACATTCAAAAGATGGGTATAGCAAAATTCCAATATAAGCCATTATGATTAAGGATGTAATCAAACAAAATCTGTATAGATCCATACAAGAGAGCCAGTGCACAAAATGTAATACATTTTTGTCTGGTAAAAATTTACATAAAGACAACAAAATGACGCAAGAAAAAATGTCATAAATAAAAAATAGGAGGGAGAGATTTGGAAAAGTTTGGATAAAAATAAAGTTTAATATCCTCATCAACTGATGGCCTAAAGAAATTCATACCTTAGACCTGATACAGTTTGTTTTCGTCTCAATAAGCCCAATTCACTTTCTGCAACCGAAGGGGACCTGTTATTATCAACAGATCTATCATTTCTCAAGAACCTGCCTCTAAGTAGTGCCTGTAAACATTTAACAAACACTCGTCAAATGAAGGGAAAAAATCAGGATTCAGAGCAAGTCCTAAAGTTTAAAATATGTTTGATTGGATTAATAATTACACTATTTTGTTTCACATTTTTTTCCAAGTTATCGTGTTTTAGATTATTTCTGCATAAGGAATGTTTTATCATTTGCCCCTACATAACATTCTGCTTTGGATTTTAAATATAACATTTAACCATTCCTACAATGAAAATAACTTATTTCGATTTCACCTTGAAATACAGTACATAACCAAAGTGTTCATTTACAAGTACTGCCTGGTTCAAATGATGTGAATCTCTTACCCAGTTCACAGTAACAAAGCTCTAAGTTCAAACTTAGCAGTCAGAAAAAGTGAAGAAGTAGAACAAAAATAGATATTAATCATTTTCTGGACAAACCTGAATGCGATTACGATAGGGGAAATGAGATACGGCATGATGGTCCAACAACTCCTGAATTTCTCTTTGCCTTTCCCTCTCAGCTTTCTTAAGCATATCAAGCATAACCTGTCGGCCACATAATTTACGGATACCCCTCCGAACAAGCTCAGTTTGGCCCACAATCTGGTTAACAATATGCCCATCGCGTACCCGTTCAATTTGTGTGTCAATTTCAGCAGATGGTTCTTCTCTATTCTCCGCAGAAGAAATACTTCTCTGCTGGCTACTTGTTTGTACCCACTCCCTTATAATTCTCACCCTTTCCTGCTCAGTTTCTCCGAGCCATTCTCCCCTTGGACCATTATTTCTTCGGGAAATGTTTGATACGTGATCCCTAGCACCACTATTCATCCATTCCCTGAAAATTTGTCTCACTCTTTCCCTTTCAACTTCCCCCAAATCAGAAGAATTTTCACAGCTAGAATTGTTTAAATCTTCATGATCATCATGGGATTCATTCTGACTTTGAGACTGCGACCATGTTTCAGACTCATTCTCACCCAAAACTGCATCTTCAAGAACATGGCCCCGCCCTCTTTCTTGGCCATCCAGTCTATCATCCTGGGAAAGGTCCACAATCAAGCCATCCCTCCTTTGTTGAAGAAGCACTTCACCAGGTCTTGCTTGAACTTGATTCACCACATGTTCATCTTCAATCTCTCGCCACATTTGCAAGAGTGAAGATGACCGGGTGCTTCCTCTTCTTCCATCTCCCCCTCTACCGGACGACTGAGAATGGGAGTCCCTCAGGAAAGAAGAGTCGAGCACAGACACACTGTGTAGACCAGCAATAGCCATTTCTAGTTTACTTTTCTAGCAACCACACAGATCACTTCAACCCATCTTATTCAAACGCACTAAAATTTGCATTTGGTAACAGGGAAGGGAAAAAAATAAAGGAATTCAGAAACAGATCCTTTTATATTTTCATGGATTCAACCTCCTTCACATTAACCAGAAGCTTTACCCTCCTTGCTAGTATCATCACCCGTATTATCCTCATCAAGGAAAGGAATTACAAACCTTTAAATTTTCCAATTGAAGGTGTTACTGCTTCTATCTACACCTACTTCTGCACCCAAAAAATAAATAAATAAATAAAATAAGCGCAGAATAAACCACATCAATTGTTTATGTTCCATTTGACAATATATATCGCAATCAAAATTATAAAAACATATCAGAAACTGTCGAAATAGAGATGACAGAAATAGCTACACTAAAAAAAACAACTGAAAAATCCTCAGATTCCACAATCTCAGCGAACCTTCGCAAAACGCGGCCATTCCGCTCACCGTGCTGGAGTTCACCATTCCGATAACAGAAAATGAAATTCAAAAATTCGCTTATCACCATTTCACTCAGAAACACCGCAGCCACAGAGTAAACGAAATTGAAAATAAAATAAAAAATAAAAAACGCAAGCAAGGAAAAGAAAATTCCAAACAAAATTCAAATCTGCATTGCAACACACAAATTTCCGACCAGAAAAAAAAAACGCAAAACAAAACAAATCAGAATCCAAAGGATTCAGCAACGAAAGACAAAAAACAGCAAAGCATTTTAAAACGTGTGGGATTTAACAGTGAAGCTGAAGCGCGATGAGGATGGATGTGAACGTACCGGTGAAGCTGAGCTTTTGATTTTGAAGTAAAGGAAACGAAACCCTAACAGCGAAGAGAAAGAAACAGAGAGAGAGAGAGAGAGAGAGAGAGAATAATGACAACGAAAATGAGAAAACAGAAGCACAGAGATAGAGAGAGAGAAGGGGGAAAGAAAGAGCGGCGATTTAGAATTAATAAATGTTGACACGTCTGCATGGAAATTGGAAACTGCCGTAACGTATAAATAAATAATTATTTAAATTAATATATTATTTTTTAAGCCATTATCATTTGATGCCACGTGGCTATATGCCCCCCACTTTCGGGCAAATGACGAAATGTTCTGAATCTTAAATTGAACGTGAAGCTTTTTCAGCCAAACGCTGCTCTACTAGCATCAAACGCCGTCGTCTTGTGAAAATTGACATTTTAAAAGGGAGAAAAATATTCCACGCTTTCTTTTCTTTGGTGACCACGCTCTTTCTTTAAGTGAAAGCAGTAATTTTTTTCCTTTTTCTATATAAACTCATCTAATACCATTGATTTTATCCAAAAGCACGTAAAGAGGTGTGTATTTGGTCTCAAATTTTAGAATGAGATTTTTCTAAGACAGTTTTTTAGTAAAACTTTAATTATGAACTGTTTTAAATAAAATGAATGAATAAATACACTCTAGAAATTTCTATCCAAATGCAGAAAAACATATATTTGGTATAAAATTTAGAATGAGATTTATAAAAAAATTCTTTTGGCAAAAATTTAATTATGAACTTTTTTTAATAAAATTAATTAAAGTAAACACTCAAAAAACCTTTTGCTAGAAAATTCGTTTCTAACTTTAAAATAAATCAAACTTGTCTTCTTATTATTTTATTAATAAAACAATAATAATTAATTATTTCGAATGTATATTTAAGATTACATAATAAGAAATTAATAAATAATAATATTATTGAAATTTATAATATTTAATTTTTTAATGCATTAAATTCTATAATATTCTATTATTTTAAATAAAAAATTATTATATATAATTTTCTAACATATATGATTAAATATACATTAAAAATTATTAATTAAATAATTATAAAAAAATTATTACATTGAATATTGATGCATCGTAAGTTAGATGTTATCGATTATATGTAGATCTTAAACCGGTAATCCATGCAAGCATGACTACGAAATTAAATAGGTAAACAAATTTCCTCATTGCGTACAAAGAATTTTGCACAAAATTATCATAAATAAGAGGTTACTTTATTTTATTAGATAATAATAAGTTAAAAATATATGAAGTTGAACATTAAAGTGTTGAGATAAAATATTGTTCAATTTCGTTTTGTACCATTTACAATCTCCATAGGTAAAACTTTTGGTGGGTAAAACTCTTATTGATCTTATACAAATTACTCTAAATTCAAAGTCTCAACATTGAAATTTCTCTAAATTCACTGTAATATTGTTAAGTGACTATTGAATATATTCAGTAAACTTTGGGATTTTTTTATTATTCTTTTAAAAAATACTATTATTGCTATATGCAATAATTAATAACTTTCAACAAACTATTTTTTTAAATGTGCACTAAGAAATTTTTTTTGGGCTAACAACCAACAATTATTTATTTTTGTGACGGAAAGTTACTAAAATAGGTTTAAGTTTTCCTAACAAGACAATTTTCATATACATGGTCAGAAAATCGAACTCGTGTTAACATGACTAAGAAACTTAGGTATTTACTAATTGTGATGAGCTTTGTTGATATATATTAATACTTGTTCCTAGCTATCTCTTATGCATCTTTAAAAATATATTATCTAACTATGTGAAATAATAATACGATTATAAAAATACTTATTATAAAGACAATCAGACACTCAATTGTAAAAGTGCATGGTATAAAAGTATTGTCAATGATGGAAAGATAAAGTAAATAAATTGTTTAAAATGATTCATTGGCTAGATAATTTCATTTAATCATGGGGTCCCTGTGCTTAACTCATCCAATTCTACAGCAATATCTATCTTCATTGATGCAATTGAGCACAACCGAAAAGTTAGGCAAATTAATCATAACCGATGTACTTGGGAGCCTGTACAATTGATGCTTTGGTCATCCTCTGAAATTTTTCAAAGTGTGGTTTGTGGCCATTCAAGTTCGACGTATACATAGAAAGCATGGTCATCCATAAGAGAAAGTAAGGTCATCATGAAGTTCACAAAAGGCTGCCTCCAACACATGACACTTTTGTGGACACAGAACTCCCTTTAGAACAGTCATTAATTATTTTTGTACGCATGTTTTCTAAAATCCAAGGATAGATTTTAGGTATAAGTTAACTCAAAGTTTAACTAGTTCACGAAAAATACATTATTTATCAATAATAATATAACATATCCATAAGCATGTCTACCTAAAGGCGTTTCAACCTAATCATCAGCTTGCTTTATGTACAACAAATACACCAGATGCCTCATATAACTTTATGACTTTACCGGGTACATTTAGTCTTCTTGGAGCTAAAGTAATCCCAAATTTAAATTATCTTTGGCTCAAGTTTTTCCCACACCAACCCCCAATCCTTTTTATTTACTTTATTTTCCCTCTCTTCCATGTCTCTACAATATTTTTTTTCTTTGAAAAAAAGAGAAAAGTATAATTTCTTGAGTTTAGAACTAGTTAATGTGTATTTGGGGAAACATCTATGTGTTTTATTTTATAAACTTGACTCATGTAAAGGTAAATTTAAAATTTAATATATATGGTAACCCAATACAAAAATATAATTTTTCATATCAATTTAAACATGGTTTTAAAAAACTAAATTAATAAAATGAACATAACCCCATGACATTTCAACGTTAATCCCATTAATTGTTCAGTATTTTCTTGGCCATGCATATAATCGGAAGTTCATAGAATGAGTTGACTTAAGGCAATGCCGACAAATGAGTGGAAATAATTGTGTTTATAATTTGTGGAAGCACTAAGCAAGTTGATAATGCAACCCACATAGGTATCCCACTATATATATGTGAAGGCCATAGTTATAGATCCTCATTCCTCTTTGCTCCCTAACAAATTGATATACCAACCACGTAGTGCCAGATCTTGGAATCAATCAAGCTAATGGAAGGACAAACATAAGTAACCCTAATATATATATTAGCTGGAACAATGGATTAGATCTACATAATATCTCATGGCATGCCCTATTAGATAAACTATGCCCTCTTGTCTCCGCCCCACCATTTTGCCTTAGTTGTCTTTTCTGTGTGTCAAATTTGCCAACACTGTGCATGCAAACTCCGAATGACTCGGTAATGGTCATGTCCCCTGTCTTGTCGATAACTCTATCTAGCTAAAAATGGTAGGAAGCTTTTAAAAAAACACGATAAGTTACATTTCTTTTTTAAGATATATTTAAACATACTATTTATTTTGAAACTATATTTTTCTCCTTTAAAAACATAACATATATTATACTGCCACTTTTTTAATTTATTTTTTTTTTATAAATATATCATTGTATTTAGTATTAGTTTGAACATTTTTGCTATTCATAAAAATAAGAAAATTAAATTTTATTTGATTAAATAATTTATTGATACAAAATTAAGTCACTCCTGTATTCTAGATGTAATCTTTCATTAAAAAAACTTTGTACCTAATTTTTTTAAGTCATATTTTTTTTTAATTTTGTAAAATAATTAATGGGACAAAAATTAGTATACACCTATAAAGTTATATAATAACTAACAAAACAAAAAAAAAATAGCTGACAATTTTAAAATTAATCAAAATATCATCAATAGTCATTTTTTGGGTAATTCTAATAATTAGCTACTAATGATGAATATATAATTTAAATATAAAATCACAAATCGAAATTAAGGCATTTAATATCAAATTTTTAAATTTTGTCTAAAGAAGTTTAATTCTTCCACCCGCTATATTTTATAATTTCAAATTGTTTAATTTTCGTTTAGATTTTATATTTAAGTCATAGGTGCAATTAAGCACATAATTATAATTATACTGTTGAATAAGATGACATCAATGATAATAGTGTGATAGTTAGCGCTGGAGGATGAGAGCAAAGCCGATGATGACATGCCAAAATAACAAAAATAGTCATACTAGTGATAATAACGATGTAATAACAATGGTTGACATTAATGTTTTAAGAATCATACTGATTATTATTTTTCTCTAAGAAAGGGGCTAAGAGCCCAAACCATACTGATTATTTAACTCATATAGGTATAAGTAAATATATATTTTTATTATTATATATTATATTAAATAAAAAATTAACATAACATATTAAAAATGAAGATAAGTTAAATTTTAAATTGTTATAAAATAATCATATAATGTTATATGTAAGAAAAAATCAATAATAAACAAATTAATAAAAATTTTAAATGTTAATTTTTATAATTAAAAACAAATTGGTATTTATCACTAATTATGCTTTGGTTGATTCTAAGCTAATGGCAATAGTAATGATATCACAACAATAGAGATAATAACTATGGAATCAATGATTAATATAATGTTAGTTCATATTTTAAAATTAAAAAATCCAAATTAATGGTGTTATAAATTTATAAAATTATTATGGAGTTGTAATTTAAAATTTTAGAAAATTAATTAGAAAGATTAAAAAGATGGATTTGAATTACAGAAAATATTCTATGTTGAAATCCAAATGTTAAAAAGAGTAAGAGGAAGGTGGTCACTGAGATATATCCACCAAGATACAAACAGGGAGATTGAAATAGAAAGGTAGGTAGTGTTAAATGCGTTTGGTTAGATGTCTTTCATTTCTTATCTATCAAAACTTCCGAATGCGTTAGGGTCTCTTCTAGGACTTGTTAGAGCAAGAATCCAATTGACACTGGTCCATTCTGATTCAGGAGGGGTAGAGCAAAGATATGACTGATGAAACAGTGCTTTAATTTGCTCTTCAAAGACACCAATAACATGCCAAAACTCACATAACTAAATTGCAATGATATGGACCAATAAACCCAACAATCACCTGATGCTTGCTTAAAGCTATTGCCAAGTGCACATAACTTGCCTAACTCTTTTCATACCATATAGACCCCTCTTTTTTGTATCATAAGATAGACCAATCCTTTGTATCATAAGATAGACCCCTATCAGAAACCAATAACCTGGATTTGACACTGCACAAATTTTG